TTTTGTACAAAGTCTCCCTCTGGATATGGTATCATGTTATTTATAAAGTCATTAACTGTCTACTGCTAAATGTAGGCATCCGTAAGCGAGTTATGCCAAGTTGCCATGCTTGGCAGGCGACTTGACAAACGCAATTAGGCTTTGGTGATATTTTAAAAAAGACTCTGCTGCCCAATCTTCGACCATTTAGTTCACTTATTTAATTATATTTTATTGTACACAAAAATTTATATAATAAAAATTTATGAATAAAAATGTACAACAGGCGAGCTTAATTCTGTAAGAGTTCTCTTGCAGCAAATCCTGAGTAGAAAGAATCATTAATTACCAGCGGGCAGTGTGCGTACAATGAGAAAGCGTGCGAAGAGGAAACAGTATGGTAGTTTCTACATTCATTAAATTCATATCGACGGTTGAAAGGCAAAATTGACTAAGCGACAAAAATACCTAAACTGAGTTTTATATACCATTCGAATCGCCTGATTTTTCTGCGTCGATTGGTCTAGGTTTTAAAATTCTACGATAATTTTTTTGTCGGTTAAGTACTGCGTGATTTTAGCTAAATTTACAATTTTATGTTTACTTAGAGACAAAAAAAATGTCATTTAAAGAATATTTGCTACTTACGCCATTTTAAAAGTTGAAATATGGATTTATTCAATTTTTCATATCTTTGTTTTCACTTTTATTTGCAAGTAGGAATTTTTACTTGTTATGAAATTTCGTTTTTATCTGTTTTAGTATATTGTACCTATTTAAAAAAAATATAAATAATTTGGTTATGTAATTTTACCTGATGTAATATTTTGTTATATTGCAATTTATGTAATTTAACTAAAAATAAAATTAAAGTAAATTATACCTTAGATATTTTTACCTGTATAAAAATATGTTTGCTTTTAGCGGTATATATTTTTACTGCATATATTTGACTCGTTGAAATGAGTAAAAATGGCGCTTAGATAAATTTACCAGTACGCGAAATACAAATATTATATTTGGCAAATAGAAATATGTGTATGTATTTATTACCATTGACATTGCAAGCACTATAATAGATAACACGGCATCAACTAAACAGGTGGCATTTCCTGGCACTACTATTGTATCGATTGATCATGATTATAATATCATAACGTGAAATAAATCTGATAACTCTGCATCAAATATATATAATTACGAAAATCTCACGTTCTTTAACATCAGACCATGATGCACCATCTACATCGACCGGTTTGAGTAAAGAATCCAATGAATTAAATCCAATTAAATATAAAAGAATACCTAAGAAAGATGTTAGTTATATTGATTATATGTCAGATCAAGAAGACTTTTCCATATTTTATGGCATAAATTATTCAGATAATTGGTCAGAAGGAGAAGAAGTAACCTCTGATGATGATAATAATATACAATGAAATAGAAGAAAAATAATAAGAAGTAAAACGTACTAAAAAAATAACACTAAAACTAACGATGGTAGTCCTGATAACCAAGAACTAGAAATTATCGGAGAATCTGCGTCCAAAGCTAAAAAATTAAACCTAAGAAAAGAACGAACTAAAAATTAAAATCTGGTAAAGAATATATTACAAAGACTGGTATAGTTAAAACAGCGCCTAATCCTTGCTCTGGCAAAAAATCTGGTAATAACTGTGGTTCTCTATCTGAAGTAAGAAGAGGAAATTTTTCAATGATTTTTGGGATCTTGACCAAACACGTCACCGTGATTGGTTAGTATCTATGTCAAAAAAGGATTCATCAAACGTAAATGTACAGACACTGATAAGCGCAACTACACTATTAAATATTTTATTAATAAAGGCGAAGGTAAAAAGTATGTTTGTCAACAATTTTTAGTAGCTACTCTGAACATTTCTGATAAAACAATTTACAATATTGTAAAAGATTCTACTTTTGGATGCACGAAAGAAAATATGAGAGGGATATCTGAACCCAGAAATATGTGAAACCCCTTTGGCCACAACAGAATATCAGTGTTTTGCTCTTTTGAGGGCAAAGCAATAAACTGAGTTGTGACCATTTTGTATTGTTACGGCACACGCACAAAAGGAAAAATTGTACTTGGCTTTATGTATTTTTTTAATAATTTCTCTTTTCTCGTTTTTTATAATTTATGTGCTTGTAAGTAACACAAATAAATTATATGTCTATCAAATAGAACTAAAAAAAAAAAAAAAACTACTATAGATGCTGTTAAGAGATTTATCCAAAAATTACCAGCCTTTGTATTATAGTAGAAAACTGGCGGTATACAATATTTGCTTTTATGAAAATGGAACTCGTAATGTTTTCTGTTACTATTGGGATGAAACTAATGGCAAACGAAGATCAAATAAGATTGTATCAATACTGAACAAATATATTAAATCTGTAGATACTGTAGAGGAAATATCAAGCAATTACTTTTATATTGTGACTGTTGTCCCGGTCAAAATCGTAATCGTATTGTATTAGGAGTGTTGCATTCAACACTACAGGAGTATGAAAATATTAATACTATTAAAATAAATTTTCTCTTGACTGGTCATACTTATATACCCGTAGATTAAAGACAGAATAGATTAAAGAATACAATTGTTTACGCACCATCTCAATGGTTTACAATTTTTGCATATTAATAATCTAACTGCAAAGATAAGTAAGATTTGTATTTTGACTTTCAAAGAAGGATAAGCAAAACGTTAAATATAAAATATTCGTGAACACTAACGCTTCTTTTGATACTGAAATTCAATTTAAAACCAAGATATCTCTTTTATCTTGTCATCGATCGCAGCTTCCAATATCAAAAGCCAAATATGATGATCTAGTCAAACTTTTCACAGACAATGTTATTCCTAATTGCTTTGTTAGCTTTCCACGTGCAATAAATATCAAAGACACTCTAAACTAATCAGATATTAAAAATTGTGATTTTAATAATAATTAATTAAAATAGTTTATTAAATTAATTATAATAAAAAACCAGATAACCTATTATAACTCTAACAATCATTTATTCTTTTTAATAGACGAAAATTAAAGACAGGTTTTAGATAAATTATGTGAAAGCAAAATTAGTCTTCTTATATTATGAATATTTTTGTTAATTTTATAGTATTATTTATTATCATTATTACATTATAAATAATTAATAATAATTAGTTTAATGTCAGTTTGGGATAATTTTAGGAAAATTTATTAACTAAAGGTACATATTCTGCTAACACAACAATCATACAAGAACTTACCTAGACAATTTTACTTGATTTTGTTCAATCTAATATACGTCTTTATATAATTGTACTTGTAAGGAGATTTAGATGAATCAGGATAACGATATTTTTACTCGTTTCTGTTAACTTTTTAGGTAAATTTATATAATTTTACCTGTAACCAAATCTAGGTATTTTTTATCTAACCGACATAAAATACTTCAAATTTTAGTCTGGGATAACTTTCTTTGATATCAAAAAATAACAAAAAATATATGCTTTCCGTAACTGTTAAAATTATTTCGATATGTCAATCAGGTAAATAGTTATGATTTTTTTTTCAAAAATTTCAACTTTAAACCGCTCTCCTGTAAAGTTTATTAAATGTCGCTTAGTTAAGGTTGCCTTTCAACCGTCGATATTATGTCCAGTAATCTCTATCTATGCCAATCGGCATAGATACTGGTTAACTCTTCTATTCCTATATATTTATACTAAATTACCTTCCGTCGCCTTCGTAGTATCTTTCTGTGGATCGTTTGTTTTAGGAATCTACTTATAATTGCCTCTCTTTTGAATATCGTCAATTATTTCGCTACCCATAAACGTATGGAAATACTTAATATTAAGTACTTAATATTAATTTAAGTGTCCCTAAGTACCCATACACACATCGTGTAAACTATGCATAGAATGTCGTAACATGATAGAATCGCATAACGTGAGAAATTTATTATTTTCTTAATTTAATTGTAATAAATGTATACAATTTTTTTACTTAATAATGCTCATTTTTGGCTTTGCCTTTGCCTTACTTTTGTTAAAAAAAAAAAAGAACGGTACGATGACGGTTACTTCGGTAGATCTACCATAATTATGTAATAGCAGATGGCGCCAAAAATGTGCGCGCGGACAAATAAAAAGCGAAACGAAGCAGCTCGTTACCGGGCACACGGTAATCCAATCAGGTTGATTCTCATTGACCCTTCGCGAACGAGCCCAGTTTTATACAGCTATAAAAAAGTGCCTACGTCAGATGATAACCATGTAAGGTAAATGTATAAACTAAATATTGTTTTGAGGGAAGAGAATTATAATAAAAATAGCCCTTTTTCCAGCAATATATATGTATATATATATATATATATTAGTCGAGCTCCATGCGATCGTCTTCTGAAAATCATCGTATATCGATGTCATAGGTCATAGATGAAGTTACCGTTCCATTTTCATTCCACAAAAAATGTTCCACACTGAGTGTTAATTATCTGATTTGAACCAAATGTAATAACTATGTCCGGCTCTCTTAAGAATCTTTGAGAGAGAAAAGGGTTATTAGTAATAGATAGCAATATACACTGCCAAGTCTATCTCCATGTAGTTTCCCCTAGAAACAGTCATGTTTTAAACTTGATAAATTCATCACAATAGGCCACATGATCTACTTTCACTCTCACCGAATACCAATAACAAAAGCAGAATTAACATTCAATATATCATCGATAAAAAAAAACTATACCTTGAAGCCTTTAAAAACTATATTGAAATAAGTTAATTAACTTGAAACAAATACTGTAAACAATTATAATTCATCGACGTCAGCATCATTATCATCATCACAGCACACATGCATTATATATTACTTGATTTTAGAAATCAAATGATCCAACCTCTACGATCGCATGGTAAATTAGTATAACTGGAACGCAACATTATTGTCTATTTCATCTGTCAGTTGTCAAAAGCTGACAGCGTCTGACATTGACAACTTGTGATATTTCATTTTGCAACAATTCACAAATTACAAATCCAAACCAAACATTGCACAAGAAGAAGTAAAGAAGTCTAGATCATGGCGTTAAGTTTTTTATCAGAGGGTGAGGCGCCCAGAGATTTTCGTGTATCATCCACTGAGAGTGATGGACATTACACCAAGTGCCTTCTGTGTTATACCGTGAAAAGAAATTTTTACTGTGCTGATTGCATTAACACGGGAAACTTCGTTCACTCGTCGATGCCTCATGCAGACAGGTGTTTGTTTTATCTATTATTGAAGTAAAATTTAGCGATTACTAACATCGATACCAGAATCATTATTGGCAAAACTACTTTGATGTTACATTAGCGACTATCTAAAAATTTTATCTTAAGTCATACAAAATGACGCGATGAAAAAAACACCATATGCGCAGTGTTTACAGCATGCTGCTTATTATGATTTATCTACAATTTATGAAATAAAGTGAAACATAATTATAATTAAGAAAAAATTATAAATTATAGATGGATTGGATTGATGAGTTAATTGTAAAATTATTTTTATCTTTTCATGATATAATAGATATGAATTTTTATTAGATTACATTTAACATCACATAGAAATAATTTTAGGTTAATCAGCCATCACTTGGTACTCTCTGCCTATCAATAACTATAAGGTTAAAATGTGTTTTAATCCAGTTAATTACCTTTCATCATCATGTAGGTTGTGATATCATAAAATTAACATTAATAATTTCATTTTCTAAAATAGAAAATATTCCAAATTTTCACTGTAAACAAAACTGTACATATGTATCATTACAAGACATCCATTTGTATACCATATCTATGACAAAATAAATCTTTTTTATGGAACATAAAATAACAAAGAAGCTGACGGCCCACCTGATATAAAATGATAATTTAATATTAACAACACTGTGGTACATAAATATATGTAAAGTGTTATACCTCTGTACCCTGTAATTTTACTGCCACATCTCAATGCTCAAACCAAAACACCAGAAGAAGACTGTACTTACTTGATTTTGTTTTTACCAAAAGAAAACTGTACAAAAGTCAATTGCTTGGGTACCTCTGTCACATTCGTGTTTCAACCGTAAAGCAATTGTGTTTGCATGGCTGTGTTTCGGTTTAAAGGGATATGGAGTGATACAGAAGAATACACCTGAGTCCTCAGGAATGGCAATGCATGGGGGGTATCATGGGCGAAACAGTATACCATGTATCAGTATGTCCATGATACTGCTCATGTCTATAGGAGACGGTTACCACTTTCCATCAGGTGGACCGTCAGCTTGTTTGCCATTCTAAGTTGCTAATGTTTAATATGTCAATTGTATTAGATTTTCAGAAAAATATGGTAAATTTCTAAGACTGAAAGCGAACAGGAAACATGTGCTAGACAGATGCGAGAAGTTACTAGCGAATAAAATACACAAGGACACTTTAATAACAGAAGCGAAGTTAGCCAAAGACAAGATAAACCTGTTGAAATTAGCCATAGAGCAGAGGAAAAACAAAATTGAAGAAAAGAGGAAAGTGCTAACTGAATTGAGGCAAACTAACAACGAATTAAGTTTGAAGTTACCGAGGTATCAGAAAAGAGTGGCAAGCTTGGAGAGTCATGCGCAAACTCAACAAATACAACTGCACGATAAAGTAAATCTGTACAGTGAACAGGCCGAGTCGTTGGCTGCCCTGCGACGCTCACGAATACGGCAGCTCAACAAATATATTTTTCCTGTATATGTCAGCTATGATATGAGGTAACTAATTGGGTACTTCCGTTATATATCATATCAGCCTTTAACTGTCCACTGCTGAATGTAAGCCTCCCCCTTGGGGGGTATTGCCAGTAGTTACCACACTTGGCAGGCGGATTGCCAACCGCAGTTAGGCTTTAAAGATGTTTTAAGAGGGATCCTATGGCCACTTAGTCACCTGTTACGACACCCAAAGGGAAGGGAGAAGTAACCTACTCTATGCTGGGACCACATGGCCAGTCTATTATACATATTATAGTCAGAATACTTAATTGATTGAAAATGTTGACTGGATAGTAAGTGTTTTCAACCGACAGAACGAAAAAGCTTCTCAATTCTGTTGTATTTTCCATGTTTGTTACCTTATAACTTTGTCAATTCTAAACTAATTAGAATTTTTTATATCTGAAAGGATCCTATTGCTAGCAATATACCCAACCAGGTCGACCTCCTCGCGGTTCCCCCTGGAAACTATCATAGTTAATTCCTGATGAATTAATCATGATGGGCTAACTGGCCTGTTTTCATTCTCATCTATCACCCTTCACTGGTGCTCCGCCAGCGTATTCCGTTAGCGCAGGCAGGGTTACCATACTATTTTCACCCATCAAAAAAAACCTTTAATTGTTTTTACAGCTAAACTAAAATATCTGTCTTTTAATAGTCTCACAGTCTGAGAATCAGTAAAATGCATGATATGAATAATTTTGACATCGAGTTTCTTGTAACAGTTCCCTTAATTGGACATAATTATCAACAATTCATATGAACAAGTCCATAAATCTCAGTTCAGAAAACTTCTAAATACATATTATACCTAATTTTTAACACTATTAGTTACATATTTCCTATTATTTTGCAGTGATAGCATAGAGGACATGGAATTTGTAGGCGAAGATGCTGAAGAGATGGAGCCGAAGAGGTCACAGCTACACATAGTGGCACCATGGATCAATACAGATGGCGATCATGCAACCATACAGTCTTGGGGTTAGTATACATTATAGTTTCGTACAAGAAAATGTCACTATAATTTATTTATTTATTCATTAAAATAATTATAACATTATGACAGCAAAAACCGAATCGATGTTATAAGTCTAGTGTGCTAACATACAAAATTATAATAAAGGTATTTAACCCGATTCTAGATATTTCTGAGCTGTTTCTAATATCTTTGGCAGTCTACTACTAAAAATATCAATGATGTTTATAATATAATAATATATAATGTTTTTTTTTTTTTTTTTAATGGGTGAAAATGGTATGGTAACCCCGCCTGCGCTAACGGGATACGCTGGCGGAGCACCAGTGAAGGGTGATAGATGAGAATGAAAACAGGCCAGTTAGCCCATCATGATGAATTCATCAGGAATTAACCATGATTGTTTCCAGGAAGAACCGCGTGGAGGTCGACCTGGTTGGGTATATTGCTAGCAATAGGATTCTCAGTCTCCATTACTAACAATCCCTTTCCCCCCAATATATAATGGTTAACCAACTGCAGCACTATATTAGCTACAAGGACATACCTGTAATGTAAAACAAAAATGGAGTCCTTGCAATAAAACAAAACATTTATTTCTTAGCTATTTTATAAAGGAGGCTGAGTCAGTAAAACAGTGTCGCCGTAGCCGCCACAGTGGATTTAATCTTAGCATTTTAATGTCGCAAACACGACAAGAACGGAGTATAAAGGGTTCGTGTAGGGGAGAAAAGGGATTGTTAGTAATGGGGATTAGTAGCCCCATTGCTAACAATATACAATATCTGGTCGCCCTCCTCGTGGTTCCCCCTGGAAACCATCGTGATTGATTTATTGTTAGATTCGTCGCGGTGGGCTAACTGACCTGCTTCATCGTCACATCGTTCAGTGTATACCGATAGCGCAGGCGAGTTTACCATTCCATTATCATCCATTAAAAAAAAAACCTTTTCTGTAGTATGAAAAACCGATTAATGAACCCAATATAAGGGTGGGATATGGCGAGAATTAACAGGGTACAGAGGAATAACATCTGAGTCCTCAGGAATGGTAACGCATGGGGGGTATCATGGGCGAAACAGTATACTCTGTTATGTCCACGGTACTGCTCATGTCTATAGGCGACGGTTACCACGTTCCATCAGGTGAGCCGTCAGCTTGTTTGCCATTCTAAGTTGTATAAAAAAAAATATTTATTCATAATATCTTTTTCAAATAATGATGAAGAAATGCTTTTTAATGCTTCATGACTCTTACATACAGATCATGCACTATGTGTTAATGCGAACAATTTAAATACTTTGGATTCATTGTAAATATTGTAACGTCCAACAAACTTATTGCCTCGTAAAAATAGTATACCTAATTCGTGTAGACAATAAGCATTTATTGTAGAAATAGTGGCCAGTGAAAGCAAGATTTTTTAAACAAAGACGGCCCATATCTGGCTAGGGCGTCCTTTATTTCCATACCTGACTTATTACAGGTACAAAAGTAAGGAAGTTTTACATGACTGTAAACAATGACAGACCGTCGTAAAGAAATGGTCGTCTTTGTTGCCCTATCATAACTGATTTTTTTTTTTTGATGGGTGAAAATGGTATGTTAACCCGGCTGCGCTAACGGGATACGCTGGCGGAGCACCAGTGAAGGGTGATAGATGAAAATGAAAACAGGCCATCTTCCTTATGAATTCATCATGATGAATTAACCATGATAGTTTCCAGGGGGAACCGCGAGGAGGTTGACCTAATAGGGTATGAATGAATGAATGAATATACGTTATTTGCATTATACAATATAGGAAATAAGCAAGACAATTTACAAACACAACGATACAATTGTATAAGTACAGTAATGCGGTCTTATTGCTGAGAGCAATCTTTTCAAGATAACCTTAACGTAACGGACTAATTGTTGTACAAGTAGGTACGATAGTGCTGTGTAATTAAAAAAAGCATCTTTTGCAAATTAGCAATGGGATTGTCAAACTCCATCGCTGACAATCCCTTTCTACCGCTAGCGTTCAAGTTGCTATGTTTGGTAAAATGTGTTGTGGCAGTGTCGCAAAACAAGGAGGCGGCTGGCGAGGCTGGGCCGGCGGCGCAGGCCGGGCGGCGCGCGGCGGCGGCGCTGGCGCTGGCCGCGCAGCTCGCCGTGCTGCTCGCCTGGACGCTCGACGCACGCCTGCCGCAGCCCATCGTGCTCACGTAACACATCCTCCAATTTTGTTTTTTTAATCGAATTTTTGTTGAGGCTTCAGTACACCGGAGTGACTATGCCAGCCTCATAGGAATTGTCTGAAAGTCATTCTGTCAGTCCGTCAGGGACACTTTTTGCCCACAGATATAGCCGTCTTGCATTGCGACTGCCAGGTTGACCCAGTATTAAATTGACATTACCGTTATATAATGGCATATCGCCCAGAATGTTTCAGATTAAAATTTCGGCCACATTCCACTAGCAAATATAAAAGGTCTTCCACTTTGTTTTTTGCAATGACGAACAAGCTGATGGCTCGCCTGATGGAAAGTTAGGAAATAACAGAGTACATTATTATGACCGTGATACCTTTAACGTTTTGCTATTTTTGAACACATTCTTCCCATTCCACAGTTCAAACCGAAACAATTGTTTCCCAGCATAAACATGAGTGAGGGAGATGTATCCATGCAAATGGTTTTTTATGCAGTTTCCCTATGGTAGTAACCTTCTAGAAGATAATTGTTTAATAGTTATAATTTCTGCGTCATCGTCGATGATCGACGCGTCACAGCAATTTTTTTGTCCTAGTAGTGGCTGTGAAGTACTAGGAGAACAGAAACGTACAGGTAGTCATTTCAATAGTATTTTTTCTTACAAAGAATATGTAAATGAAACCACATAACCAATGTTAATTGCTGCATACTTCTGCTCTCCTAGTACTTTCTATATAAAATAATAAAAAATATTTGAAGTTTGAACTCGGAAACAGTGTCCCCCAAAAGATTTTAATTTTCATGATAGAAAGCAAAAAAAAGTGTTTTTATTCAAATCAACTTAAATTTAAACATTTTTAAATAATCATTTAGGCATTAATTTCAGCCATTAAAAATTGGCAGGAAACCAAACTGTTTCTTTATTTTTTTTAAATAGAATTACATAAATTATTAATTTGTGTGAATATAAAGTACTACGTAGTTTATTAGATCAAAAAAAAATAAGATATAATTAGAACAAATTAATAAAATAAATCAGTTGCAAGGATCAGAGCAGGTCAGTCCCTGTAGCTAACACCTATTTACAATTATAATTGATAAGCCATAGTTATAAACCATAATCATTTAATCATAAACTTTAAAAATGGCAAAAAAATTTGCTACTAACTTTTCTACAGTCCAAATGTATTTGATAATTAAAACTTATAATTTTATGGCTAATGTTTTTTTTGGAAAAATGTTTAGTTTCATTCGTAGAATACTCTTTTAAAGGTATAATTTTGATTTCATATTTATCTATAAAAAAAGTATATCCAAATAAAAACTAGTTCTTATCAGAGGTCATTTAAAAAGTGGTCTAGCATGGTAAATATTAATTAACATTTAATTCATTATCCATTTAGTGAAATTATTATTTTTAATCAAAGTGATATCAACTGTGACAAATATATAAAATGTAATTTTCGCTCCCAATGACTAAATGTCGCACTCGCTGTAGAATGTGAAATATGATATATGGTTTTTACGATAAAAGCGAGCGAGCAAACACTTTGACGTAAAATTATAAAGTGTCTACACGCTCGCTCTGTACGACCTGATTTCGCCTCGCCGCTAGCCGAGCGCAGCCGATGGCTCACGAATAGATCCGAACGCAACGACTACTACCCGCGATTGAAGTTAGTATTCGTAGCAGTGTCCGAGACGTGTGTAACTGTGACGGTGATGGCGCGCGCGTGTCCGCAGCGAGTACTGCACGTGGCGCGGCGCGGGTGGCGCGGGTAGTGCAGGCGCGGGTGGTGCAGGCGCGGCACTGCGCACGCGGCGGCTGCGCGGCGCGTGCGCGGCGCTGGGCACGCGCGCCGCGCTGGCGCCGGCGGCGCCGCGCCGCGAGCTGGCCGCGCTGCACGCGCTCGCCGTCGCCGCCGCCGCCGACCACCCGCACCTCGGCAGGTAACGCGCCAACTACACTTCCAAATACGCTCCTAACTATTTACAAAATACCGCTTTTTACCCTAACAGAAGACAGGCGTGACAGATATGTATGTATGTATGCTTTGTTTATCCATCCTCATAGTCTAAACATTTTAAAAGCAGTATACATTAATCTGGCAATGAAATATATCAGTAATCATGTATATTACTCACAAAAAAAATGTCATATTTTTATCTAGTACCACGTTATTGAAAACGATCTAAAGTACATGATGACGTAACAAGGAAGTAAATCTATAAGTAAGTGTAAGTCTATCGTAGATATTCCTTTGGTAGCGGTGCGCAAATCCAAATGATATCGTTATACGAATAATAGTAATTATTAATTTTATTACTCGACCGCCTAACCAATAAAAACGTATGGCTTCTAAATTACAACATTGAAGTCCAACCTCAATAATTAAAGTCTAAATGAAAATCGAAATATTGACTTTAAAATTAAATTCTCGTAAATTTACATAAATACAAATATGTTTATGTACCTACATTAAAATGGTCTTCACAAAAAAAAACAGTTACATCATTCACTATAGCATTAAGATTTCTATGAACAAGTTGCAACCTCTTCTTACATATTATAAATACACTAAAGAATATTTTTTCCAGTATATTCATAATAGTATTTGTTAAAACCAATCACAACACACCATTTGTACATTTTCTTTTTTGGGAAACAGTAAAAATTTACAAAAATAAATACTGACCTAACTCGTGTATACCTCTAGATAATTGTTTACTTCCATGTGACGTCACTGACAGACGCCATATTGTCCAACAGTTGCATTATTCGGCGGCCTATCTAAATTGTACTTTTTATTCGCTATTCCTTGAAGAAATACTTATAAATAAGCACTTTTTAGAGGATCAATAAAAACCACTAAATAGTTTGAAAATATTAAATTAGAGAATCGTATATTTAAGTTGAATTATGTCAATTTATAGTATCAGTAAATTAATATTAACATTTTATATAAAATATAATGTAATGTTCAGAGTGGAGACATGGGCTAGCGCGGAGGTGGCAGCGGCGGGCGAGGCGTGGGCGGCGGCGTGGGCCACGCCCGACGACGGCGAAGACTGCGACCCGCCCGAGCACCTGCACTGGCCCGAGCCCGCCGAGGTACCCACCCACCGATCAACGTATAAGGAACTGATTGTCTAGGCGTATTCCTCCCATATATATCCTATAAACTACCCATATAGATAGATAGACAGATAGATAATTTATTTGCATTACTTACAGCACACAAACAACAATAGACATAGATGGCCAGTGAAAAAAGATAAAAAAATATATATACAAAAAATAATAACAAAATGCATAAAATAAGTAACAATTTTCCCTTCACGCGTATGCCACAGTAACACAAAATGGTCACAACTCAGCTTATTGCTTCACCCTAAAAACAGCAAAACACTGATATTCTGTTGTGGCCAAAAGTGAGCCGCGAAATTCCATAGAAAAAATAAGAAATATAGATAAAATAATTTTTTTTTTACAACTTAGAATGGCAAACAAGCTGACGGTCCACCTGATGGAAAGTGGTAACCATCGCCTATAGACAAGAGCAGTACCATAGACATAACAGAGTAAACTGTTTCGCCCATGACCCCCATGCGTTGCCATTCCTGAAGACTCAGATGTTATTCCACTGTACCCAGTAAATTCACGCCATATCCCACCCTTCAAACCGAAACACAGCCATGCAAACACAACTGCTTCACGGTAGAAACACGAATGGGACTATTATTTAATATTTTATATTCTAATTAATAAATAAATAAATGACAAATATAGTGATTGAGCTATGATACGAGTGTAAGTGGTGATCGTTTGCAGATGGAGGAGCTGAGCAGCACGCCGCCGGTGCCGGCGCCGTCGCTGGTGACGTCGGCGGCCGCCTCGCTCGCGTCCATGTGGCGCGGCTGGACCAAGTGACCGCCGCCGCCGCTACCGTCACCACCCGATCTCCTCCTTCTCACCATCCGACACTCGACCGTATCGTTCCGCAGAGAAGTTACTCGAAAGTACATATTTAGTTGTCAACTCGCAGCTTATGCTATAATATTTTGACTCGTATACGTCAGGGGCAGAGTTCTAATGCTCGGTTGGTTATTTGGAAACAATAGGACTTCACGAGCCGGTGGTCTACTCTCTAGATAAATGGTAAACGAAAATCATAATTATTTGTAACAAATATTGTCATATTTGTTACAAATATTGTCATATTTGTTACAAATATTGTCATATTTATTACAAATATAGTCATATTTGTTACAAATATTGTATATATGTGACGTAATAAATTGACAATCTATGGATACGTATATCGATATTTTTTTTTTTTATATTGATATAGATAATGAAATAATACAGACAGAAATTAACAAATAAGATGTACCTTTAAAAGTACTACCAGTCTTCAGCATCATACAATTATTTTTTTTAATGTATCCGTCGATAGATACATTGTCGCTCATACATTTAATAGAACGAGACAGCAACATAACGACATATTCTTACTCATTCTTCTGCGTGCACCAACGGAAACATCAATTCGTTTGCCACTTTTCAAAGAGAATAAACTTTTTCTCTGTGTATCCCTTTCGTCTACTTTCTCTTAGTGCAAGTTTCAATTTTTCAACGCACAATTATAGTTTAATTGCTCACTCTCGATACCAAACAGTTGCAGCTAAGACTGTTAAATTTGACTATTATTTTATCCGTAACAAACTGTTACTGTAAGATAATTAGAAAAGTATAAATTTTGATGTCAATCGAAATAATGTTGTTTTATCTTGTACAATGATTTTTAGCTATTGATATTTTATTATAATTAAATATAATGACGTGAAATATTATGTATCGAAATAAGCAAATATTTTTATTTATTAACTATGTCTTGTAAACGAATATTCAATATTAGACTTGTTGTCTATATACTTTGAACGTAACATTTTAAATTTTTTTTTTTATTTCGTTTTAACTCATTTTACATTTTTATATAAGGAAAGAATGAATGAAAACTCTTTGTTCCTCTCAAAGAATTATACAGATTATGTAAATTAATATGTACATGAAAAAAAATATTAATTACAAGAAGAGGCAACAATAGGCGGCCTTATCGCTAAATAGCGAAATTGACAGTAGTAAAATAATGTTGCCAGCAAAATTCTACTAAATTAGTAGATTCTTAAGATTTTAAACTTGTTGACCATATGATTTTAAAATATGAACTTACCCTATTCTAAATGTTGTCCTACATTATAGAAGCTGATTTGTTTAGTTTTCTAGACTATGGCAGTCTATCTGCTCGGCGTTTTTAGTGCCTTAGATGGCACTTTGAACTTCATAAAAATGTGTTATGTATAAGTAATAATATATTAAGTTCGTACCTAATTTTCTACGCATTCGTACCGTTCATACGGACGCGTAAACCATAAAAAACTTAACAGTACACTCAGGATCGGGCAATACCGGGCAATTGCCCGAAGCAGTGAAATTTATACTGAAGGTGAAGATGACTAGAAAAAAGTCTGAGAAATCCGCCTATCTATATTGTAAGGAATTCTTTTCCCCCTGTCAATGTAGCACAATATTTATAAGGTATCATTGTCAAGGGCAAATATCGTTTGCCCGGACCAGCAAAATAACGAGATCCGGCCCTGAGTATACTCTACCTACTTATTACTATGTACCCAGGGCCGTAGCTAGACCCAAGTTTAAGGTAGGGCAAAAGCCATATATGACTTCGGAAAAGCGGATCTGCTTAATTTTCTTGGGGCCTTTTATTTTAAGGTAGGATAAGATAAACTCCTCTACTAATAATGATAATAGAAATTCCAATCGTTATGTCGGTGAACAGTCTTATCCCAACCAGACTGGAACAACATCTCAGACGGTTGGGATTCCGAGGCGGCTCACTCCCGGGAAAGATGCAGAAAGCGGTGCTCTTAGATTATGTCCGCATTGTACGCCGGTTTCTCTCGCTGGGGCCCTGAACCGCGGCCGACTGTGCTTCTGCCGGGGGTTAGTTTGCCATCTCCTCTCCTTAAGAGGGGAGATGTGAATTTTGTAAAAAAATTAAAATAATAATAATATCCCCCCCCCCCCCCCCCCCACTTACCTAGCTACGGCCATGTCTTTACCTATTTAGAATTAGTGAGATTATTCATAGTGCAAAACATTACTGTCACGTCCAATTTAAATTCGGCTATTAATTGTATTAATGTATTAAAACCTAATACGGGTTGTACAGACATCGTTTTGTGTCTTAATTTTGTGTTTATATAATTTTGTGATTTACTTTTAATACACGTACTTTTTATACAGGGTGTGTTTATTTTATATATCCTTTATTTTAAATCCAATAAAACGAAAATTTTCATAAATTAAATTAAATATATTTTATGTTACAAAACTACTAAATACGACTAGTAAAATACTGTTAACAATAAATGCATAAAATATATATCACTAAATAAAAATAAAAAGTCGTACTCGTAAGTCATTTCGATCAGTAAATGCATAAAATGAAAGCTAATAGAATGTAGTCCTTTCTGTCAGCCTTATAGTTTATTTTGGTAAAAGTAAAATGGCAGTGCTTCTTCCAATTGGCTAGTATTCTAGAATCTCTACTTAGTGCGGGGCAAGATAGTGATGTGTATCCAATGGTATTTGTTTAGTCGATTCACCCCACACTAGTTGTAACCAACCTTGACCCCTCTTATCCATTTAAACTGCAAATGTCTAAAATCCCTATTTTTGCTATTAAAGAATTGTATGTTCCTTTAAAAATAACAAATTAGTCAATGGGTTTTGTATACAATTTAGAGTGCAATAAGACATCATCTGATGACCTGATGAAAATAACTGCAACATCAAGAGCACCGTGCACATCACAGAATGCATTTTGACCCCTATATTATGCAGTCCATTGCAGCAAAGTTATGCCTCTGTGCCCTACGATTTCACTGCTATATCCCAGCCTTCAAGATTTTATAAATAAATAGGTTAATGTCAGTAGAGTTACACTAACGCCACATTCAATGTGTCTTCGGTTGCCGATCATCCGCAACAGAAAGCCAGTATATATTTTTATTCAACTTAGAATCACAAACAAGCTAACGGCCCACCTGGTGGAAAGTAACCGTCGCCTATAGACATGAGCAGTACCATGGACACCCTGCGCAGGTCAGTCATTATGTCGATGTACCACCTCGAAACGCTCTCGCCCAGCGCCTGTTCAATGAGTTTAAGACCATTTTGTGTTACTATGGCACACGCATGAAAGAAGGAAATTGTTTTATATATCTTGCTTTCTGTTTTTTTTTTGTTCTTGCTTTTTTGTTTTGTTTTTCATTCTTTTATCTCTCGGGTGTTATTCCTCTGTACCCAGTAAACGCTTTCACACGGTTGCCTGTGAAACACAACCATATGTGTGTATTACTTTTGTGTATGTTTGTATTGTATTATTTGTGTATTTGTGTGTAAGTAATGCAAATAAATTATCTATCTATCATCCGCGTCCCGATCTTCAGTTGGCGGAGGATCGGCAACACTGCATTTCATATTTTCTACAGTTGGTCCATATTGCTTGTTCGTGTTAGTAGACATTCATGCGGCTGAAAGTACACTAAATGTATCGCTAGCCGAGGTGTTAGTTATGTGTGAGGCCGATGGCCGCACAGCGCTTGCAGCCGCTCAACTCGCTGCAGCACCGCCTCGCTCGGCGACACCGACCGCTGTCCACATACGAAACAATGATTAATTTGCATATAATCATCAACACATATAAGAAATCACCTATTTTAATAAAATATATTTATTTCTATACAAACGACTAGCGACCTGTCCCAGCTTCGCATGGACAAGAGGAGTTGTTCCCTATTATTTTTAAATAAAATTCAACCCATATTTTTCGTTGATAATACGTATTTTATAGATGAATGACTTTTTAAAATCGCTTTAATATTTTTGAGACCATCCATTACAAACAAAAAATAAAAAAAATCCCTCTTTATAAGTTTATAAGTTTCATATTATGAATGAAATTTATTACGATAAATAATCCTCCATGTACTTTTTCGATTAATAAAATAGATCATACTTGTAATAAATAAAAATCGAAAGAATTGTAAAATATATACAAAATAATATCGTTTGGTACTTGGTGCAACAAAATCTTATCATGCCCACCACAATTTCCAGTAAGCGAATGTTTATAGTCAAAGTAGATTTCATGAGTAAAATACTTTAAAAGAACGTTGAAGATGAGTAAAATAGATTACTTTTCTGACAAAACTAGTCAAAACTACACTAGTGAACGGATTTTGATAAAATTCTATGGGGCCAATTTATAAATATATCATTTCAGATAAAAATAGAATTTTCCAAATCAGTTTCGAAGTGACTGAATTTTCTACCTAATTGAGAACTTGTTTGCTTTTATTCTAGAGTGGCACATCAGAATAATTATATCAAATAACTTATTTATGTGACTTTAATGCTAACAATATAAAAAGGCTAGTGCCGATGTACAATTTACGACGTTTTCTATCAGCCAACTATGCATATTCACACTAACCGGTAGCGTGTCAAAAGGCGAGCGTGGCACGTAGTCGGGCGAACGTGGCGGCACGCTGTCCGAATCCGTAGCGACGTCGCACCGCACGGGCCGCTGCACGGCCGCCTCGCGCACGCGGCCGCGGCTACGTCGCTGTGTACCCATGACATCACTTATAATCTTGTATAATCATTTACACTGACAAAACCTTGCGACAACTTTATTTATATTGTTTCGTTTGGCTAAATTAATTAAATTTCGGATATGGTCCATCCTACGTTGCATACCTCATTCCCATCTGTTTGTCAACCATTTGCGATTTAATAACAAACATCGAAATATCATGTAATAAAACAACAGAAATTATATTTTAAATATTAAATTGATGGAAACTAAACTGAAAAACCATGTTGTTTGCTCTATAAAAATTGCCTATTTATTTTATAAAAATTTTTGGCTGTATTATTTTAATTCACACTCACTCTGTCGGGACACGATGGGGCTTTCTTTCTGAGCATTCTCTTTGGTGGCACGGGTGCAGACGAGCCGCTCGCTATCTCACTCGCATTCAGTCTCCCCAGATCGCACCATCTCTCCTCCGTTCTGAGAGGACACGTAAAGGTCCCGGTGGACGTAGCCCTCTCTCGCCAACAAATGCATTTTGAACAACAAGACCGGCTACGGTTGTTGCTCTGTTGAAAGTTCGGTGACTCTTGCAATCGCTTTTGTAGCATATCGATCAGGGCCTCTTGTTCTTGGATCTTCTCCTCTTGTTCACTAAACAAATATAAATAAATTTACGAAATGTGTTAGTTAGACATCATTAACGCAGTAACCAGTAGTGTGAGAGTCGAGTGTCGGGTGAGGGGCCTGTGCCATGCCCGCATGCGCTACTCCCAGTGCCACACGGCAGCGAGCGTGACAAGTAGTGAGAGAATGTCAAGTGAGTGTTGTGGTGTGGCCCTATATCGTGCCCGCATGCGCCACTGCCAGTGCCACACGGCAGCGAGCGTGACAAGTAGTGAGAATATCAAGTGTCAAACGGGTGTTATGGTACCGTGCCCGCATGTGCTAATCCCAGTGGCACACGGTGGCAAGCGTGACGTATAGTGCGAATGTCAAGTGTCAAGTGTCGAGCGGGTGTCGTGGGGCGGTCCTGTGCTGTGCTCGCATGCATTACACCCAGGGTCTTTTTTTTTTTTTTTTGGTGGATGAAAATGGAATGGTAACCCCGCCTGCGCTAATGGGATACGCTGACGGAGCACCAGTGAAGGGTGATCGATGAGAATGAAAACATGCCAGTTAGCCCATCATGATGATGAAAAAAAAAAAAAAAAAAAAAAAAAAAAAAAAAATTCATCAGGAATCGGTAGAAAAATATAAAATGTAAACCATGATAGTGACGTTCATAAGCGGCTAAAATGTCCTACATGAATAAATGATTTTTGAATTTTGAATTGAATTTTGAATTTTAGGAACAAACCATGATAGTTTCCAGGGGGAACCACGAGGAGGTCGACCTGGTTGGGTATATTGCTAGCAATGGGATTTTTAATCTCCATTACTAACAATCCCTTTCCCCCCTTACACTCAGTGTCGCATGTCAGCAAGCGTGGCGAGTGGTGTAAATGTGTAGTGTGAGGTGTCGGAGAGGTGACCTGTGGCGCGCGCGCAGGCGCCGCAGCCAGGGCCGCAGGGCGGCGAGCGCGCGCCGCGCCTGCTCGCACAGCCGCCCGCCGCGCTCGTGCGCCTCTTCTAATTGCGCTTGCAGCTCGCGGGCACACTGCATCTTTTCCCTGTGCCAAACGTTGGAAGGTCCATCATTCACTATTCGGTCCATTCATATTTGGACACTTACACCTAAATGCCTATATACAGCAGGAGACAGGTAACGGCTGTATGGTGATGATGACACCTAAAGGAATTTACTCTTGCTAATATAATACATACACTCGATATTATACTCACCGTACTGGTTTCGCTGGGAGAAAGGGATTGTTAGTAATGGAGCCTAAAAATCCCATTGCTAGCAATATAACCAACTAGGTCGACCTCCTCGCGGTTCCCCCTGGAAACTATCATGGTTAATTCCTGATGAATTCATCATGATGGGCTAACTGACCTGTTTTCATTCTCATCGATCACCCTTCACTGGTGCTCCGCCAGCGTATTCCGTTAGCGCAGATGGGGTTACCATTCCATTTTCATCCACCAAAAAAAAACTGGTTTCGCTTCAAATTCTTTTCTCGTACATTCTTCACGGCTCTGGAACGCGCTTCCTGATGCCATTAAGAGACTACCGACTAAACCGTCTTTAAAAAAAAACGTTCACGCTCACTTTTTTACTTTATCCGAGCAGTAAGTGCTTTATATTATTCTCAATTTCATGTATAATATAGTATATATCATATATGTGTAACAATATTTGTTATTTATATATATTTATTCATTTATATATGTAATTTTAGTATGTATGTATATCAATAATTACTAGTACCGCATTCGAGTATTCTGACACTTCCCTATGGTTGACTGGGAGAGAACGCTTTTAGCATTAAGTCCGCCATGTACACATATATATACTAATAAAGGATCGAAGATAATTTCCTTCCAAAGGTCTTATGTATGTGTGTGCGAGTCGGTGGTACCTGTAGCAGGCGTGTACTTCGCGGCAGTGGTCCCTGGCGTGCTGCAGCTGCGCGTCGAGCGCGGCGGTGCGGCGCTCGCTGCAGGCCAGCTGTTCGCGCCAGCGCCGCACCTGCCACGACAGCCGCGTCACCTCGCCACGGATCTCCCCGCTCTGGTGACGTCACATCAACGTAAATAGATGGAGAAAATCATGGGAAGACTTCATACAGAACCGTTTGCATAACTCTGACCTACTCGTTTTCTGCCATGGTTATAAGTCATATTTATGTCAGTGTGTACAGTAAAAAAATTAAAAAAGTAAAAAAAATAAAAAATAGGTAATATAAAAGATTTATTAATTGCTAATTTAGCCTGCAGTACTGAGCTAATGTGTTGCCACACTATTTCTTATATATCTCTTTTATATATGTCTCTCGCTACTTTTTAGAATTAATATTAATCGTTGTCGTCGATTGATTAGCATCCAAAAAGGTCAGTACCCTCAAAAACCTGCATAGGTTTTTAACTTTTTTTTTATACAACTTAGAATGGCAAACAAGCTGACGGCCCACCTGATGGAAAGTGGTAACCGTCGCCTATAGACATGAGCAGTACCGTGGACATAACAGAGTATACTGTTTCGCCCATGATACCTACCATGCGTTGCCATACCTGAGGACTCGGATGTTATTCCACTGTACCCTGTAAATTCACGCCATATCTCGCCCTTCAAACCGAAACACAGCCATGCAAACACAACTGCTTCACGGTTGAAACACGAATGGGACAGAGGTACCCAAGCAATCGACTTTTGTACAAAGTCTCCCTCTCCACATCAAATACTGTTGCTATACAATTTTCAGACACAAATCCAAAAGGCAAACGATGCAAATGCATCTAAATACCAATTTTGGTCTCAGTTCGGTCTAAGTATCTTTCGATACAATTCTCAATAGAAATATGCAACCATACCTCCTTGATGACGTTATTTGCTTTGTCCAACTCCTCCTGCACCTTCTGTAGTTCCTCTTCGCGTGCGCTACACTGTCGCTGAACTTCTTGCAACTCCGCTGTTTTGTCGCTTAGCAACACTGCAGTAAAAAACAACAAATAAATAAATACCCTCATGTTTTTAAATTAAATAATTTAGATACATCTGCTACTTCTACTTTATACATCTTTTTGTTTTTTTTTATGCAACTTAGAATGGCAAACAAGCTGACGGCCTGATAAAAAATGGTAACCGTCGCCTAAAAGACATGAGCAATACCATGGACATAACAGAAGTATAATGTTTCGCCCATGATACTCACCATTTGTTGCCATTCCTGAGAACTCAGGTGTTATTCCTCTGTACCCAGTAAATTCACTGCCATATCCCACCTTTCAAACCGAAACACAGCCATGCAAACACAACTGCTTCACGGCTGAAACACGTATGGGACATCTAGTACAAATATATAAAGAACTAGCGGCCCGAAGCGGCTTCGCACGGTTTTTTTTTTTTTTTTTTAATAATATACAATCCATTTTACTAACTGATAATGCAGCTTTGTATGGGTGAAAGAACTGTTCAAATCATAACGATTGTTACCTTGAGTCTGCAGGATCTGTCTGGTGAGGGTGTCACACATTGTGCTCTTTTCTGTCAAGCTGTCATTCAACGCCTTCAATTGGTCTCGAACATTCTCCAACTGTAATTACGTTATTCATTTTTTACTCAAATTGAAATGACAACGAAATTTTTTTTAATGGATGATAATGGAATGGTAGCTCCACACACGCTATCGGTATACACCGGCAGGGCACCAGAGAAGGATGATAGGCGAGAATGAAGTAGGTCAGTTTTTTTTTGATGAGTGAAAATGGTATAGTAACCCTGCCTGCGCTAACGAGATACGCTGGCGGAGCACCGGCGAAGGGTGATAGATGAGAATGAAAACAGGCCAGTTAGCCCATCATGATGAATTCATCAGGAATTAACTCAGATAGTGTCCAGGGAGAACCGCGAAATGGTCGACCTGGTTGGGTATATTGCTAGCTAGGTATATGGGATTCTCAGTCTCCATTACTAACAATCCCTTTCTCCCCAAAGTAGGTCAGTTAGCCCATCGTAACGAATTCAACAAGAATTATTCACGATACTTTCCAGGGGGAACCACGTGAAGGTCGACCAAATAGGGCATATTGCTAGCAATGGGGCTGTCAAACTCCATTGCTAACAATCCCTTTCCCCCCAAACGAAATTATTGTTCACTTGAATGCAAATCCCAACTACTCGTATCGCTAATAAACATCAATGATTTTTTTTTATACAACTTAGAATGGCAAACAAGCTGACGGCCCACCTGATGGAAAGTGGTAACCGTCGCCTATACACATGAGCAGTACCATGGACATAACAGAAGTATACTGTTTCGCCCATGATACTCCCCATGCGTTGCCATTCCTGAGGACTCAGGTGTTATTCCTCTGTACCCAGTAAATTCACGCCATATGCCACCCTTCAAACCGAAAACACAGCCATGCAAACACAACCGCTTTACGGTTGAAACACGAATGGGACAGAGGTACACAAGCAATCGACTTTTGTACAAAGTCTCCCTCTGGTATATACTGTTGTTTGATAGAAATATGTCTGGAATCAAGGTTGGAATGAATTTTACATGTCACAAGTAGTTGTCGTAATTAAAATAAAAAAAAAGAATAAAAGACTAATTTTATTAGGTACAATATTTTGCAAAAAGAATAAAATATCTAACTAATATTGCAAGATGGTGGTTGGACAGTAAGATACTTATTTTTGCCTGGCTGGATATACGGTGGGACGATCGTAGCTGTACTGACAATTAAAGCTATAAAAAGTGGCAGCTGTCACAGACAACGCGCTGGAATGTGCGAGCGAGATGCACGACACAAAAGCCGTAACAGTGATTTTTAAAAAGAAAGTACCTCCTTTTCCTTCTCCTCTAACTGCATCTGGTACCGTGTGTCTACTTTCTCCTTGTCTGACAACGACGCTTCCAAGTCGCATATCCGTTGCCGGAGCTCTCCATTTTGTGCCTGCAATAATAATAAATGTGTAAGTTTAATAAAAATAAAACAAGAGCATCACGAATTTCTGTCCTGTATGAAATCTAAAATATTAACATTCTCTTACAACCCTTTTTGTACCCAATTTTTTTTTTTTATTGGGTGATAATGGTATAGTAACTCTGTCTGCGCTATGGTATACAATGGCGGGGCACCAGTTCACTAATGAGGATGAAAGCTGGTCAGTTAAGCCATCCTGACGAATTCAACTAGAATTAACCACGATGGTTTCCAGGGAGAATCACGTGGAGGTCGAACTGACAGGGTATATTGCTAGTAATGGGGCTATTTGACCCCATTACTAACAATCTTTGTCCCCCACCCTTTTTGTACCAGTGAAACTGAAAATTTCTCCAATGTAACATGACTCGGAGAAAAAAATAATTTTATGCCTTCTATACTTAGACTTGGTCGGGATAAAACTTTAGTTTATGTAAAATTTCAAACCTAACAATCCCTCAGAATGTTGTAAATAGCAAGATGCAGTAATAAAACATATAATTATGTATTTGAGATATAAAATAATTAGTTTAGTGAAAAAAAAACGATACGAGATACGAGTCTTATAAAAATCTGACATAGAACAAACTTAAAAATTATACATTGTTCTAAAAAACCTCTGTGTCAACAGCCAGTATTAAAACTCCAACACAGAATCCGTAATACATTCGATAAAAGATGGATAGTGAGGCAACATCTCTACAGAATTTCAGTGGATCAAATAGAATAGTGCTCGTAAGACATTGGTCATCGGTAATCCAAGCTGTACTAACCTCGATTGCTTCGTTCTCACGTTTCAATCTCATGTTTTCTTCCTCCAATCCGCAGGTACAATCCCCCTATAATAATGATTCGTAATTAGCTTTAAATTTATGACTTTATCGCCGTTTAATTTATACGTGGGTAAGACAAAACTAAAAGCATTAGAGACATGCTAGTGGGAGTTAGCTGAAATTAATTTTATAACAGATAATATAATCCTATAGTAGTTATTATTATAAGTACGAATAAAGCAAAACAGCGGAAGATCACAACATTTTATAATGAGTTAGTAAAAATTGGAAATTAAAAAGAATTCGAAATGTTCGGAAAACAAGGCTTACTACGACTTACAAGGACATATGTATATGCGAAAGTGAAACCATTCCCAACTGATTTCAAAAGAAAGGTGTTCTTCGAAACGTATTTTTGTTAAACATGATAATTTTATTGATTTATTGTTCAATTTGATTCGTTTTAATTGAGCATTTACGAATAGTATTTTTCCAAGTTTCTATTTCTGAATTCGACATACAACTATGATTCTATCCTAAGGAGTAGAGTTTTCTACGTTGGTGCATTTCTATTTTTAACTAACTTCAAAAAACTTCCCTTTTTTCAATCCTTAATTCGATTGTACCCTTTTTGAAATTTGAAATTTTTTAAATCGTCATAATTCCGTCATTTATAAACTGATTCAAAAAAATTCTTTTTTTATATGAAAGCATATATTTTTAAATTAATCTCAAGGAAGTTTTATCGAAATCGCTTTAATAATTTTGTTTTTAAACCAAAATTGGTTTTGCCGCTATGAAGACTGTTTCTTGTGCAACAAAGTCTTAAATTATTGAAATGATAACTTAAAATGCACGCATAGGAAAACATGAATTCATAAATCTTTTCCAGGGTAGCGCGTGATACAGATTGAGATATGTATTTCGCCTGGTTTCTCTAATACGTATATGGCTGCAAAAATTGACATTAATATCCTCAAGGGAGAAAAAAATTCATCAATATAAGAAATTTGTATATACACACGTCCATACAAAGATAAGGACAGGTGCTACATACAGTCTTTTTCATTAAAACTTAATGAATTTGGGAACAAACAAGTAGTTGATCCGGCCATAAAACAATCTGCCGATGCTTAATCAACATTAAAATCCAATATATATATATGTAATTTTAGTATGTATGTATATCAATAATTACTAGTACCACATTCGAGTATTCTGACACTTGCCTATGGTTGACTGGGAGAGAATGCTTTTAGCATTAAGTCCGCCATGTACACATATTTCTACTAATGAATAAATAAATAAATAAATTTTTGATAGTTCTCGGCCAGTATATTTACGAATAATTTATACTATGGTTATTGAGTCTGACGTACGATGACACAGGAAACTTACTAAAGGTTACGTATTAAATTTATTTATTTACATTACAACTTATGACAATACATGTACATGTACATTGTGTAAGTGTGTGTAGGATATATATATATATATATATATATATATATATATATATATATATATATATATATATATATATATATATATATATATATATATATATATATATAACTTGGTAAAACTTGGTCATCTTTTTATCGTCTTATTGAAACAGACTATGTACTACTATACACAGATACGTAGACTACTATACACACTCCCAATACACTTCGGTGATAAGTACTTTGTTGTAATGTTTTTTTGCGACTACAAAACGATGTGTGAAAGATTAATGACTGCAGATTGAAATATCTTCGGGATACTAAAGAATATTGAGGTGCCAATTAATATAAGTTAAAATATCCTGTAACTACCCGACAGTAAGTAGCAATAAAAAAGGTAAAGGACTAGGTTAAGGATGACTACGTCCGTGACGTTTGCATAAATGAGCTCCTAGTTCAAATTCCCGATCGGGTGAATTTGGAAAACGTACTTTTATCAAATAATTCGGGTCTGGGTATGGTTGCGTGGTTATGGTTGTGCCTACAGATATTCGTTGCCTGGTTTTTCGTAACACAAAGTATCTTAGCTTTAGAATCAGGCGCGTGATGGGATTGTACAGCACTTGTAACTACAGATATAACAATCACTCATACATGTCACATGTAACAATCACTCATACATGTAACAATCACTCATTCATTTGTCGTCCTCCATGGCGCAGCGGTCAACACGCCTGCCTGCGACGTGGAGGCCCCGGGTTCGATTCCCGGCCAGGTCATGATGGAAAACGATCTTTTCCTGATTGTCCTGGGTCTTGGATGTTTATCTATATATGTATCTATTATAAATATAGTATCGTTGAGTTAGTATCCCATAACACAAGTCTCGAACTTACTTTGGGGCTAGTTCAATCTGTGTGATTTGTCCGTATATATTTATATTTATTTATTTATACATGCAACTACTTGAGGACATACTGTGAGCATAGCTCTAAGCTGCAGCAGCTGCTCGGTAATGTCGTGCAGCTCCTCGCTGACCTCCGTCGTGAGGGAATCCTCGCACCGCTCCCACATCCCCTGTCCCAATAAAACGCCACGTGTCATGCTCAGCACTTTATTTTCATCAATATTTACAAGCCACGAAACTGACAAACTTATGTGAAATATTTTTGATAAAAAATTTATTGTTGTAGAATCACACTTTATATAAAGGATAATCCATCCATAGATCCATCTAAGGCATATAAGGCACGAATCTATTTAAATGTAACTGTCATAAAAAAATAAATTCAGATATTTTCTTTTAATTTTTTCGCTTAATCTCAGTGTACAAAAGAACTCATCAATAATCTCATAATACAAACTCTGCAGAAATGATTTGATGACGCTCTATAATTCTCTGTTTTCTCAGCTTTTGAAATCTATATCTTCAAGTTATGGTCAAACCAAGTAAAGTCGTTTACCATCTTGAAGTTATTTTACAACATCTTCATCTTTTCATATTATACAAGCATGCAAACACTGTTATTTCTAAATTAGTATAAACACACCAAACTGTTACTTTTCGTGTAGCTAGAAGTACATCATAATACCGAATCGTTGTTGGAACTGTTCAAGAAATTCGATATCTCCACTTTTAAGCTGTCCACCTCCGTTGCTATGTTCTGTAAAATAAAATTTAATATTATACCGTTAGAGAAGTAAAATAAAGACCAATACATCCAGGATGCAAGGAGCGATTAATATTCAAAGACAAGACACGACGGAAATAAAGGAATGAAGCGTTCTATCCCCATGTTGCCAAAAAAATCTCAACATTTTGATCTTCTTTCCATCCGTCGTTTTTTACACCCCTAACTAAAATAACCTAATAAATAAAGTGATTTGATGAAGACAGTTTCCTAATTGTTTTCTCAATCACCTGCCTTCCTAAAAGTCTTTTGAAATACAATCATGGTAAAAGAGATTATTACATTAAACTATTTAAATAGTATCGTTATTTAAAGCATAATTTTAAACATCTATGGTCATCATTAAACCTATGCAGAAGGATGAGCAATCAACAGCTGAATAATGACAGGTGATGTTGATTATTTATAGAAATTACATCCATTGACAATAGCTGCGGGTCTACCATGAAATGAAATTCCGAAATTTCGGACTCAATTTCGTGTTTTTGTTTATACCAAAATCGGACCAATAAATGGAGTTTAACATTTCGTTCGTCATACATCCTATCATAAAAGTCCAAAGGAACGATATTTTAACATTTTTAATTTTTCCAAACGGCATGTATTATGAAATTTTAACATTCGACAACAAATTTGTGTTTTGTTTGCCTCCGAAATTTCGGAAAACATTTTATGGTAGGCCCTCAGGTCTCACCTGGCATCGTTCTAGTGACCACTTCTGTGTGTAAATTACGCTTTGCAGCCGACCGATCTGCTCCGCTTTCTCCCGGTCCATCAATCTCACGTCCAGGCACGATTTACGGAGCATCTCTATTAGTTCCTCCTGTTTTGCTGTCTACAATTGTACAAATATAAAACTTTGTATATTTTTTACTGCTTTTTTACTTGGTAAAAGCTTCACCGTAAAGAGCAAAGGACTTAAATAATAAATAAACCTGCTTGGAATTCAAAATGAATCAATCTACTTTCTGGGTAATGGAAACAGGAAATGCAACACACAGGGGGTATCATGGGCGAAACAGTACATTCTGTTATGTCCATGGTCCCATGTCTATAGGCGACGGTTACCACTTTCCAACAGGTGGGCCGTCAGCTTGTTTGCCATTTTAAATTGCATAAAAACAGTACCATAGATTGATGGTCAAACCAACACCATCAAAATACATTGTAAAGCTTATAATTTGACCTCTTACGTTGCCATTATTGAGAATTAATATTCTATTCTCCTGTATCTACTGTAATTTTACTATCATAAACAAGTTTTATACTTGAAGTACCAAAATAAGCTACTTTAACAGTGATAGATGAGAATGAAAACAGGCCAATTAGCACATCATGATGAATTCATCAGGAACTAACCATGATAGTTTCCAGGGGGAACCGCGAGGAGCTCGATCTGGTTGGGTATATTGCTAGCAATGGGATTCTTAGTCTCCATTACCAACAATCCCTTTCACCCTATCAGTAACCATTATAAGCCACAGTTGTAAATAGGAGTATCATCTAATTAATGATTTATGAAGTACTAATCTCTTACCTCATAGAAGCATTCTCGATAAAGTTCCTCGATCACAGACAAGTTGTTCTGCAATGTATGAACAATGCTCTTTTGTTTTTCTGCCTCCTACAAAGAACCGGTGATTATAATCAGTACTTATTATTAGATTATATATTATATAATACAATATAATGGCAACGCATGGGGGGTATCATGGGCGAAACAGTATACTCTGTTATGTCCATGGTACTGCTCATGTCTATAGGCGACGGTTACCACTTTCCATCAGGTGGGCCGTCAGCTTGTTTGCCATTCTAAGTTGTATAAAAAAAAATATCAATATACATCTAATAAATGAAGACTGTACAAAAATCATTTGCTTGGGCACCTCTATCCCATTCGTGTTTCTACCGTGAAGCAGTTGTGTTTGCATGGCTGCGTTTAGATTTGAAGGGTGAGATATGGCAGTGAATTTACAGGGAACAAAGAAATAACACCTGAGTCCTCAGGAATGGCAATGCATGGCGAAACAGTATACTCTGTTATGTCCATGGTACTACTCATGTCTTTAGGCGACGGTTACCACTTTCCATCAGGTGGGCCGTCAGCTTGTTTGCCATTCTAAGTTGTATAAAAAAAATATTTTAAATACATTACTACGTTTACTAACCAAAATATCACTCTCTTCAATAATAAAATTGCTCAATAAGAATCAACTCTTTATAACATTTCAAGGAGGGAGGACTGCTCTAGAAACAGATGCGTGCAACCATCTTGACTGTAATTTAGTAGTTATATTTAATAATTTAAATTTGAAAATAAAATCATGTTTATTTTTAATTAATAATAAAAAAAACTGTAAGTTTTAAAAATCTAAAAGGTTTCTTTCTTTTCATACTATATCGTCATAGTGGTAGAATACTGACGGATCTATATATATAATATTCGTCAGATCCGTCGGTATTCTACGACTATGACGATATTATACATATGTTAGTATTTAATTTAAAAAGTACTTACATTTTTATTACACTAATTTTAAAATATAAAAAAAATACATCTTCTCAGATTCGATAATTAATTAGTTATATTTATTTTTAACACTAATTAAACAAAATATAACAATCTGTAAAATTTAATCTCCGTCACGGGACGTTGTGATGGCATAAAGCAGGTCGAGTTTAAAATCTTTTTGTAGATATGAAACGCAGGATTTCCGCCGAGCGTCCCATGACACGAACACCTGCCCCATCTATGTCTGCTACGTCGACGCATATGTGAATGTCAATTGACGTTTGGTTTATTTTATTTAACAATTAATAAGTAATATATGTTTTACTGGTCAAATATTTAATTACAGATATTTTTCAAAAATCATATTATAATTTACTAGCTGTGTCCCACGGTTCCCCTTCCTTTCCCGTGGGTGTCGTAAGAGGCCACTAAAGGAACTTAATAATAACTACTGGCAAAACGCCCCTTAAGGGGGCGAGGGGGGGAGGCATATGTTCAGCTGTGTTTAGCAGTAAATAATCGCATGGTTTAGCCCACGTGAATCAGTGTAAACTATCCTACGTGTCAATAACCTACCAGTGTGTCGAATTTCATTCAAATCCGAACAATCGTTTGTACCTGTTTGAGCTACAAACATATTAAATATATAATATTTAAATTCGAACATTTTAACAAATTTTTGTAAATTAAAATTCGTAGTTATTTCGTATATGTATTTATGAAAAAAAAAAAAAGTTTAAATATATCTATCAATAGCCTACTATTCGTAGTACAAGCTCTAATTAGTAGGGAGGGGGGGGGGGCAAAAATTATTATTTGGGATCTGACTGCCCCATTGCTAGAATATAAGATTAATGATATCCACGAGGTTCCCCATGAGAATCATAATGGTTAATTCGTTACGATGGGCTAATTGACCTGCTTTCATCCTCACCTACCATTCCTCACTGACGCCCCGTCAGTGTACACCAGTAGCGCGGGTGAGGTCTACATTTCATTTTCACGTATTAAAAAAAATGCTTCGCCTAGTTTGATGCGACTAGATGACAGTGAGTAATATGTTCAAGGAGAATAATATAAATAAAGGAATCGCCACCACCTGACCTGTATCTCCGAGGAGGAAGACATTGCTAGTAATGCGAGCTACCAGTTCCATTGCTAGCAATAAACCCTGTCAGATCGACCTCTACGTGGTCCCTCTGAAAACCATCATGCTAAATTCCTGGCGTATTCATCACGATGGGCTAACTGACCTGCCTTTTCATCTCACCTATCATTCTTTACTGGTGCCCCGTCAGCGTATACCGTTAGCGCAGGTAGAGTTACAATTCTATTACCATCATCCAAAAAAAAGACCTGTATCTCGGTGGTGACCGACGCGTCATTCTTGTCCGTCTTCGCGTCGACAACGTCCCGCAACGTCCGCAGCTGGGAACAAACGATTCATTAGCGTATCATTCGATTTCATCACACGCCGAACGCGTTCCATCCATTTTGTTTTTGCAGGAAACGACCCAAATTCTAAATTGCGCTGTTGCGACAACAAATACTTCGTTTCCTTGTAGTTTAGCTTTATTCCTAAAAATAGTTTTTAAACTGTATCACTTCACACATCATTTATTTTGCATATAATTTAAGATTTTCCTCGAAATGCGATTATCGTTTTTGGCAAAATTAATATGGTGGCAAAGATGTCTCGTAACATATGCAAAAAAAAAACCAAGTGAATCGAAAACACAATTCATTTTCAAGTTTTTTTACAATAATCTAATTTGAATATTGTATTTTAAATTGGAGAGTGAGATATGGTAATAAAAATACTGGATTTTGTGAATCAAGTTCTTCATGTAACAAGGGTTGGCAAAGCGCGAATGATAGTCGACCCCAGTTTACAGACATTCCTCATGAATGGGCCTTGGTACCCGCTTACCCTTAAATGAACCATATTTTATGATTTTTGTCATGGAAAAAAGAAATGTTGCGTTGGTTTTGTCATTTGGAGAGGATGGATGAAAGAAGAATTACGAAAGAGATTTATTGAGCAAGAATGAATGGAGATATCGGTAGGGGCCGCCCTAGACGGACGTATGTCAACCAAATAGGCGACGTGCTGAAGAAGGGCCAAATTAAAAGTACCCGTAACTGGCGAGCGTGTATGAAAAGATTGATGAATGTAGAAGACAGGAAAGAGGTTCGTTTGAATCGAAACATTTGGCGTTCCATTGTTTCTGCCTACCCTAATGGGAGACAGGCGTGACAGATATGTATGTATGTGTGTATGTATGATTTTTGTCATCTTAGAAATATGAAGTTTTTGTTTAAAGTGAATATGCAAGAGAATTGCCCACGTATATTCATCATCATCATCATCATATCAGCCTTTAACTGTCCACTGCTGAACATAAGCCTCCCCCTTGGTGATCCTAAATAAATAAATAAAGGGGCTTGCCAGTAGTTACCACGCTTGGCAGGCAGACTGGCAACCGCAGTCAGGCTTTAGAGATGTTTTAAGAAAGATGCTACTGCCACTCCCTCTCTGTACCTTAGTCGACTCTTACGACACCCACGGGAAAGGAAGAGGTGGCCTATTCTATGCCGAGACACGGCCAAAAACTCTGCTTTCTTGTGCTAATCGACGACAATTTTATGATCTTTCTGTGATGTACCAAATCTCATCCGGAACAAATATCCAAACTCACCTACTTATTCTATAAATCCTATTGTATATTTTTTTTATTAGATGAATATGGAGTGGTAACCCCGCCTGCGCTAACGGGTTACGCTGGCGGGGCACCAGTGAAGGGTGATCAATGAGGATGAAAACAGGCCAGTTAGCCCATCATGATGAATTCATCATGATAGTTTCCAGGGGGAACCGCGAGGAGGTCGACCTGGTTGGGTATATTGCTAGCAATGGGATTCTTAGTGTCCATTACTAACAATCCCTTTCCCCCCTCCTATTGTATATTATAAATGCAAAAGTGTGTAACAATGAATGGATAAATGTTTGTTACTCAAAAACTACTAAACAGATTTAAATTAAATTTTGATACGGTTTTTTTTATGGATGATAATGTAATGATAACATTATACTCGCCTGCGCTAACGGTATACGCTGGCGGGCCACCAGTGAGGAATGATAGGTGAGAATGAAAAGGCAGGTCAGTTAGCCAATCGTGATGAATACACCAGGAATTCAGCACGATGGTTTACAGACCACGTGGAGATTGACCTGACGGGGTATATTGCCAGCAACGGGACTGGTAGTCCACATTACCATTACGTTTCCCCCATTTTTGATACGGTTAGATTAGTTTAGATTATTCTTAGTTAACACATAGGATGTACACACTTATGTATCGATTCACGCGGACAAAGCCACGAGATTTTTTTTTTATACAACTTAAAATGGTAATCAAGCTGACGGCCCACCTGATAAAAAGTGGTAACCGTTGCCTATAGACATGAGCAATACCATGGACATAACAGAGTCTGTTTCTTAGTTAACTGTTTCGTCCATGATACCCCCCATGTGTTGCCATTCCTGAGGACTCAGGTGTTATACCTCTGTACCCAGTAAATTCACGCCATATCCCGCCCTTCAAACCGAAACACAGCCATGCAAACACAACTGCTTTACGGTTGAAACACGAATGGGACAGAGATACCCAAGCAATCGACTTTTGTACAAAGTCTCCATCTGGTTAGTTTATAATGTTAACGGGAAACCGTAATCACCTCGAGCGCTTTAGCGTTGAGATCGGCGCGGAGGGCGGCGGCGCGCTCTGTAAGTGCAGCGATGCGCGCCTCCGCCAGCTGCAGGCTCTCGCTCTGCACCCGCACCGTTTCCTCCTTGTTGCGGAGCTGTACGCAGACATTGGGGATCATCAGCTATGACGAAGCAACGGTGCAACATTCGTTGACATATACCACAAAAGGATACTGAGAAATCAGCAGATGATACACCGATCGTAAAATAGGTGTTTGAATTACTATGTTTAGGTTTGAAAGTTGGATCACAGCAGTAAAATTATAGGGTATGGAAACCTAAGATATATACATAGATAGATAGATACTCTTTACAGTTTCCTCCAAAAGATTACAATATTAAACTTATCACAGTGTGAAAGCAATGGGCGATCTTATCAGGAAAAGCGATCTCTTCCAGGAAATAGTATAGTCCTTAGGAAAGGCAACCCATGGGGGATGTCTACCGTAGGAAAGACAGTGTATTCTGTAAAAGCCATGATGCTGCAAATCATCGGTGTGCTTGTCATTCTAAGTGTCATAAGAAAACTCCCACATCATTATCTTTATACATAAAAGGGGATGCAAATCGACTGCCTGACCCATATATCAACCCACAGTTGAAACAGTTAAATCTAGAATTTGGAAATTTTGCGGACTGAATCACAATATTGCATAAATAAGAAAAGAATTTTGAAAATACAATCCCTTACATATATTCATTTTCGATTTAAAATTTATCAAAATAGAAGAAATTTCATACAACATTTTTGAAATTACAATTTAGAAGTTAGACACGTGAAATTTTGTAGAATAAGAAATTGAATACCGCATACGAATAAAGCCGCGGGTAAAAGCTAATTATTTTATATGTATCTCAGATTATTATATACACACTAACATAAATATTAATGTTATATTATAAATTTACGAAAAAAAAAACAGCTTTTACAGCCACACCCTTATATCGCAAGAAATGTAAGTTGTAAACCATTTTTTTTAACAATTAAACAAAAAATAATCAACACAAACAAATTTGTCTTACCTCCATTAGCAGTTAGTTATACGTGTGACGATACTCACAATTTGCAGCGTGGCCAGCAGTTTGTTGTGATAATATTGCGCGCGCGCAGCCGCCTCGCACTCGCCGCTGCCAGCCGCGCTCGACGTGCACGCGCTCTCCTTGCGTACAACAATAACAAACAGATGGGTCAAGTGCATCATTTAGTACCGTTCTTTGAAGTTAACGGCCGTCCATTTGATGCAAGTTTTTCTACAGCTAAAGCCATAAAGGAAAACTGATTTCTCAAACATGCGACGTACAAACTATTCATACCTTTAGAGCAAGTTAAAAAAAACATCTTTTTTTATGCAACTCAGAATGGCAAATAAGCTGACGGCCCACCTGATGGAAAGTGGTAACCGTAGCCTTTAGACATGAGCAGTACCATGAACATAACAGAGTATACTGTTTCTCCCATGATACCATTCCTGAACCTATGCGTTGCCATTTCTGAGGTCTCAGGTGTTATTCTTCCGTACCCTGTAAATTCACTGCCATATCCCACCCTTCAAACCAAAACACAGCCATGCAAACACAACTGCTTCACGGTAGAAACACTAATGGGACAGAGATGCCCAAGCAAACGACTTTTATACAAAATCTCCCTCCCGCCATCTGGTTGCGACATAAAAATTATTGAAAAACGATTATTTAGATTATATTTTAAATTACTACATTAAGAAACTTTTACCCCATTTACTGCAAATATGAACTAGAAATAATAGCAAACATAGTGAGTTTGTAAAATCGCCGTTATACACATATATATATAGACATCACACAAACATAAGGGGGGAAGGGGATTGTTAGTAATGCGTATTATCAGTCCCATTGCTAACAATATACCCTAACAGGTCGACCTCCTCGTGGTCGCCCCTAAATACTATCGTGCTGAATTCCAAGTGTATTCATCACGATGGGCTAACTGACCTGCCCTTTCATCCTCACCTATCATCCCTCACTGGTGCCCCGCCAGTGTATACCGATAGCACCGGCGGGGTTACCATTCCATTATCATCCATTAAAAAAAATCACACACACACAGTCACACAAAAACACACATAGTCTGTACTGTCTGTACTTTGTAAATAGCTTTACCTAAATTCTGTACTGTCTGTACTTTGTAAATAGCTTTACCTAAATTATAATTTGATGTTTATTCTCGCAATTTATAATACCGTATTGTTACCTGTGTATTATTACACTAATTGGTTGCCTTATATTTGTGTAATTCACAGAGATAAGGCACTGGTGATTTGTAACACAGGTCGTTTCAAAACCAACTGCAGGCACCGGTCTCTCACTAAACTGCTCTCACATATTTTATTGTACCTCAAATTGTAACGTTTTTTGAAGAGAAAAATAAACCATTCATTCATTCGTTTATTCATAGACATGGTTAAAAATTAATATAAGTTTTAAAAATAATATATATATTCTTTGTTGCACTAAAACATACAGTAACAACAATAAGTTAATAACAATGTTAGCAAAGTCTGAACTTATCTCTCAAATTTTAGATCTCTTCGAGTCAGTTACTTTTAACGTTGTGGCAAAAATAAACCATTCATTCATTTGTTTATTCATAGACATGGTTAAAAAGAAATATAAATTTTAAAAATGATAATACCTATCATGTAAAATAAAAAAAAACCATTTTTTTAATTTTTAAACCAAATCGATGTTGCGACCGCACGATACAAATACCCGCGACAATATAATAATACATTAATACCATCGAAGTAAATATAGATGCATAATCATAACATTATCCAATCTAACGACAAGGTGCGGTGAAGACAAACATAACGACTTGTGTCTAACAAAAGGAAGTCATAAATTGAAGTACATTTTTCTGACAATAGATCAGCCGGGACTATACTATTCTCGGATAGATGAAACGGTATAACTAAATAGAAAAGCCCATAGCACAAAACAGAAAAAGCAAAGAACAAACCATACGAGATATAACTCTGGAAGTCTTGACTGAAACTTGAATATCGTTCTTAAAAAATTATTATTAAACTATTTAATAAATACTTTTACAATATGAAAGATTATATACACATCAATATTTAAATAATGAATAATAATAATACAAAAAATACGTACCTAATGTGAAACAATTTTAATGACTGGATAACATTGATAATATGAATTAACAAACTATTTAACTAGACAGATAGATAGATAGATACTCTTTATTGTTTCCTCCAAAAGATTACAATAGTAAACTTATTATAAATATAAATAATTACAATTTCTCTTTACATTACAACTATTTCAAAAGTAAAAAAACATGGTTGCACTCTTCTCTCAAAATGGTTCATACTTGAAGTGTTATCTACCAACCACATTATGGAATGCAATAAAATATAAATAAATAAAAAGTTCATCGAAATTGACGCAATCAAGAACTGAATTTAGGACCTCGATCCCACGCAGAAATATTAATATAAGTACAACAATATCGGGTATTAATTACTTACGTCAGTTTTGGTTTTGCTTAAGAATCACGTGTCTAATGTAATTGTTAAATATTATACGACTGAAAAAGGTATATTCAGTTGTAAGACTTGTATTTTTTCTTTTTTATACAACTTAGAATGGCAAACAAGCTGACGGCCCGCCTGATGGAAAGTGGTAACCGTCGCCTATAGACATGAGCAGTACCATGGACATAACAGAGTATACTGTCTCACCCATGATACCCCCCATGCGTTGCCATTCCTGAAGACTCAGATGTTACTCCTCTGTACCCAGTAAATTCACGCCATATCCCACCCTTCAAACCGAAACACAGGCATGCAAACACAACTGCTTCACGGTTGAAACACGAATGGGACAGAGGTACATAAGCAATCGACTTTTGTACACCCAAAATGAACAATATATATAATAATACAAAAAGATGCAAAGAAAGCATCTTTAATACTATACATCAATACTAATTAGGTCTATTGGTAACTAGTAATCAGGTTACATTAAAAATACTCAATAACTGTTTATAATTTTGATGTAATTTGTGAATAATCAACTGTGAAAAATAAACATGAATAAAATCATAGACAACTAGGTACGAGGAAGACCTATGTAATTAAAACAAAAAATTGTCAATAAAAAAAACATGCCCAAATTGAAATTCGAATGTTATTTTAAGACTTGATATGTTGTGAGATTAATCCTAATTATTTTTGAAAAGTTTTGAAAAGAAGCCAAAAAATACTCACTTTCGCAAAGTCACTCGTGTCCGAATCACCGCACATGATCAATCCATTGAACATCATTATTTCACTCATTGGTTTTTACAAATTACACAACATACATTACAACTTTAAGCTAAGTTATTAAATAGTAAGTTAAGTAACTTATTTTTTACGTGTACTTTAATTGACACGTTCCAAACTCTGAACTATATCAGCTCCATTCATTACTATAATAATATGTAAACATGTTCGCGTGCAATACAATAAACAAGGTTGCGTACGCGCACCCGACGCGGGTGTCGAGCGTGGAGACTGCTCGAGACGGGGCCCGCTGCATATGCAGCCCGCTATTTCTGTAATGTCGTAAATATAGTCATTTTGGAAGTGGCGGAAGTGCCACCGCGCCGAGCCGTGGCCCACTTGTGCCTCGTAACCTGTGCTCGAACGGTCTACAGAGTGTGCCCCATATGGAATAGGATTCCCATTGATCCTTACCTATAAACTTGAAATGTGTTTATTACCTCTTTGCACTTTATTGGCTCATTTAACAATATTTGGTACACCAACCCGTACTATGTGGGGAGGAAGCAGATATGGAGGGGAAAGGATTGTTAGTAATGGAGTCTAACAGCTCCATTGCTAACAATATACCCTATCTGAGACAGCTCCTATTACCAGCAAAATGAATTGTATTTTTTCTTTTTATTGTTGGTTTTTTTTTTTTTTATATAAGCATATAGGACAAACGATACTAGCATTCCAATTTCATTCAACAAAATATACCACCCTGTGTAATAGGTTCATTAGTGGCAAAGCAGTGGCGCGGCGCTTGTCGTCGTTGGTTTCCGACGCGTCTCCGTGTTTCGTCACAGTTAGACATTAACAGTGCCGGACTAAGGGGGGGGCGGAAGGGGCGGCCGGATCCGGGCCAGGAACATAGTCCTGGAGGACCTTCAAATGTTTCCATTCTCCTCATCCATACCCATACTGTTTGTATGTTTATAATATACAAGCATGCAGCTCACCCAATTGTGACTACCAACCATCAAACATGAACACATGTAACACCAGAGACATTACAGATGTCCTGCTGGTCTTTAAGAACGAAATACGACAGCCTTTTGTCCCTTTATATGTATATTTTAATCTGTACTTCATGCTACTGTATTTCACTTGAATTGTTTATATGTCATTGTTTATTTTTATGTTTTTGGTGCAATAAAGAGTTAAATAAATAAATATGCTCTTGTCTTGAAGGTTACGATGTCATATCAGTGCAACAAATAGTAAATAAGTCTAATTTAAATTTCACTTGTAAGATTTTAACTAAATATACATATACACTTATACATAACAAGCATGGACTAAATAAAAAGCTAGTAAAATTACATCAACTTTTTAAACTCGGGGCTTATTTAGGTTTGCCGCCCCGGGCCTGTGACGTGCTTAGTCCGGCACTGGACATTAGCGCCCCGGTACAATAGCTAACAGCTTTGCTTTCTGTGCATCTCCAGTAAATATTTTATTTTATTCATATATCCTATAGTTTTTTTTTTAAATGAAAAAGTTTGACAAAGCAATAAACTGAGTTGTGACCGTTTTGTGTTACTATGGCACACTCACGAAAGGGAAAAATCTCTTATGTATTTTTTTTTATTAATTTTTTTATATAACTTAGAATGGCAAACAAGCTGACGGCCTACCTAATAGAAAGTGGTAACCGTCGCCTCTAGACATGAGCAGTACCATGGACATAACAGAGTATACTGTTTCGCCCATGATACCCTTCATGCGGTGCCATTCCTGAGGACTCAGGTGTTATTCCTCTGTACCCAGTCTGTCTTCTCTTTTTTTCACATATATATCTATATTTATTTGTAAGCTGTAAGTAATGGAAATAAATTATATATCTATTAATTTATTGTTAGGGAGGCAAAAAAGCAGACGATCCATCTGATGGGAAGCGGCTACCATCGCTCATGAACATTTGCCAAACGAGGGAAGTGGCTGTGGGTTGCCTGCCTTTAAAACATTTGTAGGCACGTTTTACCATATACATTTTCTGTTTACCTGTACATTGCGCTGCAATAAATAGCAACTTTTGATACTTTGTAGTTTTAACGCCTCCTTTGATGTCTTAGTTTATATTAATTTGTTGGTTTTGCACATTAGACACGGTTGTGACAGACATGCGGTTCAACAGGTAGGTAAGTTAAATTAATAAAAAAGAATACGTATATAATATTAAGTCTGCTTTTTGTAGCTAAAATTTTTTAGTAAAATGGTAAACTCTAACCAATACTCACCAGAGAGAGACTTTGTACAAAAGTCGATTGCTTGGTTACCTCTGTCCCATTCGTGTTACAACCGTGAAGCAGTTGTATTTGCATGGCTGTGTTTCGGTTTAAAGGGTGCGATATGGCGTGAATTTACTGGGTACAGAGGAATAACACCTGAGTCCTCAGGAATGGCAACGCATGGGGGGGGGTATCATGGGCGAGACAGTATACTCTGTTATGTCCATGGTACTGCTCATGTCTATAGGCGACGGTTACCACTTTCCATCAGGTGGTCCGTCAGTTTGTTTGCCATTCTAAGTTGTATAAAAAAATACTATAAATGTGAAAGTAAGTTTGTTGATTTCATGTCTAAATCACTGGATCGATTATGATAAATTTTGGTATAGAGACAAATATGATCCTGTAAACGGTTACAGATCACTTTTTCTTGCGAAAAATTTCCTGCGGGTGGGATGGGGAAGGAGTAATTTTTGTATGAAACTTTTTATTGCGTCAGCCGATTTGCTTTAAACTTTACAGAATTATTGTTTAATTCATAATTAGATGAATTAATGAAATGAATAAATATTTACTTACAAGAATATATATATATCTTTTTCAGAGTATACATAAATCTTTTTCAAACTACCTCACAAAGGAATTGAATTTATTTTTGTAACTATTTTATTTCTACGTATACCAACAACCAAAATTATTGAACAAAACCAATATTAACGCGAGCGGAGCCGCGGTTAGAAGGTAGTAAATAATAAATTAATAAAATAACAACTTTGTTGTAAGTTCTAGCTAGGTACATGCGCTTGTTAAATAACTTACTCTGAATATTTTCTGGGGCAGTTTCTTTATATTTGGTTTAGTGTCTCTGAAATCAAATTATATAATTGAACTTAAAAATAAAAGACAAATATATGAAAGGGTTTGTTAGTAATAGTAACAGGACCAGAGGGAGATTTTGTACAAAAGTCGATTGCTTGGGTACGTCTGTCCCATTCGTGTTTCTACCGTAAAGCAGTTGTGTTTGCATGCCTGTGTTTCGGTTTGAAGGGTGGGATTTGGCGTGAATTTACAGGGTACAGAGGAATAACACCTGAATCCTCAGGAATGGCAACGCATGGGGGGGTATCATGGGTGAAACAGTATACTCTGTTATATCCATAGTATTGTTCATGTCTATAGGCGACGGTTACCACTTTCCATCAGGTGGGCTGTCAGCTTGTTTGCAATTCTAAGTTGTATAAAAAAAAGGACGCCAATCCCCATTACTATACCCTATCTGGGAGAGGAATAGTATACCCATTGCCGGCAGTCTAGTATAGTGGTTAATTCCTAGTGAACTTAATCCTCGACTATCACCATTATCCTGTACTCCACTAATATATACCGATAGCTCGAGCGTACTTACAACTCCGTCTTTAATCATTTAAACATAGCAATACGGGGGAAAAAGGATTGTTGGTAATGGGGTCTAACTGACTCATTGCTAGCAATACACCCTATCATGTCGACCTCCACGCGATTCTCCCTGAACACCACCTTGGTTAATTCTAGTGGAATTCGTCACGGTGGGCTAACTGACCTACTTTCATCCTCACCTATCACTCACTCACTGGTGCCCCGCCGGTGTATAACGATAGCGCAGACGCGGTACCCATTCCATTATCATCCATAAAAAAAATACAAGTGTAATAAATAATATATATAGTTCATAAAACAGAAATTTTACAAAATAAATTAAAATATTAAGATATGTATATAAGAACCAGCCCCAAAGTGTACTTATCAAAAATCGGACAAAATCGATTGTCCTAACTAGCTATTAACACATAGTCAAAATTACTGATTCGTGAAACTCTAATATTTGAAACATATATCTACTTTACAACAAAAGCATTCGCCACGAAAGAATTTTTAAAAATTACAACTTAAAGGAGAAACACGACACCACGCGCGCGAAGCCACGATCAACAGCTAGTATACTGTATATTTTCTATACTAAATGAATGCATGACTAGGTCATGTACGTCGTACAACAATCATGTACAGTAAACTTACGCTTTCATAAAACAGTCGCAGTTCCCGGCGTCCTGGAACAAAACAACGAAAGTAGGCCACAATTCTATGTCGCGGCATATAAACACGACAATAAAATGTGCGTGCGCATACATACCTCGGAAGCCGGACTAGGTTCCGTTGGGCTTTGTTCTCTGAAAAATATAACTTTATATTATATATGTATATATACATATTTAATATTATGAATGGTGAAATACTAGGAATAAAAAATACTTTTTATTTTTGTATACAATTACACGAGGTCTCCCTTATTCCCTTTAACATAGACTATACAGAGAAGTCATACAGTGAGGTACAAAGATAAAAGGTGGTCTCTCCAAACAACAAAATGACGAGGTCCAGCAGGAAAAAGAAATGTTGGAAGGCAAAGAAAGAGATGGGCAGATGATAAAGACAGCAGAAAAAAACTGGACAAATATTGCTACAGGTAAGGAGAAGTGGAAAATATGAAGGAGGCTTTTACCCTTGGGGACCACTGAAGTGGAGAAAAAACTATAATAATAATAATACAGAGAAATGTGTTTTTTTTTGAAGATTTTTTTATACAACTTAGAATGGCATACAAGCTGACGGCCCACCTGATGGAAAGTGGTAACCGTCGCCTACTATGGACATAACAGAGTATATTGTGTCACCCGTGATACATTTTATAGTTTGCCATTTCTAAAGACTCAGATGTTATTTCTCTGTACCCAGTAAATTCACGCCATATCCCACCCTTCAAACCGAAACACAGCCATACAATCACAACTGCTTCACGGTAGAAACACGAATGGGACAGAAATGCCTAAGCAAACGACTTTTGTCCAAAGTCTCACTCTGATCAATATTTTCTTAGCTGTTAACCGTTAACTGTCCACTGCTGAACAAGGCCTTCCCCATTAAAGGGGTTTTGCCAGTAATTGCCACGCCTAGCAGGCGGATTGGCAATCGCAGTTTGGCTTTTTGTGATGTTTTGAAAGAGACGCTGGTGCCCATCCCTTCACCATAAGCTCCGCACTGCCTCTTATGACACCTACGGGAAAGGAAAGGGTGGCCTATTCTATGCCGGGAGCTACACGGTTAATTTTCTTAGCATTGGTCGATATTATAAACTAATGGCTGTCTTATTAGAACTATTTTAGTAGGAAAGGAAAGAGAAAGAAGGAAGGTTGAACTTCTAATTCTTCTAGTAATAATAGTAATCAATCTTCAAGAGTTGGGAGTCACATACTAATGGTAGCGGAATTAAACAAAATAATTCTAAACAAATAACCCGTGACCCGGATTATTTTGCAGAAGTCCATATGACTTCTGCAAAATAATCCTAGTTCAGTAAAAACTATAAACTAATCGCCAACAACAAACCCTTCGCTTTTCGCCGCTCTACTGAGGTGCAGCTGTTCGAACTCTTGGCTCCTGTTCGCCGTCTCTGGAGACTGACTGGGCACCGCACGCTTGCAGCAAACGCGGGTACTCTCAACTGAGCCTGGCGACGTATATCTCGAAGAGGAAAGGTCCAATTCCAGTGTGTCTGGGACAAGTATCGGCGCGGACACAGACTGCGTTGGATAAAATTAATATTTTTTTAGGAAACTTCTTCTAATTTCGAGCTACACAACTAAGGAATAGACCAAAATCTCAAACCGAAAAATCGCAGACTCTACAGTGGATTCTACTATCACTATTTCTATTATAAGGCTGTGTTACTACACGCAAATATACATGAAATATATAGCAAATACAACAGTAAATCAGCACATTCGTTAAAGAAACATGGATTCAAAAATTCAAAAAACAAATATTGTATTCCGCATTATAGCTTTGATAATTTTTCTTTGGTAATTTTTTTTTTTTTTATATTTGTTTCTTTGATAACAAATGTCCAATTTCACTAGAAGAACACTGTAAGAAAAATGCCAATCTAATTTCACCTTGTATTTTAATACATGATAAGAGAAAATGTTATTTTTGTGATGTGATAATAGAATGGTAACCCCACCTGTGCTATTGGTATACATCGGCACCAGTGAAGGATGATAGGTGAGGATGAAGCAATTCAGTTAGCCCATCGTGACGAATTCAACAAGAATTGTTCACGATGGATTCCAAGGGGAACCACGTGGAGGTCGACCTAATAGGGCATGTTGCTAGCAATGGGGCTGTCAAACTGCATTGCTAACAACCCCTTTCCCCCAGAAAATGTTATTAAGGGTCAAATATAAACGGGAATAGCGCGTCTTGAAGAACACAGTACTTAATACAGACTTCTATTCTTTGCCATACCTCAGGATTATAATGTTATACTTTAATATATTATTTATGTAATCATCATCATCATCATCATCATCATAACCTTTTTGTAAAATAAAATAGAATTGTAAAAGACAAATCACACACACGTTCAATGACGGCCACGTCGCTGTTATCCGGGTGTTGCTGGCAGTCCACCGTCGCGCGGTCACTCGATGGTGAGTTCAGTGCTGTGGCTGCTAGCTCTGTACCATTTGACTGTCGTAATAGTAAAATAATGTTAACATAATAGAGAACTCAAATTTAGAATACTAGTGGACGTTTATTCAAACGTTACCATCTACCCTCTGTTACATTCTTTTTTAATGCGTGATAATGGAATGGTAACCCGCCTGCGATGTCAGTATACACTGACGGAGCCCTAGTGAAGGATGATAGGTGAGGATTAGAAGGCAAGTCAGTTAGTCCACCGTGATGAATACACCTGGAATTCAGCACGATGGTTTCCAGGGGGGACCACGTGGAGGTCGACCTGACAGGGTATATTGCTAGCAATGGGTACTGGTAGTCCGCATTACTAATATGCTTTCCACCTTGTTGACTACAAAAAAAAATTAAACTCATTAAACTTTTTACCGATTTAAAAATATTAGCTTAATATCTGTATCTTACCAGAGGGAGACTTTGTACAAAAGTCGATTGTTTGGGTACCTCTGTCCCATTCGTGTTTCAACCGTGAAGCAGTTGTGTTTGCATGGCTGTGTTTCGGTTTGAAGGGTGGGATATGGCGTGAATTTACTGGGTACAGAGGAATAACACCTGAGTCTTCAGGAATGGCAACGCATGGGCCTATCATGGGCGAAACAGTATACCTGTTATGTCCATGGTACTGCTCATGTTATGTCGACGGTTACCACTTTCCATCAGGTGGGCCGTCAGCTTGTTTGCAATTCTAAGTTGTATAAAAAAAAAGGACGCCAGTCCCCATTACTGATGATCCCTGATGGAAATCAGGTGAGCCGTCAGCTTGTTTGCCATTCTAATTTGTATAAAAAAAATCTTATTTGTAACCTAGTGTTTTTTTTTAAATGGATGATAATAGAGTGGTATCCCCGCCTGAGCTAACAGTGTACGCTGGCGGGACACCAGTGAAGGATGATAGGTAAGAATGAAAAGGCAGGTCAGTTGGCCTATCGTGATTAATTCACTTGGAATATAACACGATAGTTTCCATAGAGAACCGCGTGGAGGTCGACTTGACAGGGTGTATTATTAACAATGGGGCCACTAATCCCCATTTTTAACAATCCATTATCCCCCCTTGTTCCTATAAAATATAGTACTTGTGTTAGTAATTACATTAACAACGTAACGTGACATTGGTCCAAACACGAAACAATAATTAGATTATGAACAAATATGAAAAATTTGAAACTTACTCGAAAAAAACTTTTAATTTGTAATCATAAAATATTTTCACCGTTATTGCCACCACTCGGTTCTTTCTTCTTTACATTTTTAATCTGTCAAATTACTCAGAAACCCTTTTAGCAAATAGATAAATTAAATATATAATACATAAAATAAATAGAAGTTCGTATAAGTCAATAATAATTTTAAATTTATAAAAACAAACACTATTAATAGACAGAGCTTTTTTTTTATGCAACTTAGAATGGCAAACAAGCTGACGGCCCACCTGATGGAAAGTGGTAACCGTCGCCTATAGACATGAGCAGTAACATGGACATAACAGAGTATACTGTTTCGCCCATGATACCTCTCCATGCGTTGCCATTCCTGAGGACTCAGGTGTTATTCCTTTGTACCCTGTAAATCCACAGTATATACGAAGAAGAAATCTAGAAATATGGAATAGTAAACCCGTCTTCTTTATTGATTAACGATAACGTGTTACCAGTTAAGGGCGACAGGTGTAAATGAAATCAAGTCAGTCGACTCATCGTGATGAATCACCAGGAATCACGATGATGTTTAGAACCGAGAGATCTGTCTGAAATTGTTGCCAATGACGCCGCCAGCCCCCGCCACTAAAACTTCTTCCCCCTACATGCACAATTATAATGAACTAATCTTTTAATAGACACACCCAATATGCTACAATTAAGCAGAGATTGTTAATAATAAGTAAAAAGTAAAAAACTAATTAAAAATGCTTAAATAAGTATATATTATATATTATCATCTCGACCTCCTACCAAGCTTAAGGCTATTTGAACACATCAATTAAAGTAAATCAAGCAAATTTAATTAAATTATTAATGAAATTAAATTTATCGTTGAATTCGTCACGATGGACTAACTGACCTGCCTTTTCATCCTCATCTATCATCTCTCACTGGTGCCCCGCCAGTGTATACCGATAGCGCAGGCGGAGTTACCATGCCATTTTCACCCATTAAAAAAAATAGGTACCTACTCCATTTTCTTTTCCAACTCTATTCCCCCAGGTAGAAGAAAAACGAATTAAAACTTTTTATCTTCCATAATATATTTCAAATTAAACAAAATAACTCACAAATCAGGTTTCAATCAGGTTTTATGGACATATCATCGTCCGAACCTTCTAACTTCAGGCTATGAACATCGCTGGGGCACAGCATCGGGGGTAATTCGAGGGTCGAGTCAACCGGACAGCAATTCCTCCGCGGTTGTTGACTGACACACTCTATCATCACGGATTCATATGTGGACAAGGTTGAACTGCGGCCGAAATCATGATCACCGCTTACGTAGTCTTTCAGAGGTCCTGATGTATTTATATCTGAGAGTTCCTTTAACTAGAAAGAAATTATATCATTGAGTAATTTTCTCCGAAATTTCCAAATAAAAAATGTTACTTAATCTAGATTTGACCATCCCCATTCACTAGAGGGAGACTTTATACAACAGTCGTTTGCTTGGGCACCTCTGCCCATTCGTTTGAATTCATCATGATGGACTAACTGGCCTGTTTTCATTCTCATCTATCACCCTTCACTGGTGCTCCGCCAGCGTATCCCGTTAGCGCAGGCGGGGTTACCATACCATTTTCACCCATTAAAAAAAATATATCATACTCATGTTTAAATTAGTGGAAAACCAATGGCTGGACTTAGTGTCCAAGGAACTGGATCATAGAATAGAATAGAAAATCATTTATTCAAATAAACTTACATTGAAGCACTTTTGAATAGTCATTACATTTTTTTAATCTACCGCTCATTCGGAAAGCTGTCTCATCACAAGAAGAACGAGCAATAAACTTGCGTGTTGCTCTTTTAAATAATTTTATTTTTTTAAATAATTTTATTATGATTAATAGACATTCATGGTAGTTTGTATAAAGAAGTAGCAACCTATTCTCACCTTAGCTTTAGCCTTTCGCAGTTGGCGACGCATCTCCTTTATGACGTCGTCCTTGAACTGCACCTCGGTGGAGACGGCGAGACACTGCTCGTGCAGGGCGGCGCACACGCCACGCATCGACTCCATCTCCTTCTTGAATGCCACGTTCATTTTTCGTAACGTACGTACAGTCTCGCAACTAGACTGTGAACATTGTAACCTAGCGGTTACTGATTGTAAAAAAAAAACTGGCCAATTGCGAATTGGACTCGTGCGTTGACGGATCCGTATAAATTATAATTGAAACAAAATGTTTTTATAATGTAACTACATTTTATTTACATTTTCACCTTTACTTATGCTGTACGACATTGCTTCTTACCAAGTTTCATGGGTTTAAGTTAATGGGAAGTACCTAATGAAGTTACATTCCGGACAAATTGATAACAAAGTGATCCCATAAGGGTTCTATTTTTCTTTTTGAGGTACGGAGCCCTAAAAACTAAATACGCAATCAGAGAGAAAAAACAGCACTGAGAATTACTGAGACAACTGCATTTTGTGATAATTTAAAATCATTCCCATCCAGTGACGTGTTGTTACCGATCTACCTTTTATTTGCCGACAGAGACCTAAGGGTAGATAAGATATAGTAATATCTATTTATTCTATTTACAATATCTAAAAAATACGTTTCCAATAACGAATATGTCAAAAGTATGTTATCCAAAAAATAATATAAGATAACGGACTTTTAACATATTCGAAAACAGATATCCGAACGATGTGAAAGATATCGAAATAGGTGATGACCTTTTATCGGCATCAATGTCCATAAAAACCCAATAAATAGATATTTAGATATCAGATCAGTATCCATATTACCTACTTGTCAGTGAATAACCAATTCTCGCTGACACTCCCAACAGAGAACGTTATACGAAGATCTTTAAATAACGAAAGTATTATTATAAAGTAAATAAGTCTAAAGCCACTTTTAGATCCAACGGAGCGCATAGTAACATTTTTATTCAAATTTCGATTTTCTTTAATTCTATTATAATCATCTGTCTGCCCTTATCGCAATTATTTGGGGTCGGTTTTTTATTCTATAACTCTATTATAGCATAAAAGTTAAACTTTAGTTGTAACAGAAAACTAGACGTGAAAAGATTTTGAGTTAAAAAAAGTATATAAATCTCGGCATTTATTCGTCACCTTCAGCAGTGAGATTGCAGAAGGATCTTAGTCGAGTAAAGTCTACAAAAATTGGGGGGAGCGGGGGGGATTTCTTCACAGTGGTAAATCTTTATATATTTTTCGGTAAGTTTATATATGATCGAACTTTAGACACTCTTATAATTGATATAAGCTTATTGAAAGTGTACAAACATATACCTTCAGCTTGGCCTCCATCTTAACTATACGGTCTTGGTAGCTTGCCTGATCGTCTTCTAATTTAGCACTATAATCCTTTACAGGTTCCCAATCGCCACACTACAAGCAAATCCAGCGCAACCAGTAAAACAATACACATTAGACATGTAACAGAAAGGTATAAGTAATCAAGAATTTTGTAATAATTATAAACTATAGTGTTTGGACCAATGCACGTGATAATTAGAAAAAAAAAAAATCAAAAAATACTAATTTACATATTAATAATTCCCTTATTTGCACTATTGCATAATGCGTAAATTCTAACACAATATTTATATTCACAATTTTCTCACCTCATTCCCGGTACAACACATTGCAGCCGTGACTTCGGCGTCTTTTTTTAATACCTCTCTGAAACATGAAAGGTCTTTGAAATTATAGTCCTATCTGTATGTATGGTTGTTGTCTAAAGTACTTCATATTCATCTTCATCACATCAGCCTTTACCAGAGGGAGACTTTGTACAAAAGTCGATTGCTTGGGTACCTCTGTCCCATTCGTGTTTTTACCGTGAAGCAGTTGTGTTTGCATGGCTGTGTTTCGGGTTGAAGGGTGGGCGTATATAGCGCGATTTTACTGGGTACACAGAAATAACACCTGAGTCCTCAGGAATGGCAACGCGTGGGGAGTATCATGGGCGAAACAGTGTACTCTGTTATGTCCATGGTACTGCTCATGTCTATAGGCGACGGTTACCACTTTCCATCAGGTGGGCCGTCAGCTTGTTTGCCATTCTAAGTTGTATAAAAAAAAAAGCCTTTAACTGTCCACTGCTGAACATAAGCCTCCCCAAAGAGCTCCCCAAGCTGCCACGCTTGACAGGCAGATTGGAAGTTAGGCTTTGGAGATGTTTAAAGAGGTGCTTCCAAGTGCAAGAAAGGGGTGGACATCATTATATAAACATCACCAACTAATTGTCATCATACATACGGACTACTGGCATCTCGGAGCGCCATCTCGCTCCTTAGGTTGATAATAGTGCGTTCATACTGCTGGATGTCCTTGTTTAGTCTCTGTATCTCCCTATAAAGAAATACTTACTGGTAAAGCATTAGACATGATAGAAGTATCATGCCTAATGGCATCACCCTATGATACCAGAAGAATCTAGGCCAAATTTGTTATATACTAAGGCCTTTAACGTGGTACAATCGTGCATACTAACTACTAATGTATACTCACGGGTGTTAGTTCTGCGGACTACCAGACCTACTGATAACAATATACCTTGCCAGATCAACCTCCACGTGGTCCTCCCTGGAAATTATCGTGCTGAATTCCAGGTGCCTTTATCGCGATAGGCTAACTGACCTGCCTTTTCATTCTCACCTATCACCCCTCACTGGTGCCCCGCCAGTGGATACCATTGGCACAGACGGGATTACCATTTCATTATCATCCATTAAATACCAATTGGGGGGAATTAGGAATTGTTAAATATACTCTATAAGGTCAACTTCTACGCGATGCCTTCTAGAAATTAGCATGAATAATTCAGTCAGTGTATACCGATAGCGCAGAAAGGTATTATAGTGGCGATTTGATTCTATTCTGACGAGCATTATTTATTCATGTTCCTTCAGCCGCATCGAATACGCTACGAACGAGTGACCTTTCAAAATTTCAAGTGGATCAACGTAACGGCTCTTTCGTCAAAATTTGTATTTTATAACTATTCGCAATTAAAATCAATTAATTCAAGCCTGTTTATATGAAATTGATCCTTTAACGATCTGTTGAAGACATCAGCATGTACCATCTGGTACGTGCTGATGTCTTCAACAGGTTCTGACGAGAACTGGTCAAAACTGATAAACAACAATCATTTGTTGATTGATTTATTGACTGTTTGATTGATTGATCGATTGATCGATTGACTGTTTGATTGATTGATCGATTGACTGTTTGATCGATTGACTGTTTGATCGATTGATAATTTGATCGATTGACTGTTTGATCGATTGACTGTTTGATTGATTGATCGATTGATCGATTGACTATTTGATTGATTGATCGATTGACTGTTTGATTGAAAGATCGATTGACTGTTTGATCGATTGACTGTTTGATCGATTGATAATTTGATCGATTGACTGTTTGATCAATTGACTGTTTGATTGATTGATTGATTGATTGATTGATCGATTGATCGATTGACTGTTTGATCGATTGACTGTTTGATTGGTTGATCGATTGATCGATTGACTGTTTGATCGATTGACTGTTTGATTGATTGATCGATTGACTGTTTGATCGGTTGATAGTTTAATCGATTGACTGTTTGATTGATTGATCGATTGATTGGTCAATTGATTGATCGAATGATTAATTGAATACCTTTCGAGAGACAATAAAATCAAATTAATCTATTATCTTCATTTACCAATAATAATATTACAATGATATTTGATTTCTATTCCTCAGAAATGGCAACGCATGAATGGTATCAGGAGTAACTCGGTACTATAGACATGAATAGTACCTGTTGAGTAGCTGACGGTCCACCTGATGGAAAGAGGTAGCTTTACATCAGGTGGGCTCTCACCTTGCTTGCTGTTCTAAGTTGTATAATAAAAATTATACCTGTCTTTTGCTATGTTTTCTTTTTGAAGGGAATCGTTTAATATCTTTAGTTCGCTCCAGTCAGCGCACACCTTTCTCTTCTTGTCTCGCTGTAATCAAATAACATATACAGGATACAATAACAAATAGCTATAAAAAGTAATTAGAAAACATAGACATATATGAATATTGTATCGTACATTATTCTTTATTTAGATTGCAAGCCTATTATTTTTAAAGTTTATTAATACGTAGAATAATGGAGTGATGTTATTGGCATAGAAATATTGTTTTATGGTATATGTTCAGTAATAATTAGTATTAAACCATAAATTATTATCCTATAAGTATATTTATTTATTGATAGATAAATTATGTAACATAAGAATTACATTTATAGACTTAGAACTAGAAACATCTATGGGTTAAGACACGACCCTTAAATGATTTTTATGCAACATAATTAAAGCTGATAGAATTATTCTCTGTCTTAATAAATCACAGTTAATTATAATAAATAATAAATATAATAAATAATAGCAATAAATAAATGAATAAATAAAATTATTTAAATACCTACTGCATAATACTTTTAGGTGATTATGTTGCCCAAAATTATTTACAGTAGTTTAAATAATTTTAACACGCGATACAATAAAAATAAATAAAAACACTTTATATTTTTATATTAAAATGTATAATAAATTATAAAATAAAAGTAAACAAATGAACAAAACAAAATTATAAAAACTTCAAATGTCGGTTAGCTTTAACTTTGTTCAATGTATTGAATTTGTTTGAATTTTCTTTCAGGTCTCCTTGTTCCGATTTCTTCTGTCGCCTGTAATTCAACAATAATAAAATGTTATAATATAAATACATACAATCACAATAGAAATAAAATATTTCCTACAAAAAATAATTTAACACTTAGTAACTTTCGATGAAAATACCAACGTAAACTTTACTACAATATAAAGAAAAAATCTTTTATCAAGTTTATTAAGACTCCGTTGTGAAATTTTACTTTCCGGGGCTAAAATTTTCCTTATATGTAGATAAATCTTTGGAGAAGAAATTGTTAGTAATGCATCTAATGGCCTATTGCCAGCGAATATACGGTATACCGCTGGCAATCAGTCTAAATTCCATGTGATCCTTTCTGGAAACCATCATTATTAATTGCAGGAGAGTTCATCACGATGGGCCAACTGACCTGATTAATCAATTATTACTCACAGATAATAGGAATATGCCTTGAATAGGCCCAATTTTTAATATATATACGACGAAATAAACTCACCAATCAACGGTTCCAAATATATCAGACTCGGTGACTTCAAAGAAGTGGATTCCATCCAGTGTGCAGTAGTCGAACTCTCGCAGTCGACGTAGCACCTCGACGAGTCCTCTGAGATCCGAGTCCTTGCGTGCGATTCGTCGCCACAACGCCGCTATCTCCGCTCGCAACTCACACAACATCTGACCGAACGGCATTCATAATTTCGTTATTATTCCACGAGTATTAATTTAATTTAGAATTTAGTTCATTAGTGATTGAAATTTGTCGTGAGGCAGTTGGTATGCGAGTCGAAGAGAGTATAGCGACTTTATGCATTCTTTTATTTTCGCAAACATGTCATTATTGCGATCAGATATTTGAGATAAATCATTTAACAGTTTCCTCTTGTCGGTGCAAATAAATCATGCATTCTCTTCCAGCCAGCTCTATCCCAAGCCATATATTTGACTTCCCTATACGACATGACACCTAGCGTTTCCTTTATCTGTCCCATGTAGTTATTTCTCGGTCTTCCCTCTTCTCTTTTGCCCTCAATTTTTCCTAATAAACCATTTACAATAATTGACAAATTTTGTATCGATATTTTTCGTCGAATTATTAAACTGATTAACGATATACTTATATTATATAAGTTATATTTATTTAATTTTTAACCTAAGTGAACAAAATATTAATATGAATTATATTTCTTGAATAATTTTATACCAAATGCATTGCCCGCGGATTGCATTTATTACCAATCATCAGGTGCTGAAAGGCGCACGGACAACGCACACGCGTTCGGTGTGATTCGACCTTAATATTTTATTTTAAGAATTATGATGGAATGAAGATGGAAGTAGTTAAAGTTATTATTGGAAAGGTTTCAGTAATCAATCCTAAATATTATATTACATATTCAAAGGAGACATGTCATAACACATTTAAGATAATCAGACAAATAGGTACACAAAATTAACTCGACTATTATATAAGTATTTATTTACACCATACTATTGTAGTACTTTGACGTTAATTTATTAATATTTTTTTTCTTTTATACAATTTAGAATGGCAAACAAGCTGACGGCCCACCTGATGGAAAGTGGTAACCGTCGCCTATACACATGAGCAGTACCATGGACATAATAGAGTATACTGCTTCGCCCATGATACCCCCCATGCGTTGCCATTCCTGAGGACTCAGTTATTCCTCTGTACCCAGTAAATTCACGCCATATCCCACCCTTCAAACCGAAACACAGCCATGCAAACACAACTATTTCACGGTTGAAACACGAATAGGACAGAGGTACCCAAGCAATCGACTTTTGTACAAAGTCTCCCTCTGGTAAAATAAAATCGGACGCCTGGAGGCCAATTTAAAAGATTGGAAATAAATTAATTTGCTAAAATAGTCTAGCCGAAAATCGGGACCTCAGGATCAAAATACCAAAGAGCAATAATCTCTGACACAAGAAATGTAACACATTAATTCTATCTTTAATAACAACAACTCAGGAGTGGTGTCCGGACGGCATAATATACCATATAACTGTGATATCGGAGTTATTATTCGTGCAGACATATAATTCGAGACAAATTACCTCAGAATGTCTACGACGCTCAAGCAGTAGTTGCGTGGTCGCCTCCGACTCCAAGTCCTCGACGGTACGCACCAGCAGCGTGTTCTGGCCGACGAGGTCGCTCACCCACGACCTCAGCACCTCCACTTGCATCTACCCATCCATAGCAATACAGTAATTTTTGATAATTTTAGAGAAAGATATCTCCTTGCTAACTTGTAAGCATCATGGCCTAGATACCTTAATACATACATCAACATCGTCGAGGGATATTTTGAATTTTTCAATTTACTAAAATAAAAATATAAATAACATGCAACATGTATATATTTTTGAAAAGCTCATTTGACAGACTACACTTCAAAATAAAATAAAGTCATATTTTTTGCATAATTTAAGTTTTATTTAAGTATTTTTTTATTTACTTAAAATAGCAAACAAGCTGACGGCCCACCTGATGGAAAGTGGTAACCGTCGCCTATAGACATGAGCAGTTCCATGGACATAACAGAGTATACTGTTTCGCCCATGATACCCCCCATGCGTTGCCATTCCTGAAGACTCAGGTGTTATTCCTCTGTACCCTGTAAATTCACGCCATATCCCATCGTTCAAACCGAAACACAGCCATGCAAACACAACTGTTTTACGGTTAAAACACGAATGGGACAAAGGTACCCAAGCGATCGACTTTTGTACAAAATCTCCCTCTGGTGATTATACTATTATATAGTATTATACTATTCTATTCCGGGACCTACACGGCTTTTATATTTTACATAATATATATTAAAAAATGTTTACTCGCCTGCAACTTATTAGCTCCGCCGACTCTGTCTATGATCTGCATCCTCTCCTCGTATGCCCTCTGTACCTCCTTCAATATAGCCAAAGAAGGGCCGCCCTTGCACCCGCACACCTCCCGCCCTGCCTCGCATTCCACTACGTTCGAATCCATCGCAAATAAAACTTATATACAATATAATATATGTACATATATTCAAACCATTTCACTTTTTATATTAGAACGTGCTTATTTTGATGTATTGAATGTGGCTGACATTATTCGGTGTCAATCTAACATGCAACCTTCGTAAATGCTTTGGTGAGCGAGGTGTGTTCACGTGAGGTTGTGTGTTCCCTCGACAATAGGTCACACAATCCTCAGAATTTCGTGAAATATTCTTGTAAAATAAAAAAAAAATAAAAAAAACCTTCGTAAATGGAACTATATTACCATTCTTCTAGTCATAGACTTTTTGGCCGCAACAGAATATCAGTGCTTTGCTCTTTCGAGGACGGAGCAATAAACTGAGTTGTGACCATTTTGTATTGCTATGGCACACGCACAAACGAAAAATTGTATTTGGCTTTGTTGAAGTAGGTTTTATGTGTTATGTTAGTCTATGGAGCTCACGCGTTGATAGGTTACCTTTTTACTGTTACTCTCAATCTAAAGTTAAATAAAATATAATATACTATATAGATTTTCCCTTTATTTTAATTTCATCAGGTTATGGGCCCAGCAAACCTAAAATAGTAAAATAATGCAGGCTCCAACTATAAGTTACATCACATCATTATGGATCGTGGGCATTCTGCAAATGTTTTTGATTGATATTTGTGATTTTTTTGAAGATTTTATACCGGATAACGCAGAAAAAAAAATATCAAAAATTTGTTTAATGATAGCTGAATATCTATATCCACTTGTGAAAAATGCTAAAACGGCAAGGAGACCTATTTTTGAAAAGCATACGCTGATAGTGGTTTATTGACGCCTCACACTACACTTTTCAAAAATGAATGACTTTTCGGGAATAGAATACGTCATAGGCGCTACAATCTATAAACCAGAAACTTGATGATGAATTCGTCGCTATAATTATTAGCAGTTAAGAATCATATAATTTTTTTCTGCTAGTTCTATAAAAAGCGGTTATTTCTGCTCTTTTTAAAGAAGGACAGCGGCAGCAGTCGAAGTCATCGGGCGATAATTTGGAGAACTCAGTACTAGTGTCTAATAGTAGTGCAAGTTCTAATAATCATAGTAGTAATCAACCTCGTAAAAAACAAATTATCTGTCATTTTTGTAAGAAAAAAGGTCATTTTAAATGGCAATGTAAAAAATTTATCAACAAATGTAACGTAGATAGTAACAAAGTAGGTTTAGTTACTGATATTGTTATGGGTAATAATGAGAGATTATTTTCAGCTAACAAATCTAGTAATATGTGGGTTGTCGATTCTGGTGCTACATCTCACATGACCTCAATTAAATCTCTCCTTGACCAACCGAAACATATTTCGAAGGTTATAACAACTGCTGATGATCATAAAATAATTTCCGAAAGTCAAGGAAAGATCAAGGTAAAATTGAATCATGAAAATCGTAACACTAAGGTAGATTTTGAAAACGTTTTATGCGTACCCAACCTCGTTACTAATATATTGTCGGTAAGTAAAATGACAGAGAATAATTATACGGTAGTATTTGACAAAAATTATTGCACGTTTTATGATAATAATAGTGTTTCCATATCAGGAGTTCCTTTAATTCAAGCGAGTTTAAAGAAGGGGTTATATATTCTAGGACCTGAGCAAATAAAGACACGTAAGGATTGTGATATTTCAACATCATTTACGGCTGCAGCTAGCAATTTTGTTAGTTTTGGTGAAGCTGATATAAATGATAATAATTTAGTATTGTGGCATAGGAGGTTAGGCCACCTGTCATATCCTCAAATGAAGATGCAACAAAAGATGGTAACAGGCTTATCTCTAAAGGGAAAACCATCAAAGCATTTTTGTGTAGCTTGTTGTCAAGGAAAGGGACAGAGAAAGAAGTTTAATAAAAGAAAACATAAGCGTGCACGTGATATTTTAGAATTAGTACATACTGATCTAATCGGTCCTCTTGATCCATCCTGGGGAGGAGCGAAATATTGTCTAGTTCTAGTAGATGATTTTAGTAGGAAGGTATTCGGGTATCTATTATCATCTAAGACTGAAGTATTTTCTAAATTTTGTTCGTTTGTTGCTTTTGTCGAGAATCAGACTGGTAAGAAAATAAAGCGACTTCGTAGCGACAATGGTACAGAATATACGAATAAAGAATTTCAAAATTATTTAGAACGTCGCGGTATTAAACACGAGAGAACTGTACCTCACACACCAGAACAGAACGGTGTAGCGGAACGAACCAATAGGACGATAGTTGAAAAGGCTAGGTGCATGTTACATGATAATAATCTTGATCAGAGATTTTGGGGTGAAGCTTTGAATTGTGCTATATATTTAAAGAACAGATCACCCACTATGGCTCTTTCAAATAAAGTTCCTGAAGAAGTTTGGACAGGTAAGAAAGTAGATCTCTCTCATCTTAGAGTATTTGGATCATCTGCACAAGTCCTTATAAAAGATGGTAGTAGAAAGAAGATGGATTCAAAGACAGTAGAGATGACAATGATTGGATATAGTGATATGGGTTATAAATTCGTAAACTTGGCCAACCCAAAGCGATTTATAGTTGCTCGTGATGCGATTTTTAATGAAATAATAACAGAGAGTTATATAGATCGAGAAAATAATAATCCTTTTAAATTTGGTTCAATAACATCAGATGTAGTGGCGGTTCCATGTGAAAATAAAAGACTTCGAAATCTTGAAAATATAAATGTGCCTATTGATATTACGAAGGTCACACAACAACTACACACAGAACCTGTACGCCAAGATGTTTCAAGCACAACAGACGTGGATGAAGTATTTCATGATTCTATTTGTACTGAACCAGGTGAAATTATGGTTGACTCTACAGAATCAGCTGAAAGAGGTATAAATGATCGAAATGGTATACAAGAGCTAGTGACTCAAGAAAGAAGGTATCCATTAAGAGATAGACGTTTGATTAGAGATCCAGATATGGTCTATAACTTTTATATGTCTGACGGTGCTGACCCTGTGTCTGTAAGTTGGAAAAAGGGGAAACCAACGAGATTCCCAACTATCAAGAAATTATAGGTTCTTTAATGTATCTGTCATGTGCTACAAGACCAGATATTAGTTTTGGTGAGCTACTTAAGTAAATTTTGTTCTTGTGCTGGATCATCACACATGTCTGCCGTAAAGAGACTATTAAAGTATCTTAAGGGTACCATAGATGCGAGGCTATGCAGATGCTGACTGGGATGCTAATGCTGATGGACATTCGTTTACTGGCTACACGTTAATTTATGCAGGTGGGACAATTTCATGGCAGGCTTGTAAACAACGGTGTGTAGCACTAAGTACTGCAGAGGCTGAATACATTGCGATCTGTGAAGCAGCTAAAGACGTTATGTTTATTAAAGGTCTATATGGAGAGTTAACTGGTCATGTAGGATGTGTAACTTTTTTTTTTTTTTTTTTTTTTTTTTTTTTTTTTTTTTTTATAGAACTTAGAATGGCAAACAAGCTGACGGCCCACCTGATGGAAAGTGGTAACCGTCGCCTATAGACATGAGCAGTACCATGGACATAACAAAGTATACTGTTTCGCCCATGATACCCCCCATGCGTTGCCATTCCTGAGGACTCAGGTGTTATTCCTCTGTACCCAGTAAATTCACGCCATATCCCACCCTTCAAACCGAAACACAGCTATGCAAACACAACTGCTTCACGGTTGAAACACGAATGGGACAGAGGTACCCAAGCAATCGACTTTTGTACAAAGTCTCCCTCTGGTAAATACTATTTTTAGTGACAGTCAAAGTGCCAGATCATTGACATATTCCCCGGTAATTGGTAAACGGTCTAAACACATAAATATTAAGTTTCATTATGTTAGAGAGTTAGCCGAAGGTAAGGACATTAAAGTTGAATATTGCGATACAGGCTCTATGCCTGCTGATGTTCTGACTAAATCCCTTGGTGCTATTAAACACAGTTATTGTGTGCAACGCATGGGACTCCAGTGGGGGTGTTGAAGTAGGTTTTATGTGTTATGTTAGTCTATGGAGCTCACGCGTTGATAGGTTACCTTTTTACTGTTACTCTCAATCTAAAGTTAAATAAAATATAATATACTATATAGATTTTCCCTTTATTTTAATTTCATCAGGCTTTATGTATATATATATATATATATATATATATATATATATATATATATATATATATATATATATATATATATATAATAATTTATGTTATCTCGCCTTTTTTGTATATTAGTATATGTTGTAATTTGTGTGCTGTAAGTAAGTAATGCAAATTAATTATCTATCTATCTATCTACAGTCTTATCCAATTAAACTTAATGAAGTGGTATCCGAGATTTATCAAATTTATTACAAAAACACTCTCGAAATTATGTAAAAACAAAATGATCAGATAATCTATTTTTGACTTATACTAATTATTGAATATCAACACTTTTATAGTTGGATCAATAATTTTCATGTCATAACTACTGGTTACTAAGAATCCTATTGCTAGCAATATACCCAACCAGGTCGACCTCTTCGCAGTTCTCCCTGGAAACTATCATGGTTAATTCCTGATGGATTCATCATGATGGGCTAACTGGCCTGTTTTCATTCTCATCTATCACCCTTCACTGGTGCCCCGCCAGCGTATTCCGCTAGCGCAGACGGGGTTACCATTCCATTTTCACACATAAAAAAAAAACTCCAATGTGCATAACGTGTCGTGGAAGGAACTGTATATTCAGCCCAGCTCATCAATCCAGCTTATAAGTTCAGCTCAAGGAGTTTACTCCTACTCAGCTCATCCGCTCATCTCAGCCACATCCACACCATAATGGGTGATGACCTTTTTCTCCGCCAGCAATGTCCACAGAAACCCAATATATAGGCATCGGGGCGATACCGATTGTGTAATTGGACACGAATTCTATAATAAAAACCGCTCCCGATGACCGCTCTTGCACATTACAATTCTTATTAAAATGTATAAGTATTGTCTCTGGTTCTATTGAGATTGTCTATGCCAGATAAGGCCGAGTTACGTTATTTTTACAATTCTTATTAAAACGTATAAGTATTGTATCTGGTTCTTTTGACATTGTCTATGGCAGACAAAGCCAGCTTACATTATTTTTACGATTCTTATTAAAATGTATAAGTATTGTCTCTGGTTCTATTGACATTGTCTATGCCAGACAAAGCTACCTTACATTATTTTTACAATTCTTATTAAAACGTATAAGTACTGTCTCTGGTTCTATTGACATTGTCTATGCCAGACAAAGCTACCTTACATTATTTTTACAATTCTTATTAAAACGTTAAAGTATTGTCTCTGGTTCTATTGACATTGTCTATGCCAGACAAAGCTACCTTACATTATTTTTACAATTCTTATTAAAATGTATAAGTACTGTCTCTGGTTCTATTGACATTGTCTATGCCAGACAAAGCTACCTTACATTATTTTTACAATTCTTATTAAAACGTATAAGTACTGTCTCTGGTTCTATTGACATTGTCTACTTACATTATTTTTACAATTCTTATTAAAACGTTAAAGTATTGTCTCTGGTTCTATTGACATTGTCTATGCCAGACAAAGCTACCTTACATTATTTTTACAATTCTTATTAAAATGTATAAGTATTGTCTCTGGTTCTATTGACATTGTCTATGCCAGATAGGGCCAGCTTACGTTATTTCTTAGGCATCATATCCGTGCCTACGCACTACAGGAAGTGACGGTGGGTAGTATTAATAAATTAAACCACTCAATTAAATATCCACATCATTTATTTAACAATTTGGCTATTGATCTTTGTAACTAACATTTATAATAACGTAGTACATTTAATACGGGAAAACAGGAGTGGCATACAGGATTACGTAGGTAATGTCAAGTATTCTATTATTTTTAGCTATAAATAAATAAGCTTCGATGTCATCCGATTCAAATGTCTAATTAGTGTCCGTTCACATAGACCGGATCGGAGAGAGTAGATTTTGGTCGCGTTTAGTTTTAGACCGTTGAAATAAGGTTTATTTTTACATTGACTTCTTTTGTCGGCTTTCGAGCATTCCCATATAACATAAGATTATGTTCCGCAAAAAAACTGACTTTAACTGTGACAAAACTAGTCATTTTAATTTAAAAACTAAACTACTAATGGGGCATCCATTAATTACGTGAGCTCAGAATAGGGGGGGAGGGTCTAATGAATTCTCATCAAATCTCATTTAAACTGAGGGGGGGGGGATAATAAAAAATCTCACGTCTACTTCAAAAAATATAAAATATTAAAGATATTACTAAAATATTAAAGATAAACGTAGACGTTTCCAGTGATTGTCTTCCTGCACTACTAGAAATCCCAGATGATATGTGTCCAATTATTTCGATTGAAAAAATACACGAGTCTCCATGGATTGAGTAAAAATTTTAAAGAAAGTGTTGTTTTTGTTTTTACTTTGAATTTTATTTAATTTAAATAAAATAATTATATACCTGAACGATTTATTATTTTCCCGAATAATAAATATAAATTAAGGTTAAAATATTTTTTGCGTCAATTTCACGTAAGGGGCGGGGGGGGGGGAGGTCAAGATAAAACTCACTAAATCTCACCTTAATCAAAAGGGGGGGGGGGGAGGAGTCTAAACTGATCGAAAAAGAGCTCACGTAATTAATGGATGCCCCCTAAACTGAATTTAATAAAATTTCTATGGATCCAATCTATAAGCAAGGTATGCTTCAGATAAAGAAATGTAAATCGATTTACGACTAACGGAGTTATGAGGTATCAAACATAAAAAAACCGAATTGGGAAATTAATTCTTTTTGAAGTGAGATATAAAATTAAACGTTATTACAATGATTTTAAAAGTCTATTTTGAACGTGATCAAAATTTGCTCTCTCCGAACCGGTCTGTGTGAACGGACACACGAATTTTGATATAGACATGTGGTTTCGTCTGGCTTTAACAATACGTGACATCGTGTACCTACTACAGGTGTAACTACAGTAATCGTTAATCATCAGGCGAGTCGTATATTAGCGTGACACTATTGTGATATATAAGAAACATTGACAATTTACGAAAATATCTTCCGAGCTATATGGTACATAAAATAGATAGATACTCTTTATTGTTTCCTCCAAATACAATCACAATAGTAAATAAATATAAACAATTACAAGAAATAATCACAATGAGAAAACAATGGGCGGCCTTATCGCTAAGAGCGATCTCTTCCAGCCAACCTTTGGATGGAGAGGAGTAATTATAAACTCTATTATTTTCCTTAATGTAGAGATATGATACATGTAATAATTTTTTTTTATACCACTGAGGTGGCAAGCAAGCATACGGCCCACCTGATGGTAAGCGGTTACCGTAGCCTATGAACGCCTGCAATACCAGATGTATTACGCGCGCGTTGCCGACCCTGAAGAAACCTCTTTACCCCCCTTTTGAAGAACCCCATGCTGTAGTTTCTTGGGAAAATCTGATGTGATTACTGCTGATTACACCCTAACATGTATGATAAATAACAATCAAATAATACACACAACTACCAAATACTAATACATATGTATAGCAATCCTTATCTTGGAATATTAGAAAAAAAAAATTTAAATTGCCTTTCAAGAAACTCCTATCTGTATTTACACACCACTTTGACAGATATTTTTTTTTTAACACTAAATATATTTACAAAAACATATTCAAAGTAAAAACAAGTTTTGTATTTATTTCAAAATAAAGGCAAAATTAATATCGGCGTTTAAAATGAGCACAACATACAAACATGTCTATTCTAAGTGTGTACACATGAAAAACTATTTTTTTTGTTTTTAATTATAGCCCAATCGGGGTTCCGATGATTTTGCCAGTGTCAAGAAAAACAATCTTACTACAATTTTTTTTTTTTTGCAAGACATATTCAAGTCGTATTAGATAGTATATACTTACAACTAACAACTTTTTTAAGTGCATTTATTAACTTTTTTTTATTTACCTCAACCATTTTTCAACGACCTTTCTGTGACCAAGTTGTCCAGTTTTATGAATAATATCGACGGTTTTTGAACTGTTATCCCTGTGCTATGCTATAAAAAGTTTTCATCTGCCCCCCTTAACTACATTCGATACGAAACCGATGATTATTTACAATATTCTTTACTTTATAACTAGATACAGCCACAAATGAGTGAGGACTCCGCGTGCAGTCTTAGAGGGCATATATGTTAGTACAACACACTATATAAAAAAAAAAAACAAAAAACATTTGCTTAATATATTATATATCAATCAATAGGCTTTAAACAACGATCACAATAACCTGAAGATGCTTCATTTAAAGAAACATATCGCAACATGTGCGTGGACTGAATAATGGTCGGAGATCGATGACTAATAGTACTCGTAATGAGAGCGTGAACTGCATATAGAATTTAAACATTGTTTTATACAAAACTAGTGTATTTTCACATATATATTAGCAAATAATTATTTATGGACGCAGAACGACCGACCAGCGACCAGTTTTAAATACGGTCACCATCACAACAACTAATTCTATATTACGACACCAGGTGGCACCACAAGTTGGAAATAAACAATAATTAAAAAAAAAAAAACATTTGGTTGCAAGCAACAGTAAAACTTCTATTAATAATAATAGTAACTAATCCTCAAATATTAGCAGCAATCGCACGCATACTTATGGTAGTGGAATTAAACAAAACAATTCTAATCAAGTCAAAGTCACTGCTTTAGTTTTACCTTTACCCTGCACCTTATCGACCCTTTCCCTTCCACCCATACCTATTTTTACCAACAGCTACAAACTAAAGTCTCATCCCAATCATCTAGACGAGTGGCGGTCTTCCACCGTGCGTTTTTCAAGGCACTTTCTTCCACGCACAACCATTCTTTGGAATCAACATCCAGCAGCAGTATTTCCGAACCGATACGACAACATAACCTTCAAGAAAAGAGTATATTCCTTTTTAAAAGGCCGGCAGCACACCTGCAATGCCGCTGGTGTTGTGGGCGATCATGGGCGGCGGTAGTCAGTTACCATCAAGTGAGCCGCATACTAGTTTGCCCCCTGTGTTGTAAAAAAAAAGCTAACTACATCTAAGCAATAACAATGAAAGTGTCATTAATATAACAGACGAATACTTTTAAAAGCATTTATAATATAGCCGAAAGATGAAAATTTAATTCCTTCAATTCATACATACATACATACATATCTGTCACGCCTGTCTTCCATTAGAGTAGGCAGAAACAATGAAATGGCAAATGCTTCGATTCAAACAAACCTCTTTCGCTTCTTTCACATTCATCAATCTTTTCATACACGCTCGCCGGTTACGGGTACTTTTAATTTGGCCCTTCTTCATCACGTCGCCTATTTGGTCGACATACGTCCGTCTAGGGCGGCCCCTACCGACATCTCCATTCATTCTTGCTCGATAAATCTCTTTCGTAAATTCTTCTTTCATCCATCCTCTCCAAATGACCAAACCAACGCAACATTCCTTTTTCGATTTTTGTTACTACATTGTCTTTCAGTCCACACTTCTCTCTAATCTTTCCTACAATTCCTAATCTGTAAATCTATTAGTTTCTTCAAATGAACATGTAAAGTACTTCTTCAAAATATTTTGTAATGTTCATAGAAGCATACACGTGTACGGGCGACAGTTATCACTTCCGATCAGAAGAGCTGTCAGCTAGTTTGACGTTCAAAATTGGAAAATTAATTTTTAACCTTGTAAGTGGGTAAATTTTCAAATAATCCACTCAACTTTAATATTTCAATAAATACAAATAATAACTAGTCACGCTTGCTGTGCGGTCCCGGCGTAGAATAAACAACCCCACCCTTTCCCGTGGGTGTCGTAAGAGGCGACTAATGGAGGGCGAGGGATGGGCAGCAGCGTTACTCTTGAAACATCTCTAAAAGCCTAACTGTGAATGCCAATCTGCCTGCCAAGCGTGGCAACTACTGGCAAAACTCCCCTTATGGGGAAGGCTTATCAGCAGTGGACAGGTAAAGACTGAAATGACTAAATGATGACTAGACAAAATGTACCCTAAATGTACCCTATGTGGTACTGCACACTGAGTCGACCTTGCTTTACTTACAGTAGTTTAATGTACTGCTAATACAATATGGAGTACTAGATCCCTTTGGGAGAGAAGTCTCTACAGTTAGGATAGCCCTGATGATCGCTGACCCCCCATAGAAGATGGCCAAACAATGCAGTATAGAACAAATTCAGCACCCAGTTCTTACCCTTGACATTTAAAAAGAACAAGAAATACCAACACTGTCTACATTAGACACAGCCCTGTTTTAATCAAAACAGAAATGCAAGACACATTAGATAAATGAGATGGAAATTAAACAAAAGCAGATATTTTAAATCTTTTATTTTACAGGCTTTTATTCCCGAGGAGTTGATGTCAGGCAGGTGGAAAGTCGTAAAACGAGAAGTCAAAACCTTGTAATATATGAAAAAAAATACATATTACACCAACCTGCGGCTAACTAGCAGATAAGGATAGGAAGATAAGATAGATTTTAGGAACTATTATTCTAAATATATCAGTCCCATTGTATCCTAGGGTAATAGTGAACGAGTCCGTGTGTCTTCCAGAAAGAAATAACCGCAACACAAAAACAATAGCTGTCACAGATTTATTTCGTATTAGTTTAAACTTAACAAATATCAAGTTTAGTACTATAGTTAACCCAGCACATAATACCCACAAACTAATACGCCAAAGTTTTACCCTGCACCGCCACATACCAGGTACATTTTTCTTTATTGGGGAAAAAATATCTTTCATAAAGTTAAAACAAGCAATACATATTTGCAAAATTTTATTAAAATCAATTGAGCGCTTTCGGAGATTAGCATGAAATTATATAGTAAAATGAGATTTGTTTATATTAGGACATATAATTAACTTAATCCCATCCGGCACGAAGGACCACAATAAGAACATCGCTTGATCTATAAAACACATACTGGGATAACTCACAACTCCAAACAATTTGCACTCGAATGACCTAATTAGAATTGGGCAAATACAATTGACAATCCTATCGACATAGTAAATGCTTATAAAGATATTTTTAATTCGAAGTGAGTAGCATGACTGTGTGTTGATGTTGGAAAATTAATTTCCATGTAGAAAAGTATTGAAGAAGCTACTGCATTTTTTTTATATACAACATAGAATGGCAAACAAGCTGACGTCCCACCTGATGGAAAGTGGTAACCGTCGCCTATAGACAAGAGCAGTACCATGGACATAACAGAGTATACTGTTTCGCCCATGATACCCCCCATGCGTTGCCATTCCTGAGGACTCAGGTGTTATTCCTCAGTACCCTGTAAATTCACGCCATATCCCCACACTTCAAACCGAAATACTACTAAATGCAGTTGACAATACAACTAACTTACTCAAGTAGAGTAAATTTTAACCACATCACCAGGCAGTCAATGCTTGCTGACATACGTCGTAAAATTGTAACAAAAACCCTATTACATTTAACCTTCATTTAACTATTAAAACTATGAGAAATGCCATTAATGTAAATGCATAAAAATATAAATACATAACAAAATTTCATTGAAATCAACAAAGTATTACTTAGTCAACGTTTCGTAAAATACAACGATAGCATTCTATATCTATAATAATTATATTCACAAAGGTTTGCAAGGCGATGGCGCTCAAGTACATATATATATATATATATATATATATATATATATATATATATATATATATATATATATATATGCAACTTAGAATGGCAAACAAGCTGGCAAACCACCCACGGATATATATATATATATATATATATATACCCCCCATGCGTTGCCATCCCTGAGGACTCAGGTTTTATTCCAATATATGTATATCAATAGTCATTAAGAAATATATAACATTGTTTACTTATGTTTGAATATGACAGTAAATAGATTGTTTGCCAGTCTCACGCTTCAACTCCTAACGTGTTACAGAATTTACATCGAGTCGTGCTACTACCAAACATACCTATTTCTTTTTTTTTAAAGTAAGAATCTTACAAAAGCATCATGTTATAAAATAATTTAGAACACAATAAGGGTAATAGAAAATAATGTACAGCTTACAAGTAAATAACAAGACAGAATTATGGTGGTCTCACCACCATACCAAGTAAGACTCAGCACAAGCTGTTATGGGACTCAGAACTTTTTTTTTAGTACATTTTAGTAGATTATTTAAACTTTTTTAAACATGAACAAATTATACTGTTTTACAATTGTACAATACAGACGACATAAATATTGAATAGGAAATAATACACCATCTTACATTTAAATAGAGTGTCTCCATACAAATGCTTGGATAAAAGCGTGTCAACTTTTTCATACAATTTTGCGTGATAAATAGTTATGAGTGATTCCTTTATAACTTCTATATTTATTTTGTTTCATAATTTTCGCATCTGTTTAATGCACAAGAACTTTTGGGGGAAAGGGATTGTTAGTAATGGAGACTGAGAATCCCATTGCTAGCAATATACCCAACCAGGTCGATCTCCTCACGGTTCCCCCTGAAAACTATCATGGTTAATTCCTGATGAATTCATCATGATGGGCTTATGGGCCTGTTTTCATTCTCATCTATCACCCTTCACTGGTGCTCCGCCATCGTATCCCGTTAGCGCAGGGCATACCATTTTCACTCATCCAAAAAAAAAATGCATAAAAACTCATTTAATTTATTAAATAATTAAATATAGATAAGTCAAAATACATAATGTGCATAAGTATATAGAACATTTTTTTTTTGATGGGTGAAAATGGTATGGTAACCCCGCCTGCGCTAACGGGATACGCTGGCGGAGCACCAGTGAAGTGTGATCGATGAGGATGAAAACAGGCCAGTTAGCCCATCGTGACGAATTCAACAAGAATTGTTCACGATGGTTTTCAGGGGGAACCACGTGGAGATCGACCTAATAAGGCATATTGCTATCAATGGAGCTGTCAAAGTCCATTGCTAACAACCCCTTTCCCCCCAGTATATAGAAGATTGATAAAAGAAATAAAGCTAATTGTCAAATTAGCTGACAAGAAGTTGAACCGTTTTTGAGGCTGGATGCTCTATCTATACAATCTAAGTATACGTATGTACGTCAATTATATTCTAATATAAATGTGCGTGTAATCATACATCCAATATTGTGTGCGTATGTATATTGACACGCTACTTGAAAACTGTTACATAATTCACATATATGTATACTATTGGCGTGCCTATATCAAATAAATAAGTTACTATACACAATAGAACAAATATAAACGTGATAAATATCATTTTAATTATTTCTAGTCTACATCTTGCAGCTTCTATCGGCGATTTTTTTTTTCGTAACTCTGAAAATAATATGAATTTAATATAAATATATATATAATTGTGCACATACATTAAAAATAATAAGTCTCATCTCTCAATTCATAAGTGACAAGTATGTAAACATCATAAATCATTTACGAACAGAGAAATTTAGGGTTTGTATGAGTTTATATGAAATGGATGGAAAGAAGTATCTTAAAGTTAAGAAAAATACAGAAAATAAGAAACACTGTTATTAGGAAGAAAACCAAAATAACAGATGCTCTTCAGTATAGTATGAAACAGAAGCGGAGATGGGCAGGTCATATAGTGAGGTACAAAGATAAAAGGTGGACTCTCCAAACAACAAAATGGCGAGGTCCAGCAGGAAAAAGAAATGTTGGAAGGCAAAAAAAGAGATGGGCAGATGACATAACAAAGACAGCAGGAAAAAACTGGACAAGTATTGCTACAGATAAGGAGAAGTGGAAAAAAGTTTTTTATATGTTTTTCTTTTATTCAAAATTAAAGTAAAATAGTAACGTTATTATATAATCGTGTATTCTTCATTATTATGTTGTTTTCTCACATGTAACATGTATAATTTATATTATTTTTCTTAAGAGCAATTGTATTTAACTAATGATATCATTTAAATGTAAGGTTTGTTTAGTGTATGTGTAAATAAATAAATAAATAGAAAAAAAATGTAGAAAAAAAAAGATGGAGGAGGATTTTACCCTTGGAGACAACTGAAGTGGAGAAAAAGCTATAATAATGTCAGTAAACAATTGTAATTAGTTAGTTAATAGTTATAATAATTTAATTACAAGAATAAAATAATAAATAAATAAAATTGAATATTTTGCTGTCAGTTATTATTTTAGGAATTCTGTAACATTATAAAAATGAGTTTATATAGGCATAAAACTGCTGATTTAAATGGAAATAAATGATATTGCTAGTCAGCAATAATATTTCTATATGCTACGGTTGTAACAGAACGAAAGATCGTTTAAAAATATTGTGGAAATATTAGTGTCAACACACTAGTGATAGTGGCATAACTAACACTGTATTTGTTTACGGTGTACGCACACTTACCCGCACCAAACAAGCCGAATTATTTATTTATTTATTTTACACGTCATTGCACCTAATGCTAAAATAATAAATTAAATGCAATAGTGATAGAAAAGGCGGCTTTATCGCTAAGCAATCTCTTCCAAACAAACTTTGGGTAGTGAATATTGAGTATTACATTTCTGAACTTTATTTTGGAATGCTTTATATGAAATTATATGAAACCCGCTCTACAACTCTCTCGTCAATTCCTTCCAACAATGGATTAGCCAACCAAATGAAAGAGCGAGAAGCAAGAGGGAGGTGCAAAGGTGTGATTACCACACGCGCCACGGTATTAATTACAATTGACATGAATTGGTTGAAGGTCATCAAAATTTTCAGATTTTTACTGTTCTATGCATGATTGGAGGTCAAGCTTCATCATCATATCAGCCTTTAACTGTCCACTGCTGAACATAAGCCACTGCCTTGGAGGATGTTACCTGCAGTTGCTATGCTTGGCAGGCGGATTGGCAACCGTAGTTAGGATTTAGGGATGTTTTAAGAGGGACGCCGCTGCCCATCCCTCGCACTCCCTTAGTTGCTTACGACACCCACGGAAAAGGAAGGGCTATTCTATGACGGGACTACACGACCGATGATTATGTGCACGCCAATATAATTTAAACTTACACTCGTTTAGTATAACTTACAGCAGTTAGTTACAGCAATCGAGAGGATGTCTTTTTTTTACAACACAGGGGGCAAACGAGCATGCGGCTCACCTGATGGTAAGTGACTACCGCCGCCCATGATCACCCACAACACCAGCGGCATTGCAGGTGTGCTGCCGGCCTTTTAATAAATGTCTTTAATTATTTCGAAGCAGATAAAATGTACGCGACCATCAGATATTTAATTACAGATATATTCGACGCGGGTAAGTGAGCGTTTACCTTTACTGTATCACTGCATGTTTATATACTGTGGTATCAGTTATGAGCATACCTTATAATCATATTTAAACGACTAGCGCCGTAGTCGCGGGCCGGCGGCGAGCGTACTGGGTACTCAGTAGAACTGTTTCAGCTGTTCGTACGTGATAAAGAAAATTATGTTCCACGGACCCATCCGCAGCCAGGTTGGGACGAAACCCTTGTACAGTGCTAGGAAACCCTCGTTGCGCACCGTCTGTAAGAGAAAAGTTAAAAACAAAATTAAAAAAAAAAGTTGTTACCAAGCACTGATATTTTACCATAGAGTGACGTAAACAACGCTCTTCATGTTTATAGGCTACCGTCATATCACCAGAGGGAGACTTTGTACCAAAAGTCGATTGCTTGGGTACCTCTGTCCCATTCGTGTTTCAACCGTGAAGCAGTTGTGTTTGTATGGCTGCGTTTCGGTTTGCAGGGTGGGATATGGCAGTGAATTTACAGGGTACAGAGGAATAACATCCGAGTCCTCAAGAATGGCAACGCATGGGGGGTATCATGTGCGAAACAGTATACTCTGTTATGTCTATGATACTGCTCATGTCTATAGGCGACGGTTACCACTTTCCATCAGGTGGGCCGTCAGCTTGTTTGCCATTCTAAGTTGTATAAAAAAAAGCAGTGGACAGTAAAAGGCTGCTGTGGTGATTTTATTGGTTAAATACAATACGTTGAGTGATAACACATTGTCACTGTTACTCCATCACTATATTGTTTTTTTTTTCTTTTAATATTTTTATAAGCAGTATTCTTACCTGCATAAAGCAGTCTATGGTTCCTTTGTAAATAACTTCATGCTGGCTCGCTATATGGTCCTTGACTCTCCTTTGATTCATTAACCTCGTCTGAAATAGAAATACATAATAATAATATAATTAAGGATTTAAGACGACAAGACGAGTAAAACAACGGGTCTACAATGAAATGAAATTCCGAAATTTCGTACTCAATTTCGTGTTTTTGTTTATACCAAAATCGGACCAATAAATGGAGTTTAACATTTCGTTCGTCATACATCCTATCATAAAAGTCCAAAGGAACGATATTTTAACATTTTTAATATTTCCAAACGGCATGTATTATGTTATTTTAACATCAAATTTGTGTTTCGTTTGGCTCCGAAATTTCGGAAAACATTTCATGGTAGATCCTCAGATTTAAATTTATCGAAAAAGGCCAATAATTAAAAAAAAAATAACATGAAAAAACAAAATAATGTTGCAACCTTAGATTATATAGACAGAGCATCGAGCCTCAAAAAATAGAAATATTTTTTATTTATTTATTTATTTATTTATTGGAAAACGTACAGCTGAATTACAGTCAATACATAATCAAATTTATATCTATGTTAAGCCATGAATCGTTCTCACATTTGTTAGCTAATTGTCAAATTAGATAACTCGTTTTTTCTATCAGTGTCGTATAAAGTATAAAACGGTAGACGGCAACGCCGGAAGTACCCCAGAATTGGTCCATTTATTAAAAAAAAAAAAAAAACAAAACCTTTGCTATAATGTGAAAGGATGATTTACAAAAAACTTCGTATTGGATGAAGGCAACGGCTCTTTTATAAAAAATTGTATTTTTTTAACATTTTACAAATAAAATCGAAAATTTTGTTTATTTCAAATTGATCACACTACCGTCTCTTGAAGGCTACAACACGTACCAATCAGTATTGTATATATTTATGCATAAAATGTATCTTGATGTATTATTTAATAAATAAAATGAGCGTTTACGCATCAAACATGCAGAAATTATAAGACAAAATAAATATAGAAGTTACAAACTAATCACTCATATCTATTTATCACGCAAAATTGTATGAAAAAGTTAACATGCTTTCCTCGAAGCATTTGTATGGAGACACTCTATCTATATAATGTAAAGTTGTAATATTTTTAAAATTAGAGTAAAATTAAATGTAATAATAATGATTGTAATAAAGTCGATTTGCTATGATTTTTGTGTTGATGTGAATGTGGATGTGGTTGCGGATGCGGATGTGAATGTGGATGTGGATATTAATGTGGATGCGGATATGGATGTGAATGTGGATGCGGATGGTGATGTAGATGTGGATGTGGATGTGAATGTGGATGCGGATGATGATGTGGATGCGGATATGAATGTGGATGCGGATGGTGATGTGATGTGGATGTGGATGCGGATGGTGATGTAGATGTGGATGTGAATGTGAATGCGGATGATGATGTGGATGCGGATATGAATGTGGATGCGGATGGTGATGTGGATGTGATGGTGATGTGGATGTGGAAAACACAAAATGTTGAAACAATATACCACCTCCCATAAGACTGATCGCCACTAAGTCCAGCTTCAAAATTAATTTCCAAAAATTCTTAATTGAGAGGCAAAAGTTAGACATTCCTGCAAGTTACCTCCATGTCCCATTTGTCTGCTAGTGAACTGTCATATCTGTCTGTTTACTGTATATTAATCTTTTTTTTTTTTTTTTATTGTACGTGGATAATCTGGTAGTATTATTTTATTGTTACCTTATTCCCTTTGGCCGCAACAGAATATCAGTGCTTTGCTCTTTTGAGGGCGAAGCAATAAACTGAGTTGTGGCCATTTTGTATAGCTATGGCACACTCACAAACGAAAGTTGCATTAGGTTTTATGTATTTTTTTGCCATTTATGTTATCTCGCTTTTTTTTTGTGTATGTATGTTGTAATTTGAGTGCTGTAAGTAATGCAAATAAAATTATCTATCTATCTATCTATGTGAATGTGGATGCGGATGATGATGTGGATGCAGATATGAATGTGGATGCGGATGGTGATGTGGATGTGGATGCTGATGGTGATGTGGGTGACAAACACAAAATGTTGGAACAATATTCCACCTCCCATAGATGATCGCCATAAGTCCAGCTTCAGATATGAATGTGGATGCGGATATGGATGTGAATGTAGATGCGGATATGGATGTGGATGTGAATGTGCATGCGGATATGGATGTGAATGTGAATGCGGATGGTAATGTAGATGTGGGTGTTGATGTGGATGTGGGTGCGGATGGTGATGTAGATGTGGATGTGGATTTGAACGTGGGTGCTGATGGTGATGTGGATGCGGATATTAATGTGGATGCGGATGGTGATATGGATGCGGATATTAATGTGGATGCGGATGGTGATGTGGATGCGGATCAGAATGTGGATGCGGATGGTGATGTGGATGTGGATGGTGATGTAGACGTGGATGTGAATGTGGGTGCGGGTGATGATGTGGATGCGGATATGAATGTGGATGCGGATATGGACATGAATGTGAATGCGGATGGCAATGTAGATATGGGTGTTGATATGGATGTGGATGTGGATGTGATGTAATGCGATGTATTGCGATGTGTTGCGATGTAATGTGATATAATGTATAGCGACCCGGACGACGTCGAGCGGCGTGCTGGCGACGGCGCTGCCGAGGCTGGCGAGCAGGCTGGAGGCGAGGTGGTTGGGCGGCGCGTCGCCGAGCGCGGGCAGCAGGCGGCGCTTGCAGGCGTCGTACGCGGGCAGCTCCACGGCCGCGATCACGGCCGCGCGCTGCGCCGTCGCGCCCGCGCCGCGCCACAGCCCGCGCGCGCCCTCGCGCCGCCACGTCGCCGCCGCGCACCGCGCCACGCCGCCGCGCTCCGTGCCCGTCTGCGGCCACCGCCCACCACACACCGCCCACCACACACCGGCAGTGTAGTTTCAAAAACAACACTGTTGCCCATCCCCCGACCCTAGTCGCCTCCTACGACACCCACGGAAAAGGTGGCCCGTTCTATACCGGGACCACACGATCAAATGTTCTTCCTTTTTTCGAATAGAGAGAGATACCAGAGGAAGACTTTGTACAAAAGTCGATTGCTTGAATACCTCTGTCCCAATCGTTTTTCAACCGTGAAGCAGTTGTGTTTGCATGGCTGTGTTTCGGTTTGAAAGATGGGATATGGCGTGAATTTACTGGGTACAGAGAAATAACACCTGAGTCCTCAGGAGTGGCAACACATGGGGGGTATCACGGGCGAAACAGTATACTCTGTTATGTCCATGGTACTGCTCATGTCTATAGACGACGGTTACCACTTTCCATCAGGTGGGCCGTCAGCTTATTTGCCATTCTAAGTTGTATAAAAGAAAACATTCTATGCTGTTGGCCGCAGATGGCTTTTAAAACATCACTAGATAATAAATCAAGCGAATGCAAACGGCACTCCTAACCCGCGGAAGGACTACGAGCGACCTTTCACCGTTTTCTGTCACAATAACAAACCAAATCTCTTTATACAAAAATTACCAATATTATAACAGCTTGACATATGGCAGTATGTCAAATACCTGCTAAATAAGTGATTCTCAACCACTGTGCCGCGGCACTTTTGTGTGCCGCCAAATTTTAAAAGTGTGCCGCCAAATTTTGCAAATATTTAAAATTTTTGTCATAAACTATTTACGCAGTGTGTTGTAGTAAGTAAATATTTTTTCTTTTTCTTTGTGTGCCGCCAAATTTTGAAATCGTTAAATATGTGCCGCAACAAAAAAAAAGGTTGACAATCACTGTGCTAAATAATAGGATATTAATGAGCTACAATAAAACAGTACAATGTCCGAACAGATAACGCCTAATGGGCCAGAATGATGGACTACCTAAAAGCGATTAAACAAAATCTCAGATAACTAATTTGGTTGAAGTCTCGTGTCGTATACTTCTGTTACTGAGCTACTAATTGTACAGCCGTAAACAAATTAAAAAAAAAAATACTTATAACAAGAAAATTACTGCATATTAAAATAAATAATATATTTTTACTAGATGCAGACCTTGTACAAAAAATCATCTGCTTGGATACCTCTGTTCTATTTGTGCTTCTGCCTTTAACTGCCCAGAACATAAGCATCTCTTTTGGGGGATTTTGCCAGCAGTTGCTACACTTGGCAACGGCGGATTGGCAACCGCAGTTAGGCTTTATGTTTTAAGAGGGACAGTGCTGCCCATCCCTCGCCCTTAGTCACCTTTTACGACATCCAAGGGAAAGGAAGGGGTGGCCTATTCTATGCAGGGACCACGCGACGAGCGAGATATAAGGCAATGAAATTACAAAATACAGAGGCATAACACTTTAGTCCTCAGAAATTGAAAAACATGGGAGGTATCATAGACAGTACAGTATACTGATTTTCCATGGTGCTGTTTGTGTCTATAGACAACATTTACCACTTTCCATCAGATGGGCCGTTAGCATGTTTGCCATTCGAAGTTGCATAAAAAAAAAATTCAGTAACTTTACTATTATAATATTAAAACTGTGTTGCATATTATTTGATAGTCACAAGGGTTGACAACATAAGAGTGTAGAGTGGAACATAAATATTTATATTAATAGTGGTAGCAATTACGTACTGCCAACCCTTGCTGACCAAATATTACGAGACAAACCTCAACAGTTCACCAATTTCAATGCAAAATTAAAAGTATATGTGACAGCAAGTACCTGCATTCGAACTTTTAATACATCAGTAGGATTGGCAATGGCGCTAGACAGGCCTCCAGCGAACGCTGCACAAAATGTATTGGTCAGCAGGTGCTCCTTGGTGCCACCGTCGGCTCGGTGCTTCGCTATTGCCTTCTTCATGGAATAATACGTGCCAAACTTTATAGTGCCATATGTAGCTTGCCGCAGTACTGCAGGCCATATGCTGTAATAAATTATACCTTTTTAAACAACTTTTATGTGAAACTAGTACTATAGAATTGCATTTATTTATATTAAGTACATCGTGGATATAAACTATAATGATAAAAAATTTGATTTGTCACTGGTGTTATCATCATCACATAGTTTATTTTATTTTATTTATATTTACACTTTATTGCATCATTTATAAAAAAGTAAATACAGTTAATTTTAATGAGAAGTGATACAAAAGGCGGCCTCATCGCTAAGCAATCTCTTCCAAACAACCTTTGGGTTCAGGACATTGTGAAAAAAGACAAAGAGTAAGTGGCGCACTATTATATATATATATATATATATATATATATATATATATATATATATAAAATATATATATATATATATATATATAGTATTATTTGAATATGACTTTCATATTTTAATAATGCTTTTATTATTATTCTAATTATTAATTGACAAGATGGCGCATGCATTAATTTAATGATGTTACCATAATGTATAATTTAATCAATAACACCTCAACTACATTGTTGATTGTATGGACATAATTAGTATCTTAGATAAATAATTAATTTATCTATGTATTTACATACATTTCAACAAAAATAAACCCAAACAACACACAAAAAAACATAAAAGGGCAACAAACACTGAAGTGGTTTGTGTGTACCACAATGACACAAAATGGTCACACCCTTACCCACAATACAAGGCTTTGACTCCTTCCTGCTGCGATGTCTTTATAAAGCAGTCCACCATGCCCGTATACCGTAGCTCCACATGTCTCGGATCAATCTTCTGCCCCTGAACCTGGAGTCGAGTTTTTGTTGTGTCGATTGGGAAGGTACCTATATTAATTTACATATTACTTTATTTATTTGGAAAACCTTTGGTACCTTTATATTTTGTAGCTGGAGTGAGCAGGGCTTACATTATGTACAAACATGTCTCTATTTATATGTATAGGCCAAAGAGAAATTTTATGCCTGATACAAAGGTTATATGACATGGCTCTAAACTGTGAATAGAAATAGAAACCTGATTCTTAGATAACTTTTGTGTTATTTTTAGCAAAAATTACATCTAAAAATTATATCTTGCCTTGGAGTTAACATGAATTATTTATTAGCTCAATTTAGAGCAGGGGTAGCCGACTTGACTAGACCCAAGATCTACTGTTTACTGACAAAACCCTGAGTGATCTACCAATTACATACTTTTTGAAGTCTCAAACGAATAGTTCAGTACACAATCATGTAGTATACATAAAACTGCAAATTATTTTTAGTAACTACTTATTTATATTAGTGTGAGCATTGCATCTGAGCATCTTCCGCTAGATTTTTTTTTGATGGGTAGAAATGGTATGGTAACCCCGCCTGCACTAACGGGATACGCTGGCGGAGCACCAGTGAAGCGTGATCGAAGAGAATGAAAACAGGCCAGTTAGCTCATCATGATGAATTCATCAGGAATTAACCATGATAGTTTCCAGGGAGAACCGTGAGGAGATCGACCTGGTTGGGTATATTGCTAGCAATGGGATTCTCAGTCTCCATTACTAAGATTAGATTAGCAAAGATTAGCAAAATATTGTTAGCCTTGCCATGATCGACCGGTTGACTGCCCCTGATTTAGATTATATAGCCATTTGAAAATCTCACACCTGCAGTCTGATCCTCATGTATATTATATATTATAATATTTAAGATGAGAAAAAATTATGCAAATATGTGTGCAAGTTTTCCAAACAAAGATATAGATAGGCCTTGAACATACAAACTTAACAAAAAAAATTTTAAAATTAAATTATTGTAATTTTTGTTTTCAATATTAGCACACTTGACCGAATTAATGAAATGAAATGAAATGAAATTTATTTGCTAGAAACATTGTAGAAAAGGTGGTGCATTTGTGAAGTTTATAAGATGTCCATTATGTTTCACCATTATATATGAAGTAGACTTTAGGTACTTTTAATTTATAAGATCAAATGTAAAAAATATTAAAAATGGGAAGGGGAAGGAATTGTTATAATGAAGCCTAGCTACCCTAATGGCCTCAATATAGCCAAGCTAGCCATATATATATATATATATAAAGTCCACTTGGTGGACCTCTGAATTTTCTCCCTTGGAATTCATCATGGTCACTCCATATTTATCCATCTTAATTCACTAACTTACTGATTAAAAATTATTTTGCTCCATCCAAAATCGTCAGATCCATTTTTTTTTATTAAGATAAAAAATTACACTCTCTCAAGTTGGAACAAACAATACCTAAACAGTTACAATATTTCATTAAAATTGATTTAACAATTTCACACAAATGATTAGAAACTTATAATTTAATATGACATTTTTTGTGGACCGCCCCATTTCTGAATTATAGGAGCCCAAACGTTTCAGACTTTTTTGCTATATCAAAAATTTTCTAAGTCCCAGTCCCTTGTAAAAAAAATTTTTAAATATTTTTTTCTTTTCAATAGTATCCCTATCCATACATCCCAGCTCCAACCATCCCTATGGGTATCCACTGACGGAACTAACATCATGACAAAGTGTATTTATTTATAAAGATAACAATTTAGATAAGATAAAGACTTAGATAAATTAAAAATATATGAAAACATGCACAATAATATTTACACAACAACAGATAAATTTAAATAACAAATTTCCACAATTAATTACATTATTACAAAGAGTAGTAATTAATAGATATCAAATGACAAATAACAATGAAAGGTCAAATAGTCAAAGGTCACCAACAATAACAGTTAAATTATAAGTAGATATTGCAATTACTGTAATCTGACGAAAAAATCTACTATAAATACATCAGGACAGACTCTCTTAAAATTTTTATTATAATTTGTCAATTAATTATATTAAAAGCCCTTCGAAAATAATCAAATTAAACTTGGATTTAGATTTGAGGTTAGTTTGAAATAAATTAATTAATTTTGTAACTTACCAAATTCCGCGACAATCGACGCCAAACCGCCGTAAACAAACGGTCTCCAGTCTCTATCACCCATTACATATGCACAAAAAATCACAATAAAAATATTTAAAAAATCAGCCGGTGGAGAGTTCCACGTTTAGCAAACACAACACAGCACGGTAAATCTCACGTAAATTGCGAAACTCTATAATGATAATAAAAGTAGAAGCAAGTTTTTCTATTATTTCATATCACGACATTATTTTAGAAATTAAAAACTTGTGCGATAATACTAAGACAAAAAAAAATTAGCGATCAAATAGATCAAATGAAATAAATTAGTGATGTATCGAACAGTTGAGTCAACAGATAACTCAATATTAAAACGAATAATTTATAGCTACTTTGATCCAATATAGTCAATCTTAGTCAAATATAACCAAGTTAATACTTTTTCAATAGGATGAGATTAAAACCAAATTAGTTAAGTTTTATTTCATTTTTTCAATTGAAGTAGGTTTTAAATATTTATTATAACAAGTTGACAAAGCTTAGCTAAAAAAAAAAAGGAGACTGTACAAAAGTCGTTTGCTTGAGCACATTTGTCATATTCGTGTTTCTACCGTGAAGCAGTTATGTTTGCATGGCTGTATTTCGGTTTGAAGGATAGGATATAGCAGTGAATTTACAGGGTACAGAGGAATAACATCTGAGTCCTCAAGAATGGCAACCTATTGAGGGTATCATGAAGTATACTCGGTCATGTCCATGGTACTGCTCATGTCTATAAGCGACGGTTATTACTTTCCATTAGGTGGGCTGTAAGCTTGAGTGTCATTCTAAGTGGCAAACCAAAAAGAAAAAAAAACAAAAACGGTTCCCAGAATAAAATAAAAATACAGGATTTATACAAAATAATATTAAAAAAAAATTAATTAAATAATAAAATTCAAAAGTATTAACCGAGTAAATATATGGCATTTTGGCATTTCCCTGCCCACACCTCCTCTCAAAAATTACCTTTTGTGCAACTAATGTACAAATAGAACTATTACCTAAGAAATATGTAATAGTTGTTTATACTGCGAAAATATTGATATTTATTTAATTTTTGATTATTTATTTATTTAACTCTTTATTACACCAAAAACAAAAATAAACAATGACATATAAAACAATTCAACTGAAATACAGTAGCATGAAATACAGAATACAATATACATATAAAGGTACAAAAGACAACATTTGGTTAAAGGAGAACATATAGATTATATTAGTCTTAAATCAAATTATTAATTTAAAATCGATTATCATCGTTAACTTCTTAGGTAACACTATCCAAGTTGTCAGTCTGTATTGTCAGTTTGTCAATAATGACATTTAATCTCTATAGTGATTATTAGGAAAAAGGCGGGAAACTCGAATAAGAACAAGCGGGTTTTTTAAATTTTTTTTATTAATTTATTAAAACTATCTCTATCAATTCTTATTATTGAATAAAATATTATATTTTCACTAAATTCAGCGACAGTAATATAATTAGCATTCATGGGGAAGCGCAGTTGTAGAAAAAGGAAAAAAAAAGATGACGATTCAGGTGATGTAGACCATGAACCTTGTAATGACAAGGATATATATTCGGAAGATACTTCTACTGACTCAGAATCTGAAATTGATAAGGCCGATAAGTATAAACCTTACTACGTCACAGATTATATTAGAAGATATCCCGAGGAATCCCCTGGGACAGAATTTGTTGTCTTTGTAGAATCCTCAGATAGTCAGAAAACCATTGGATCCAGAGACTTGCTCTCACTCTCCTCCTGTTTAAAACGATTTAATAAAGGGGTAACTTATCTTAGATCTATAAATAAATTCAAAATCGGAGTATACTTTCAAAAGCCAGACTTAGCCAATGCTTTTTTAAATAATAAAACTTTTTTAAATGACTACCATTTTAAGGCCAGTATTCCTGCTTCTTCAACAGAAGTTACAGGCGTTATTAGAAATGTACCTACAAATATATCTAATAAAAAAATATATACTATGATATCGAGTTCTAAGAAAATTATTGCTATTAAAAGAATTTTAAGAAAAAATACCTTGACTCATGGATATGTGTTACAGCCAACTCTAACCGTGACAATTACTTTTGCTGCATCTGTATTACCTGAATATCTGGATATTGGAGGTTGGCGCCACAATGTCACTCCATATATACCACCAGTTAAACAATGCTACCGGTGCTTGAGGTATGGACATTTAGCTAAATTCTGTAAGAATTCTGAGCGTTGCAGCATCTGCAAAGGTGAGCATAATTATAAAACTTGTACAACTGGAATGGAAAACGCTATTTGTGTACACTGCAATGGAAATCACACAAGTGTATCACCGCAATGCCCTGTTAAACAAAAGAAAATTGCTGAAAATAGATCTAAATTCAGACCTGCTTCTTTTGGAGATATACTTAGCACTGAAATATTTCCTAAACTGGGTAACAAACCTAAAAAAAATGTAGACCTTATTTCAATTCTAAATTCTGATAACAAGAGTTTATCACTTTTAATAGAAAGCATAATCAAACTTATTTCACTACATAACACAAAGAACACATCTATTAACACTAAAAGTGTTTTGAATGTGTTATATGATACTTTTGGTAATAGACCTATTTCACAAAATTCAATCGAGACCAATTAACTATCATACAGTGGAACGCTCAGAGCCTACTGAGCAATCGACATATTTTTACACAATTTTTAAATGAACATCATATTCACATTGCTCTCATCTCAGAAACTTGGCTAAAACCACATTACAAATTAAAAATTAAAGATTATTGTATAGAACGAAATGATTGTGGTAATAACCACAATGGAGTAGCGATTATTATACATAATAGTATTAGATATAAAAAACTTCACTCTTTTTTCGACAATTCTTTGCAAACTATAGCTATTAGTATTGAAGTTAATAATTCTTGGTATTCAGTTGCCAGTATTTACTGTCCTACCAATAGTACACCTAGTTTTACTAAAGCCAAATTTAAGTTCTTTTTGGAGTCTCTTCCTAAACCCACTATCATATCTGGAGATTTAAATGCACATCATACTATGTGGGGTTGTACCTCCACTAATACAAGAGGTAAAGACATTCTTGATTGTTTAGATGAATGTAATTTGGTACTATTAAATGATAAGCAAGTTACTACTGTTGGCTCTCATATTTGGAGACCCAATGGCCTTGATTTAACTATGGTATCCACATCCATATCATTAAAATGCGAGTGGTCGGTTCATGATGATCCGTTAGGAAGTTATCACCTGCCGACTTTTACTAAAATAAACACAAAGAACTCTTCATCAACTCCGTCAGGTGAACAACATGCTCCTATAGATGAAGTTAATAAACTTTTGTTAAATCGTATAAACCTACGTCTCGTTAATTGGGATCTTTATTCTGAAACTGTTAATCAATTACTTTTGGATTTCGAGTATGATGTCAATGAACCCTTAAACAATTACAATAGGTTCTGTAAAATTATTTTGACAGCTGTGGAACGTTCCGTTCCACGTAGGAACTTATCAAATAGCGGTGCAAATACTTCAAAGAGGCACAAACATATTGCAGTACCTTGGTGGAATAACAGGTGTGCGACAGCTGTCAATGATAGTAAAGCGGCTTACCTTAGGTTTAAACAAAATCCAACTCTCGATAATTACATAAATTTTAAAAGAGTTCAAGCTGTTAAAAAGTTAGTAATTAAGCAAGTAAGACAACAGGGGTGGCAGGAATTTTGTTCCAAATTTAATAGATTAACACCAATTTCCACTGTTTGGCAAAATATGAGAAAACTAAATTCAAAACATCGTCAAAATCATTTTAAAGATATATCATGGGTACAGATGGGCAAAGCACCGGGTTTAAACCCGGTGCTTTGGTAAAAACCCAATAAACACCCATAAACTCCCATAATCACCCAAAAAAATAGGTTTTTACGTATTTTTTTGAAAATATGTAAGTAATACCAATAAATTATTTTTATAAATTGTATTGATCAATTCTACAATATTAAATAAAACGTTAACTAATAATATTTCAGGAAATTTTAAAAATCTATATATAATAAAATGAAAGTAATTAATTTTCAGTGTTTTCATGTTGCAGTTGATCAACATGTTGGCCTTTTGCTTCCCGTAGATACTTTAAAATTTCTTCATAACACCTCGTTCGCACACATGGCCGTATATATTTAAATTCTTGAGCCACTAACAGTCCGAAATACTCATTTCTTTTATCCTCTTCTCCATAAATTAAGCATTTAGAACAGTTTGTTTCTTCTTTCAGTAAATTTTCTTTTACTTTATCCTCGTTTTTTTTCTTTGTTGCGACGACGCTGGGTAAATCATCTGGACACTGGGTCTCACTATCGCCAAATATATTTGGAGATCGGCTTCGGCTACGGCTTGGCAGACATTTTTTTCTTTCTACAATTTTAAATTAAATTTATTAGAATAAATGCTTCGAACACACGCGATCTAAGTACCTTTTGTGTTTATTATACCTTACCTACCTAGGTATAAAAAGAGTACTTACGTAGATTTTCTTTTATTAACTGTTTTATACGAAGATCTTGATCTCTCAAATTAGCATCCATTTTACTTCCAGTGATTATCAACTAAATTAATAATCCACAAAGTATTAAATAACGTTTTTATGAAATATTTAGCACAAAAACAATACCCTTTAAATATCGATCGTCAGTAACTGTGGCTGACTTACCTATATTCTAGCAAGCAGGACTGCCAGATGTGAAGGGGAAATCCCCAATAAATTGTTGCATGTGACTGATGATGTGAGCATGTTCGTTTCATAATAAAAATGTTGCCAGGTAACCAAAAAGTCGTATGTTTTTGTGCGAATTACGATCATAATCTTTACGATCGTACATTAAAAAATAGACAAATAATAGTATGAGTACGATTTAAATCGTATATCTGTCAACCCTGCTAGCAAGACAGCGACAAAATCACGTTGCATAACAATGTAGCCCAAGCTTATATCTTATGAAATATACGGAAGAGATACGGACTTAGAAAAAACAGAAATGTTGTTCTTTGTGGAAGTCATTGATGAAATTCTATGTATTTTAGCCCGCAAACTTTCTTCAAACAAAAACAGCGCCATCTAGTATCGAGTTCTGTAATTATCTCTTTGTTTATGGATTTGAAGTAAGACCGCCGCGCATGCAATACATTATGACTGGGGATTCCCCTATTCGTCGACGCTGAATATGAGGCGACGACAATCACTGTCAAACGTGTTCACTATTACTCTGACTCTGGTAACGTGACTTCCTGGTAACGTGTTAGGTAGGAAAAGCAGTAAAAAAGTGCATATTAAGGGAGCAGATTTGAAATAATATTTATACTTAACAAGAAATAATTAAAGGTAAGTGGATTTTTGAATGATACAATTATATCATGATCACTTAACAATTTTAACTTAAAATTAGATGTATTATTACAAGCTTTTATTTAGCTTGCGTTATGTAAATAAAAGTATGTAGGTATGTTCGTATGTTGATGCAATTATCCTCAATCCTCAACCGACTGGGATAAAATTTTCCATACACGTTTATTTTGGATGATAGTGCATAGTTAGCTGAGAGTCGTCATTGGATAATAATGGTGGATAGCCTAAGATGTGTACTAGATATTTATTTTTAACATAATATGCGTAAGTTTAATCGAATTAAAGAAGTTGCTGAGAAAAATACAGAACAATACGATAATAAACTAGCGTCTGCGTTTAATCCTCCGAGGAGATGTAATTTTACAAAGGTTTTTTGTATTTATTTTATTATTTTTTTAATAAATTTATTGTAAATAACAAGAAATAATCATTGTAAAAAAATAGGCACTCTATTGTTGAATTTTCGTCAGACCAACTAATCATCGTTCATTTTTTTAGGTTCAATGGGGAGACCTAAAGATTTACGCATATGGGAGCACTACCGTACTTTACCAAACAAGTCTGTTTCTTGCAAGCTTTGTAATAAGGTCTACAAATTCAGTAATGCTGCCAAAATGCTTCAACATCTTATCACTTGTCCAAAATCTCCAGAAACATTAAAAGACTCTATGAAACTTATAAAAGATAGCTCGTCCAAAACCAAAATGTCTGGACTGTCAGAGATAGAGACAAATGATTCTTTTATAAGCCCCTCGTCGTCTGCTAACACTACAATAAATGCTGAGTTTCAAGACACCGATGATCATATAAAAACAGAATTAGCGAGAGCTATATTTGTAACAGGGACGCCATTATCGATGGTGCAACATCCTTTATGGATACAATTTTTCGAAAAATTGCAACCAAAATTTAAAATACCTTCACGTAAAGCTTTAGCGACAAAATACTTAGATAAAATATATAGAGAAATGCGTTTTGAGTTAAATGAGGAACTAAATGCTTGTAGTTACTTACACCTTCAGTGCGATGGCTGGTCTAATTTAAGAAATGAAGGAATAATAAACTTTCTTATATCAAAACCTCAACCTGCATACGTTAAAAGTTTGAATACAGAAAGTAATCCTCACACTAGTGAATACCTTAGCCAAGAAGTTGAAAAAGTAATGAAAGTGTATGGAGCAAATAAGTTTCTTGTACTTATTGGCGATAACGCTAGAAATATACAAAAGGCATTCGAATTAACAAAACTCAAATATCCACATGTTGTTCCTCTCGGTTGCTGTGCACATATCCTTAACTTGTTGTGCCAAGATATTGTAAAGATACAAGAAGTAACTGTGTTTATTATGCAAGCCATAAATATAATAAAAACTGTTAAAAGGAGTCAACGATTAAGTTCCTTGTTGATAAAATCAAGGCAGGGTGAAGATTCTACACAAACACTAAAATTGCCTTGTGCTACAAGATGGGGAAGTCATGTTACTTCGTTAAAAAGTTTGAAAGCAAATAAGATAGCTTTGCAAATATTAACAGTTAGAGAAGATGTGGTAATTTCAAGAGATATTAAAGATTTAATTCTAAGTGATGATTTCTGGACGAAGACAGGGGAATGTATAAGTATTTTGGAACCAGTCACTGAAAGCATATTTTACTTAGAGAGCGACCAGAATCGTTTGCATCGCACATACATTACATTTAGAGATGTACAAGCTAAGATACGTTTTGCATTAAATGAGATTTCGACATTGAGCGAAGAAAGCAAACAGCAGATTCTAACATCAGTATCTTCAAGATGCAATATGGCAATGAGGCCAATACATTTTGCAGCATATATTCTAGACCCCAGGACTCTAGGAGTCGAACTTACTCAAGAGGAAGAACTTAAGGGTATGGAGTTTATCTACAATTTAAGCCAACACTTAAGTTTGTCAAATGTAATGGCAGATTTGGCGTGTTATAAAGCTAAAGAAAACTTTTGGGCCAGAGGATTTGTATGGAGCTCATTAGATAGCATTGAGCCCCTAATATGGTGGAAAGGTATTTGTGGTTCCACTGAGTTAAGCAAAGTAGCGATTCGTATTCTATCAGCTCCCTGTACTTCGGCAGCCACTGAGCGTTCCTTTAGTATCCAAGGCTACATACATAATAACAAAAGAAATCGACTTACAACTGAAAGAACTGAAAAAATTTCATTCATTTGTTATAACTGGAATCTTAAACATAAAGCTGAATGCGAGGACATTCAGTTTAATGAAGAAAATACCTTAGAAGCTTTCATTGAGCAAGTAAATGAACATAACAGTTTAGACGAAATAGAGCCTATCGAACCTATACAATTCATCGCTTGTAATAACTCTGAATCTGACAGTGATTGACTGTAGTTTTACATTTTACTTTCATCTCTTTCTTAATAAACTCAAAATCAAATTAAAAGTTTTTTATTCTGTAGGCTGCATAATAATATTGTCTATGTCCAGTATAGTGGACGTCTTGCGGCTGAGATGACGATGATGAAGTACAAAATCATAAACACCCAAAAATTTGGGTGTTTATGGGGTTTAAACCCAATAAACCCAAAACACCCGGTTTTTACCCACCAGACTTTAAACCCACCCAGGTGGATTGCCCATCTCTAGATACAGCTAGTGGCCTTGATCGCTTAACATACAATATGTTTCGATTGCTGAATAAAATAAACCTTACTAAACTCTTACAAATTTTTAACGATTTATGGAAGGACTGTATTATCCCACCAGAATGGAAAATGGATTGTTTGATTCCAGTAATTAAACCCGGTAAAGATCCTACAAATTTCGACTCCTATAGACCTATAACATTGACGTCCTGTGCAGGCAAATTATTCGAACAATTAATTAAACAGCGTTTAGAGTTCTTTATTGAAAGTAATAGTATATTACCATCGAATCAATTTGGTTTTCGCCGTGGATATTCAGCGCGCGAAAGTTTAGCGAACTTCTATGTCGACCTTAGTACTGCTTTGAATAACGATGAATATGTTCTATCTGTTTTTTTAGATGTCGTAGGAGCTTTTAACAATGTAAATTTAACAGTTCTATCTTCGATTTTATCCTCATTTCTTCCAATGAAACTTATCAAATGGATTTATAATTTTCTTAGTAATAGAGAAGTGTATGTTAAAGTAAATAGTAAATTAATAGGACCTAGGTTAAGCTCTAAAGGAGTATGTCAAGGTGGTATTCTAAGCCCGCTACTATATATTTTATATATCTATAAACTTAATTCAATTTTAGGAAACAGTGTGAACAACTTGCAATTTGCCGATGATTTATTAATTTATATAAAAGGAAAGAATATTATTGATATGCAATTAGTGTTAAATGAGTCATTAAAAAGACTTGAGAAATATTTTTCTCTTCTTTCCCTCGATATTAGTTTAACCAAAAGTAAAGTAGTTGTTTTTCATCAAGTTCATAAATATGTTCCATTAATGAATATTATATATAATAATCAAACTCTTCCAACAGACTGTAGCGTTAAATTTCTGGGGGTAATTTTTCATCAAAATTTAAAATGGGATCTATACGTTGATTGCTTAGTAGATCGTGCTTTAAGAGCCACTAATATAATAAGATCTGTAATTGGTCGTAACTGGGGAGCTGATCCTAAAATTATCCTTTTACTTTACAAATCTCTTGTTAGAAGTAATTTTGATTACGCTTTCTTTTGTTATGCCTCAGAACATAAATTAGTAGAAAAACTCGAAAAAATTCAAAATATGAATTTAAGACTTATTTTAGGTGCTATGTATACTTCTCCAATTATCTCAATGCAAGTAGAATGTAATTTGCCTCCTATCCTTCTTCGTTTCGAATACCTAAAACTCAAATTTCTCTTCAAAGTTTTTTCAGTTTCCAATAACCCACTCATACTCAAATTATTAAATTGCCCCATTTCTATGTTTTTGAATAAAACTATTGTCAATGATTTGAATTTACGAGATGAATATAACATCTATAGTAGTAAGATACTTCCTTGTTATAATGGCCTTTATGAGAGTAAGTTCTGTAAGATCAAAATTGTTATACGTAAAGACATAAAAGAAAAGCACGATATGTATGAGACTTTATCAGAATTTATTGACTACAGGCAGATATATACAGATGGTTCCAAAAATGCACTTAGCACTTCAGTGGCTTTTTACGATTTGTCAAATAGATTTGGTCACGGTTATAAAATTTCAACTTTGGCTAGTATTTACACAGCAGAAGCAAAAGCTATATTTTTAGCATTAGAATACATAGAAAAACAGGTACCATATTCGAAATGGATTATAATTACAGATAGTATGAGTGTTCTTATGGCATTAAAAAATAACACATTCATTTCATCATCAAACTACTTAATTCAAGAAATTCGTAATAAATATTATCATCTCTGTACTATATATGGAAAAGATATTATCTTCATCTGGACCCCTTCACATATTGGAGTGTTTGGGAATGAACAAGTAGACACTTTGGCTAAAATTATTAATTCAAGTGCTGCTCGTGTTCAAGATTTACCCCTTTGTTACTCAGATTGTAGTATTGGAATACATAAAATCGTTACAACTAAATGGGAGGAGCATTGGACTCAAATATTACAGACTAAAGGCAAATGGTACCGCAAAATTAATTGGCGTATTGGAAAACCGTGGTTCTGCAAAGGAAAGGACACAAACAGAAAATTTTACACCAATATTTGTAGATTACGAATCGGCCACGGACATTTCAACGAACACCTGCACCGAATGGGCATGATCGCTTCCCCATCATGCACATGGTGTAACTCAAATACAGCCCAATCTCTACATCACCTTTTTTTTTGATTGCTCTGAATTTGTCATTCAAAGACACATTATGTTTGACGAACTTAGGATTATCTTCAAAAAACCCGAAAATATCCCGCACTCAATCCCGCTTCTCTTAAGATTTCCTTCTTGTTTCAAAGCTATTTTCACTTATATTACTACAACATTCAAGGAGCTATAAGAATACTTTTATTGAATTGCAAGACAATGATTTTTTATAATTATTTATTTTTAATTTGATAAATCCACTGGTTTAAGAAAACTCAAGAAAAGATATTTATGAAAATGTACTTACCGGATTTGACAAATGAAATATTGAAGATTATGACAATAATTGAAGCGACATTAGAAAAATAAAATTCCAGACAAATTATCTTTTTGAAGACTAGGCAGCATGGTCTCCGACCTTAGCCTGTTCCAAACGGAACAAACGTACTAAAAAAAAAAAAAATCTATAGTGATTACTTGGTCTGTGGTTTCGTTTATTTCTAATTGTATTTAATTGCTCACTTTCAACACTATTGTAATAAAAATACCTATTTTTAATATATCGAAGAACAGGAAAATAACGACAAATCAACGTAGTGTTGCTGGTGCTTAATTTCTAAAGGTATAAATTATGAATTAATTTTGTAGAATTATTGAAACCCGTACACCAGCTGTGTATTCAAAGAATTTTATAATAATAAATATTATACTGACAAATTTGGTATAAATTTGAAACAATTATTGCATATTGATCCTCTTTTTTTTATCATAATTACTGCCAGTTGTAAGTTGATTATTCTACAAACAGCATACTTAGAGAAAATCACATTGGTGCCTACGCTATATTCTGAGTTTTTTGAGTCTAATTAATAATTGTTTAAGTTTCGCTTGTAGCACTGGATATTGGAAATTACAGAAAACACATTAGTACAAATAAGATTCAATAAAATGGTTTTAGATTTAGTGATCGAGTTATTTGTTTAACATTATTTATTCACACATAAAAGGAATGTTGCATTAGTTTGGTCATTTGGAGAGGATGGATGAAAGAAGAATTACGAAAGAGATTTATCGAGCAAGAATGAATGGAGATGTCGGTAGGGGCCACCCTAGATGGACATATGTTGACCAAATAGGCGATGTGCTGAAGAAGGGGCAAATTAAAAGTACCCATAACTGGTGAGTGTGTATGAAAAGATTGATGAATGTATTTTACGCAAAAAGAATTATGACCTCGAATGTTCCAATGTTTCTATTCAAAGATTCCTAAATACAATGACTAAGGAACACAAGGCATCTTGGAGTTGTCAAATATGCCGTTGTCAAAAGCCAAAAACAGACAACACAAATACTCCTATTAGATCATTGCATTCCAACGTATCCTTGAAGGAAACCTCTGAGTTTGGTGAGGATTTCGTCACAACAAGGAAGAAATGTAATCGTATAAATGTATCATCATGCTCGGATGTGGATCTTAGTATATTAGGAGATACACTGGAAGCTGAAAATATTCAAAAACAAAGTAACTTAGCATTATACCATACGAAAAATCCAGCCGAATCTACCAATCTTACAGTGAATTCGACAGACTTGAGTGTACTTCTGGATACGAAGTTAGAAAAAATAAAACAATCTTTATTGAGTGATATAAGGTCAACAATAATCTCAGTAACTACCTGTGAAATCTCAAAATTGAAATTAGAGTTAACAAAAACTACAAGTCTTTTATCAAGCGAACAGGATAGCCTCAAAAAAGATATTAATAAAATGAACAAAACGATAATTAAACTGGAAGCAGAAAATACAAAACTTTGTAAACAACTACAAGAAATACAGGAACAAATTGCAAAGTGTAATTTAAATTTCTCGCAATCTGAAAGTAATATAACCGATATAAAAAAGAAAGTAGTCCTTTATGGTCTTAGTGAACAAGAATGGGAAAACTATAATGAATTATTTGACCGAATTGTATATATATTTCACGAAATATTGAATATAAATGTAACTACCTATATTGAAGACATAAAGAGAATCGGAAGAAAAAACCATGCAAGACCAGTAGTAATCGAATTGTTAAGTAAAAATATAACCAAACATATACTTCAAAATAGACGTCTTTTCAAGCACACTGGTCTGTCTATATCTGAATTTTTAGATGACGAGATGCTACAAAATAGGAAAAAATATATAGAAATCCTTATTGATGCTCGACGTAATGGTCATCGAGCAAATATTATAAATAATAAGCTAATAATCGATGGTAGAGAATATAATACACTTAATACACTTAATACTAGTTCAATTGACCTAAAACAAAAAAATAATCGGAAATTAAACAATGAAGCAACCGCCAGACTCTCCTTATCTGCAAGTAATCCTGAAACATCTTCTATGCAAAAAACATTTCGAAAATAAATTCAATATATTATACCAAAATATAAGAAGCATAAAAAATAAAAAACATTTACTGGAAGCCGCAATCGAGGAAGATGGAAATTTACAAGCTCTCTGCCTATCAGAAACTTGGATCACGGAAAGAAAATTGGACTTACTACATATGGATGGTTTTAAGTTGGTTTCAGCATACTGTCGGAGTAACCAAGAAGGAGGAGGAGTATGTATCTTACTGAAAGAAGATATAGAGTGTAAGGAGCTTAAGGATGTTGTGGATTTGTCTATTGAGTCAATTATTGAGTTAAGTGGAATAGAGATACCTAAAATGAACTTAATATTAATTAATTTATATTGGCCAAATAAAAACAGAATGCCAGAGATATTCTATAAATCACTGGAAGATCTCTTACAGTTGTTACAAATAAAATATAATAAAAGGAATGTAGTTATAGGAGGAGATTTCAATATAAATATTTTAGAATCATCTTCATCTAATTATCTATTAGATCTTATGAGGTGTTCGGACTTCCATCAATATGTGAATGAGCCTACCAGAATAACGAACAAAAGTTCTACATGTATAGACCTCATTTTTGCAAATTTCCATAAAAGTAATTTCCAGTTAAAAATTCATGAATATGGTTTCTCAGATCATAAAGGTATATTAATGACTATACCGACAGATAAAAATAAAATAAAAAAATGTTGGTACTTAGATAAAAGGATATTCAATGAAAAAAATATACAAAAATTTAAATTTGAACTAAGTAATGTTAAATGGAACAAAATAATCGATATAAATAAAAATATACATCAAAATTATAGTATATTTATAGAAACATTACAGGAAATATTAAATAAATGTATACCTAAAATTACAATAGCAATTAAAAATAAGAAAAATAAATCTTGGTTAACGAAAGGAATAAAAACATCATGTAAAAATAAACGTTTGTTAAAAAAATTTATTTGTAAAATTGATAGTCCTATTTTAAATCAAAATTACAAACAATATGAAAAAATTTTGAAAAAATCAGTTAAATTATCAAAAAAGTTTCAAAATATTCAAAGAATAAAGAAATCTGAAAATAAAATTAAAACAATGTGGTCTATAGTTAGGGAAAATACAAATAAAAGTATTCGAAATATTAAAAAAAATATAAAATTAAAAATTGAAAATAATATCACAGACAATCCCACAAAAATAGCAAACTCATTTAATCAGTTTTTTGCTTCTATTGGAAATGATAATGTAAACCAAAGTCAGCCATTACAATTAAATAAATGTATGAGTAGCACCATCGAAAACTCTATGTATCTCAAACCGGTGGACTTAAAAGAAATTCAAACTATTATAAAAAAACTAAAAAATAAGCGTAGCTATGGCTACGATGAGTTTCCACCTGTCTTAATTAAAAAATGTGCTGAAGAATTGACGCCTATTTTAACCTTACTTATTAACCAGTCATTTACAGAAGGTATAGTCCCAGACCCTCTGAAAATCTCCCTAATCAAACCAATTTATAAAAAAGGTGAAAAATTAGATATAAATAATTATCGTCCCATTTCTTTGTTACCAACGTTTTCAAAAATATTTGAAACTGCAATGTGTGACCGTCTATATTCATTTTGCGAAAAATACAATATCTTCAGCGAGCATCAGTATGGTTTTAGGAAAAATCGGTCAACTTCATTAGCAGTCTTCAAGTATATTAACGAAATAATTAATATCATAAACAACAAAGAATATGCCGTAGGCATTTTGCTCGATATGAGTAAGGCTTATGACTGCGTCCAATACAAAACGTTATTGAAAAAATTATACAACATAGGAGTAAGAGGTCCCGCTTATAAATGGTTTACCTCTTATCTCACAAATCGATCCCAATATGTACAAATAGACCATGTAAATAATCAAACTGGAAAAATAAAAACAGTAAGATCTCAACATTCAAAATTAATAAATTCAATACCTCAAGGAAGCGTCCTCGGATGTATATTATTTTTAATATTCATAAATGATTTGCCTGAAGTGATAGACAGCCCCTGCACATTGTTTGCAGATGACGTTTCTGTTGTTGTTTTCTGTAAAAATAACCTAAACCTATAAAGTACACTGGATGGTAGTATGTTAAAAATAGTGAGCTGGTTACACTCACATAATTTAAAAGTAAATTTTAATAAAACTAAATTAATGGTTTTCAGTCCATTCCAAAAGAACCCGCTGCAAATTAACTACTCTTTCAATAATATTAAAATAGATTGCGTAGAGAAATATTCACTATTAGGTGTAAATGTAGATTCGAATATTAATTGGAAAGCGCATGTGCAGAGTGTGGCTACCAAGCTGTCTAGATTCACTTATGCACTACACCAACTAAAGATATCTTCTGATACCAAGACAGCCATGTGCGCCTATTATGCATATGCCCACTCTTTGCTCCAGTACGGCATATTGATGTGGGGTAATAGTACAAACGTGATTGATCTTTTTAAATTGCAAAAACGATGTCTCAGAATAATTGCTAACATAGATAACAGGGAAACTTGCAAACCATACTTTATTAAATATAAAATTTTAACTTTACCGTCAATGTACATATTAGAAGCGTGTCGTTTTGTTAAATGTAATATGCACCTATTTCCACAATATACCCGCCCTCAGGCATTGCGACCGCAATGTAGATTAGCAAGACCATTCTCGAAGCTACAGTTATTCCATTCTGGCCCTTACGCAATGTCAATAAAAATTTACAATAAAATACCAATTAACTTAAAAGGTGAGGATGATTCTAAAAAGTTTAAAATAGCTCTAAAAAAATATTTAATCGCAAAGAGTTATTATGCGCTACAGGAATTTTTCAAGGAAAAAAGTTAGTTGTGTTTGTGCTTGTTTGTTTTAATTTAATGATGATTTTTTTTTTATTTTTTATACTAATCGACGATACATATATATTATTATTATTTGTCTTAAATCATCATCATCTTCCTACCCTTATCCCAATTATTATTTGTGGTCAGCGTAATATGTTTTTTTATCTATATTACAAAAAGATTTGGCTTATAGTTGTATGACCGGCCGCCTGCCTGATGTCAACCCTCTTTGAGAATGTATTTGTTGGTGGTTTATGCCACCTACAGACATTATCGTTAGACAAATAATCTTGGCAAAATTACATATTTTTTTGTTGTTCATATGTACCTATTTTCATAATAGATTGTCTGCTCTAGCTGTAACTATGTTTGACAACTATGGCAACACTCAAAGCTCGCCACCCCCTCCATCACCAAAAGTGTTGAGGTTCGACAAGAACTATGTGAAAACTCTGCCTGGACTACTTAAGATTGTTCAACTGGTAAGTTGTCAATCCTTACTAATATTATAAATGTAATAATAATAGGGAGCAAATGGTAGAGGGTTGGGCAACAGTGTCCCTCTTAAAATGTATGTAAAAGCCTAACTGTGGTTGCCAACCCGCCTGCCAAGCATGGCGACTACTGGCAAAACTCCCTTTATGGGGAAGGCTAATGTTCAGCAGTGGACAGTCAAGGGCTGAAATAAAAAAAAAATAGTTTATTTGTTCAAATATGGGTTTTACAGATGATACATATTGTGTCTCCATATTTTACCATACATGGTGTGCAAATCTATTTTTAATATAAAAGTGAATTTGTTTATTAAAACAAATTTATGTGTTTAAAAATACAAATCTTTAACTTGTAATGTGTTATCCCTGATGGTCACTCAACTCTGAAATCATACCTAAAGTACTTCATGTTCCACGTAGAATATAATCTAGTTATGTACTGAATTTTATCCAAACTTGTTTAGTAGTACTTACCAGAGGGAGACTTTGTACAAAAGTCATTTGCTTGGGTACCTCTCTCCCATTCGTGTTTCAACCGTGAAGCAGTTGTGTTTGCATAACTGTGTTTTGGTTTGAATGGTGGGATATGGCGTGAATTTACAGGGTACAGAGGAATAACACCTGAGTCCTCAGGAATGGCAACGCATGGGGGTATCATGAGCGAAACAGTATACTCTGTTATGTCCATGGTACTGCTCATGTGTATAGAAGACAATTATCACTTTCCATCAGGTGGGCCGTTAGCTTGTTTGCCATTCTAAGTTGTATAAAAAAAAAGTCTTATATGAAAGAGTAACAAATGTTATCATTAACTTTCACATTTATGAATGTGTAAAAATAATGGTAGAGTTACGAACAAATGAATTTCCATTTCAGATATGCAACACGATCGGTTTCATCTGCATAAAAGTGTCCTGGGCGTGGTTCTCTGCTATATTCTTCAATATTCTGTACTGGATTGCCAACGTCGTGACCATATTCATACTAGTCATGTACATGTTCCACTTTGTTGAAAAGTACGACCGCTGGCCGTGGCTAAAGCTGGAGTTCTTCTACTGCAGCATAGTGGCACTGGCATATATATGTTTCTCAATATTCGCCACAGCTATCGGCGAAAGCGTTGGATACGCAGTTGGGGTGAGTATTGTTCTTTTATATTTTTTTAATTTATATCTTGTTCTATTAAAAAAAAAAACAATTATATTAATTGTATTAGCGTTTATTAAAACTATTTTACAGGGGGAAAGAGATTGTTAGTAATGGGGTCTAAAAGTCCCAATGTTAGCAATATATCCTATATATATATATATATATATATATATATATATATATATATATATATATTTTTTTTTTTTTTTTTTTATTTATACAACTTAGAATGGCAAAGAAGCTGACGGTCCACCTGATGGAAAGTGGTAACCGTCGCCTATAGACATGAGCAGTACCATAGACAACAGAGTATATTATCTCGCCCATGATACCGCCATGCGTTGCCATTCCTGAGGACTCAGGTGTTATTCCTCTGTACCCTGTAAATTCACGCCATATCCTACCCTTCAAACTGAAACACAGCCATGCAAACACAACTGCTTCAAGGTTGAAATAATTATCATATTCCATTGCACTATATAGTAAGAAATTGATATTTTATTATGTAAATTTAAAATATAATCGTAATCTGTTATTTATTTATTTTTTTAACACTTAATTGCACCAACATAACAGGATTTGTTGAACAATTTTCATAAAGTATAGTGTAGTACAAAAGGCGGTCTTATTGCTAAGCAATCTCTTCCAGACAACCTTTGGGTAGAAGGAATTAAAGAATTAATAGGTAGGTGGCGCGTTAAAAAAATAGATCTGTAAAAAATAATACACACATACATATATATATATATATATATATATATATATATATATATATATATATATATACACCTATCCCCCGATTTACACGGTACTTGTTTAACACGTTTTCGCTTTTACACGGTTTTCCAAATAAGTTTTTTTTTTGTTTTTATCGCACTCTACTAAATGCTACTGTCTTTGAACACGTGCGCTGTGTACACATTTCACGGGGAATCCCGAACTTATGTGCTGACTTGCTGCACATGCACACTGTGTCTGTATTTCTTCGCATAAAATTAAAGTTTTATCTACGGAAAATTGTATTTGAGTGAAAGTTTCACAGTGTCAGAAAGATTTAATTTTTCATATTCGTAAATTACAAGTGAGTGCATAATTAAGATTTTTATAAATTAACATAAATTAAAAAAAAAATTATAGGCTTATAATGTCGAAAGAAGTTAAAAGAAAAGTTATTTCTTTAAAAACTAAAATCGAAATTTTGGATCGCTTACGAAAGGGAGATAGAGTAGTAGATGTTGCAAAATCATATAACATGAACGAAGCTACAATAAGAACTATTAGAACAAATGAAAACACAATTAGAAAGAGTGTTGCAGCTGGCAATACCACGAGTATTTTCACACAGATCTTACAAAAAATTCGAAGCGATTGTTAATAACCGATTTTATTACCACCTCTCAGAATGTAAATATTTCTGCTTTAAACATCGAATCAGCACAAATAACTTCGAGTGATGAAAGTGAATTCCAACCTTTCGATTCCGAAAAAAAGAATAAGAGTAATTTCTGATAGTGATGAAGGATAATAAAACACCTTTGGTTTTAATTTTTGTTCTTCTGTTTAATGTATTGTAATTAAATAAAAAAACAGTGTTTCCGTAATATATTACATATTTTAACCTGTCAATGCATTTTATTTTTATTTCTGTGTACACCTAAAAATATTGAAGAAATCACAACTGTTAAATAGCAAAATTATGCATTTTCTGCAAGCTTTTCGATTTACACGGTTTTGACTTAAAAATTTTTAATTTTCAATTTACACGTTTTTCTCAGGAACGTATCTACCGTGTAAATCGGGGGATAGGTGTGTGTGTATATATATATATATATATATATATATATATATATATATATATATATATATATATATATATATATACATACATACATACATACATACATACATACATATACATAATGTTAAAATTAATTATTTTTCTTACTTAATAATTGAATCATCTGTAAAAGTGCAGGTAACAATAAATAAAGAATTAATATAAAAAAAATCAACCTCCACACCATTCCCCCTGGAAAGCATTGTTAATTCTTAACCGTGATGGTTTTCAAGCTAACCAGGGCCACCATAAGCCTGCCACTCCCCTAATCACGAAAAAGTCACAATGTAGTGTTGCTCGCGACACAGCCGTGAACTGCGCTCTTGAATAGAATAGAGTTCTTAAATTTAATCAATGAATAAAACTATAATAATTACAATGATGTAATTGTTGTATTGATGTTAACAAAAATATGTTAACATACAGTTTATTTGTGTCATAATATATTACTAATGTATAATGTGGTTATTTAATTTGTATTGTAAAAACCAAGCCTGAACTTGATATTCACAACGATAGTCACTGTGTTCATGGCTAAATTAAAATGTTGATGTACCTCGCCATTACATTATATTTATTTATAATTTATAATAATTTAATTACAATTTCCATTATTTATATTATATTATTATTCATGTTGTTAATATCTTTACTTATTTAATGACATTTAATAATTTAATTCTATTTTAATGTTTATCAAACACAAGGCACGCTGTGGTCGCCTATAAATGTAAGAACAGTTAGATCTAATCTACCAGTGTATTGTATTGAAATGTTTAGCTGTATCTTATGTTGGTGATCCTATAAATAAATAAATAAATATGACGTGGATGATAATATGTGTAATTCTGGGAAAATAACAACCATAATGATTTGATTCTTACGAACGTAAGTCCTACATAACACATATAGAAGAGATTGTGAGAGATCGCCCTAGCGATAAGGCCGCCTTTTGTACCTTTATATGTATATTTTTATCTGTACTCCATGCTGCTGGATTCGTATTGAGGTCGACCTGAGTATTGCTAGCAATGGGTCTAACTGACTCATTGCTAGCAATACTCAGTACTAACAATCCCTTTCCCCCCTATCAATGCCCATTATATAGAATACAACAATGTAAGACTTAAAATAATAATAATTCAAGTCTTATATTATTTTCTTTACAGTTTTTCGGACTGTGTGCCATTATCGCGTATGGACTCGACGGTTACTTAAAATACAAGGGTTGGAGAAGAGGTCTGCCGGCTCAATGAGTGCCTTACTCTATGTCAGTGATTCTCAACCACTGTGCCGCGGCACTTGTGTGCCGCCAAATTTTGCAAGTATTTAAAATTTTTGTCATAAACTATTTACGCAGTGTGTTGTAATAAGTAAATCATTTTTATCTTTTTTTTTTGTGTGCCGCCAAATTTTGAAATCGTTAAATATGTGCCGCAACAAAAAAAAAAGGTTGACAATCACTGCTCTATGTGTACTAATTCAAAGCGTAAGTTTCTCGACTGATTAGTTTTGTTGATTGTCGCATAATATTGCAATGTGTTGATGATAAATATTATAGTTAAGTTTATCAAGGACGATAGGAAATATGGATCCGCGTGGCTATTGATCTGAATTCATAACGTTTATACGAAATAATAAAATATTATATTTGTCTTCAATAGCAGGGCTAATAGTTTTGTTAAATAAAAAATAAAAAAGTTAAAGGTGACTTTATACCACCATCTGTGCCATTCATTTGTAGAGAAAGAGTCAGAAATATATTTCATGTAATTTCAGTCTTTTTGATATAGTTGGTTGCAAAGGGCAACACAATATGGATTTTTTTTTATACAACTTAGGATGGCAAACAAGCTGACGGCCCACCTGATGGAAAGTACATGACAAGACATGAGCAGTACCATGGACATAACAGAGTGTACTGTTTCCCCCATGCGTTGCCATTCCTGAGGACTCAGGTGTTATTCCTCTATACCCTGTAAATTTACGCCATATCCCACCTTTCAAACCGAAACACAGCCATGCAAACACAACTGCTTCACGGTTGAAACACGAATGGGACAGAGGTACCCAAGCAATCGACTTTTGTACAAAGTCTTCCTCTGGTAAAATCTGGATTAATTTCAGTTGTCAATTTACGGTTATAAAATTGATTTACACTAAAGGAATGGACAATATAGACTGATTGGAAGAGAATGCTATAAAGCATTAAATCCGCCTTCTGTACCAAACATTTTTTTGTAATTTTATCACTAAGCATCATATCGGCCTTTAACTATCCACTGCTGAACATAAGCCTCCCCCTTGGGAGGTTTTGCCAGTAGTTGCCGCGCTTGGCAAGCGGACTGACAACCGCAATCAGGATTTAGAGATGTTTTAAAAGGGACGCTGCTACCCATCTCTCGCCCTCCCTTAGTCGCCTTACGACACCCACGGGAAAGGGAGAGGTTGCTTATTCTATGCTGGGACCACACGATCAGGCTACACGCCAATATGTCTCTCTCTTCGTCCTCTTTACTGAAGGTCGTGTCCTTGAAAGGTGTCTGTTGCCTCTCTTATGATGTTATTCCTATTTGCACAGTCTTCAGCTTCTCGCAAGGCAGCTGCAATCGACAGTCCTGTAACGGCGGTTACTTGGTCCGACCATTGATTAGGCGATCGTCCGCGTGGTCTTTTTCCCTCTATCTTGCCCACAACCATTAGTTTGTCCAGATTGTCGGACTGTAGTCGAGCAACATGGCCGAAGTATCCAAGATCCCTCCGACAGCAGACTGTCGGGAGCCTATCTTTTATCCGGAGTTGCGTCAGGATAGATATATTCGATGTCCAGGGAATTCTCAGCAAGCACCACATCTCGAGAGCATCAATCTTTTTTCGCTCCTTTGCTCTTATTGTCCATGATTCGACTCCATACAAAAATATCGAGAAAATCAGAGCACGGACTAGTCTTGTCTTAGAAATATGATCAATAAATAAATAAATGTTTTTTTTTTTTTTTTTTTTTACAACACAGGGGGCAAACGAGCATGCGGCTCACCTGATGGTAAGTGACTACCGCCGCCCATGGTCACCCACAACACCTACGGCATTGCAGGTGTGCTGCCGGCCTTTTAAAAAGGAATATGCTCTTTTCTTGAAGGTTATGTTGTCGTATCGGTTCGGAAATACTGCTGCTGGAAGTTGATTCCAAAGAGTGGTTGTGCGTGGAAGAAAGTGCCTTGAAAAACGCACGGTGGAGGACCGCCACTCGTCCAGATGGTTGGGATGAAATTTTAGTTGGCGGGTTGTACGATGGTGAAAATCTGCAGCAGGTATCAATCCGAACAATTCTTCTCATGATAAATTCGGTAGAAGATGCACAGAGATGCAACATCTCTACGCAGTTTCAGTGGGTCGAGCCGGACAGTAAGACGCCGATCGTCAACAATTCGAGCTGCCCGACTTTGAATGCGGTCTAACGGAAGGAGTTGGTACTGTGGCGCTCCTGCCCACAGGTGAGAACAGTATTCCATGTGTGGCCTCACTTGAGCTTTATACAGTTTCAGGCGGTTTTCTGGCGTGAAATACCGTCTCACCCTATTGAGCACCCCCAACTTTTTGGAAGCTATCTTAGCTTTTTCCTCCAGATGACCGCAAAACTGGACGTCGCTAGATATATCGACGCCAAGAATCCCCAGACTCGACTTATTATCAAGGGAAGTGCCCTGAAAGTGAGGTGATACGACGAACGGTGTCTTTTTTGCGGTGAACGCGCAGACTTGTGTCTTCTTAGGGTTAAAGTGAACAAGATTGCGTTCACCCCAGATCGAAACTTTATCGAGTGAAGTTTCGATTTCAGACACAAGTCTGTTCCGGAGCTCATCGGTATGTGCCCGCAAGATCTTTGCATGACCGGTGTATAATGCATCTCCTGTGCTGTCGTCCGCATAACAATGAATATCACTGATCTGTAACATATCATTGATATGCAGAAGAAACAGTGTCGGAGATAGTACACAGCCTTGCGGGACACCAGCATTCACAGGTTTTAAGTCAGAGCATGCTCCGTCGACTACGACCTTAATGCTACGTTCCTTAAGAAAGCTGGCGACCCAACTGCACAATCTCGCAGGCAACCCAAACGAAGGTAGTTTTGAGATTAGTGCCCGATGCCACACCGATCAAAGGCTTTCGCAATATCCAGACTAACAGCTAAGGCCTCTCCCTTATTCTCGATTGCCACTGCCCATCGGTGTGTTAAATAAACTAAAAGATCACCAGCCGAGCGTCCCCGTCGAAAGCCGTACTGGCGGTCTGAGATCAGCTGGCGATCCTCTAGGTACCGGAGCAGTTGATGGTTAATAACTGATTCCATGACTTTCGAGAATAAGGAAGTGATAGCTATGGGCCTATAGTTAGCTGGATCTGAGCGGTCTCCTTTTTTAGGGATCGGATGCACCAGAGCAGTCTTCCAAAACTTTGGGACTATACCTGATGAGTAACAGAGCCGAAAAAGACGCGTAAGAACCGGAGCCAACTCTGGTGCGCACGTCTAAGCACAATTGGAGGAATTCGGGCCCGCTCGACTTATGGATGTCAAGGGAGAGAAGTGCTCTACGCACTGATCTTAGCGTGAATTTAACATCCGGCATAGAGCTCCTACAACGCGGGATGGTCGGCGGTAGTTTCTCCCCGTCATCCAACGTCGAGTTTGATGCAAAGAGAGATCCAAGGAGATCGGCCTTCCCTTTGGCGTTCAGAGCCAACGAGTTATCCTCCCTGCGCAATGGTGGAAAAGATGACTGACAGAAATTCCCTTGTGCAGCTTTGGCAAGAGACCAGAAATCGAGATCCCGAAGGTAAACTAGCCAATCTCTTGCCAATTCTACCAATATGCTCTGACTTCGCTTGTTTGAAGGACCTAGAGGCAAAGTTATACTTCTTTTTAAGGGCACTGATGTTAGATCTCAGCCACACCTTTGGCCCAGGCTAGGAAGTATGTTTCAGGCGAGATGCTATTCTACAAGAGGCTCCATACCAGGGCTGGGATTTCCCGACTACGTGCACCACAGAGTTAGGAATAAATAATTCCATTCCCTGGAGCACCACATCGGCGATGGAATCGGCGATGGCGTTGGGATCCCCCAGTGCGAAGCAAACCTGCCTCCATGGGTAAGATGCGAAAAAAATCCACATCTCATCCCAGTCTGCCGACCTGTAGTGCCAAACACGACGTCTACCCGTAGAACGTGGTGGAATCGGACTCATGAGAGGCACCTCGCTCCGCACCAGACAGTGATCCGACGATCCAAGCGGAGCTTCGACGGAAATCACATAGTTGTCTGGGTGGGTGGTCAGCAGAAGGTCCAGCAGTGAAGGTGAATGGTCCAACACATCAGGTATTCGCGTGGGCGAGGAAACAAGCTGCGTCAGACCATAAGCCAAAGCAAAGTCATGAACAGACATAGTCGGTTGTACGTGAACCAAGCATGAATCATTAAAATTCACGATCAGCGGAAGGAATCTGTTCGAGCAGGGAATCTGTAGCCATTTGGACGTGCTCAATGAGTTGGTCGGTTTCGATGTTTGTGGGACCTGTATAGGCATGCATAGACGCGAGGATGGTCATTACAGTCTACACGCAGCCATAAAATAGACAGGTCCGTTCCTTCAAGACTTCCAAGGCGGCGACAACAGATATCCTCTCTGACATACGCGCATACACCGGCACGCGAAACAAAACAATGTTCAAGTTTATAACGTCAGGTATGAAGTTTCGTTTGGAGAGGATATCTGTGTCTCCGTTAGAAAGAGCAATGCCGGCCGCGCCGTTTCTAGGTGGTGGTGGACAGCGTTTAGGTTAGAATGTAATCCTGATGTTGCAGAAGCTCACATTGAGCGAAGGGGATGCCGTAGAAATATTTCCGTTTGCCCTTGGTTCCAAAGAGCGGAATTTTGCCCCCCAGAATACGCAGGGCAGCCCGAGCGTGGTTGCTCGAGGGAGGATTCTCCAGCAACATGGTTACTGGTACCTCCCTGGGGTATGTTATTTTTTTTTAATTCCACTGCCATGGTTGCGTGTTGTAAGATAGGGGGACGGGGTTGGGGAAAGGATTTTAGGAATAGGAAAGGGAATGGGATGGGTTTGGGATGGGCCAACCATACGGAATGTGATCGCACTAAAAATGCAACCACTTAGCGTCGGTATTCTGTGAGGGTGTGGTATTTCCCCGGTCGAGCCGGCCCATTCATGCTGCAATACCATATAGGATTACAGCGTGGCTCTACCACAGTATGTATTGAATAATTGGAAGCGTGTTAGCTAGCCATTATTTTTGAGGTTAAAGCCATGTGATGTTAAGTTTTTAAGCTCACCGGATGACAGCTTTCTGTACTCTCAAATGAAAATCGTATTCAAAATAATTCGAACACGTATTTGGAAATATTTTAAGCCAAGATCCGATTTTGGAATCTCAAATGATTTCCAACTCAACTGTGCCAACTACTATGAAGGTTTCTCTTATTAATTGAATGACGCGGAGCCCATATTTTTCACGTCTTTAATTTTTTATATTATTGTTAAGTTAGTATTTTTAGTTTTAAGTCCAACTTACCAATCTGGATAACTTTATCGTTTCAGAATAAATAAGCTTGATAATTTAGCGACAAGTTATTTTTTTTTTTTGTAATATTTATCGTAAATAATCAGAGTATGTCTTTTTTATTTTAGTAATTGAAAAGTAAACTAATAATAAAAAAGGGAAGGGGGGGGGGGAGAAGTTTAATTAATTAATTTAAGATTTAATTTGTGTTATTAAGTATACATAATCAATTTATTTAATTTTTTTTTGTTTTAAATTTTAATTCATTTTATAAGCTGTTATTTCGATAAAAGAAAGACATGCCAAGATTTTTTTACTAAATGTAATAGTTGTAAAAAAAAAAACGATTGTATGTGCCTAACTTTCAACCATTTGTTGATTAGTGACTTTAGTATTAAGTACTTATATAACATAATATACTGTCTCACCGATGAGTATCGTTAACACGTTTACAGGGTGGAATTGAAATGATTAGAATTCATTTAGTGATACTAATTTTTAGTTCTACCAGTGAAATGAAATATTTTTCCCAAAGATAATAGGATCGATTCTGAGGCGTGTTTATTCTAAATTTATCTCTCAATATTTTAATTTGATAATTTCATGAAAATACTGTTCTATTGTTATAAACTAAATTTATGATAAATTGTGAGAAATTGACTCATATTGCTTTGTTATTAAAATTGAAATTTTAATTGTAAAGAAATGGTCTCTCAGATACTAGAAATTATTGCTACATTTATATCATTATTAAATAAATTTAACAAAGTATAATTTTTATTCACTGTGATATCACCTGTGACAAATCACAACAAGTGATTTTCGCTCGCAATGATTTAATGTCACACATGCTACTATTTATAGAAAGTGAAATATGAATTATGATTTTTATAACAATAACGAGCGAATAGAGACTTTAAAGCAGTGTAATAAAGTTTCTATTTGCTCGCTCTGCACGGCCCAGTAAGAAGTCGAATGCAATTCACTTCACGGCCAACCGAGCTCAGCCGATGATTTAGAAATCCGAATACAGCTACTACCTGTGATTTTGCTGTAAAATGATTTGTAGCACTCTTAGTGAAGGGACGTAGCTGGACGGAATGTGATTTGGTGTAGCATATGCAATTTCACTTGTGACAAATGAAATAATCCATGCCTATTTAGAACCGATCCCAATGTGAGTCAAAAGCGATAAAATTTTACTTGACTTGATTTCGGATTGTATGTACAAACATTTATTGTCGTTTTTTATTCTTGTTTCTTTAGGAAAATATACTCTTTAACTATATAGAGCAGTGAATGTTAATAATTTCTGTTTGACCTTGTTCTAATATATAAATTTGTAAATTTAACAAAATTCTGTGCACTTAAATAAAGTTCGGGGTCAATAAATTGAACAACTAGCTGATGACTTCAACGTGATGATGTCGACAAGTGCCTATGAGGTGAATATGTACATTTTTTTTATACAACTTAGAATGGCAAATAATCTGACGGTCCATCTGATGGAAAGTGGTAACCGTCGCCTATAGACATGAGCAGTACCATAGACATAACAGAGTATACTATTTCGCCCATGATACCGCCCATGCGTTGCCATTCCTGAGGACTCAGGTGTTATTCCTCTGTACCCAGTAAATTAATATAGACGCCACGACAAATTGCATTTAGTCAAGTGCATAGATGTTTGTCGAATTTACAAATTTATACATTAGAATTATTGATGAGATACTGTCATCACAATTTATAGTCGCTGTTTAACAAAGATTGTTAAATGTAAGTTTGTATTTTCAGTAAGATACTTGTAAAGTATTACATTTTTTATTTAGCTGTTTTCTTTTTTAAATTATATTTGTGAATACCTCATTGATTAACAGTGAATTTTATATAAAGGGGCGCTTCTTGAAATGGGGAGGAGGGCGGAGGTTCTGGAAATATGTTTAAAAAATCTCATTTAGTGGAGATGGAGGTCTAAATTAAAAAAAAAAATAGCAGAAATAATGGACGTCCCTTAACATATTGTAAACTAGACTTTCGAAACAAATGTCAGACAAATCTGTCGATAGATACCATTTTCTTAATATAGGCATGATAACGAATAAGACGTCAGATGTCGCTGTTTTTCTATCTCACGCATGCGGTGGCGATAACGTGTAACGACAATTTGTTTATCACTTTTGATGTTTGTACGATTTTGACCAAGATATATTTGTGACTGTAACATACTATGATAGTTCTGAATACAATATATACTAAATACAATATATATAAATATATACTAGATATAGATATATATTTTTATGAGTATATTGTTCTTATTAATATGTACCTGTAATGTACCATTTTGTTGGAGAATTATAAACTATGTATTTTTATAGTGGTCAGTAAATGAAACTTATACGTTCTCGAAACATCGTCTTGTGTAACGATATTTGGTAATACAGTGAACGCTCTATATAAGCAAATCATTTAAACCAATTTCAATAAAAAAAAATTTCTTGTTGGGAAAAGTTGGTTATTGGAAAAAAAGAGTATAAAAATAACATTTGGAAAATATTTTTACTCATTTCTTTAACTAAGCTGAGTAGAATAAATAAAATATAAAGAATGTTGCTTATATAGAACGTTCACTGTATTAAGACGGGCCTCTAAATGCGTTTGATAAGATGCATCAATCGATAAGAGCTCTGATCACGCTATGCCATAAGTGTAAAGTCAAGTTTGGCCTGTTTCGAATATTTTTCAATCTCACTAATATAAAATGTCTATTTTGAAAAATCTTATGACGTTTTTAAATTATATTATATGTTGAAAATACTATTTTTAATAATTCGAAAAGACAACATTTTAAAATAAAATTTAAGTACCTACAGTAAATGTGTGCCTTAACGACGATACAATTGTCTGTAAACTAGGATGTATTAATATTTAATGATACTTTATTATCACAAGTATATAATAGATATATAAATACATACAGGGAGGAAGGGAATGATTGGCCAAAACGAAAACAGCTTCTTTAGATAAATAGTCAGAATTAAATGGCAGGTTATGTTTGCATCGAAAATGCACTGCAGCCATGTAATTAACGATTTGTAGTTCTGAGGACGCGCAGTGTATTTGAAATTTTAAGAGGTACTCCGCTCCACGTGACGCGGGATACCTACACCGCGTCGTCAACGTAGCTAGTTTTTGTACGCTCGTGGCGTTGACTTTACATAGCTGAGGGCCTACCATGAAGTATTTTCCGAAATTTCGGGGACGAACGAAACAGAAATTTGATGTTAAAATTACATAATACATGCTGTTTAAAATTATTAAAAACGTTATGATATCGTTCCTTTGGACTATTAGAATAGGATTTATGATGAACGAAATGTTAAGCTTCATTTACTGGGTCGATTTTGGTACGAACAAAAACATGAAATTGAGCCCGAAAATTTGGAATTTCATTTCATGGTAGACCACTTGATTCCGCGCGTCGCAGCTAGATTTTAATACCAATATTTCAAAGCTGTTTTTTTAGTATTTCATAGTATTTCACTATAAAATATTATTATTTCTTTATATTTTGATATAATATCGTAGATTACACGAATTAAAATGAAAAAAAAAAAAATGAAAATTTGTAATTTTTCGATGAGAAATTCAATTAGTTTTCAGTTCAGAGTAATGATCTGAATTCATTGTTTCAGTGTTTACCAACCTGTCCCTTACACCCTGTATATATTACTATAACATTTCATAACGAACAGATGTATTATAATTCTTTATAAACGATAAATAAGTAAGTCTATTTGGTAACAACCTAATTTTCTAAGGAATTTATATTATTAAGTTATTCATTAGTTGACGACTATTTATCTATTCTATGCTGGTTAAGAATGCTGTAGCATTTAACCCTTAAAAGCCTGATTTTTTTAAATCAAATTAAAAAATATATACATAAGTGTGTACCCTTTACTGTGTTTACTAATGGGGAAAAATAGTAAAAAAGTATTTTTTTTGTATTATTATTATGTATTGTTGTATTGATATTTTAAATGTAAAGTTTTTATACATTTTTCTATTGTGCATATTGTTTTTAGTGATTTTTATTATTATTACGTTTAAAAGTCGTTTTATTTAACGTTAACGTGTCGAAACGGGGACCACCTATTTGTATTGTATTGTAAATTTCACAATTACGAGTGTTCATACTTTTTGTTTTAAAATCGATTGATCTGTCTATTTTTACCGATTATTACCGGTAATTTGTTTAATACACTTTTTTATACTAATTATTTTGTGCATTTTTTTTTTCAACTAATCCACTATCGCGACTTTCGCATTAGAAACAAAGATTTTGTACAAAAGTCGTCAATAACACATCGGTAGGCACTTGCTTCGCGTAATGAGGTCCCGAATTTGCTTGGTCGGCCCAATTTAGGTAACGAACATTTTTAAATTGACTCGAGTCTAAGTGTTCTAGGTTTTTATTTTTATTTTTTAATGGGTGAAGATGAAATAGTAACCCCGCCTGCACTAACGGTATACGCTACGCTGCAAAACACCAGTGAGGGATGATAGGTGAGGACGAAAGCAGGTCAATTAACCCATCACCACGAATTTCAAGAGAATTGACCACGATGTTTTCCAGAGGGTACCGCGTGGAGGTCGACCCGATATCGTATAATGACAGGGTATCGTAGCTTGAGCAGGCGAATGGTGAGATCGTATATATATATATATATATATATATATATATATATATATATATATATATATATATATATATAATATACAATCCAATCTATAAGTATTTCCTTTCAGCCGAAAAAAAAAAGAATTTTCCAAACCGGTTGAGAAGTGACAGACTTATGGGGTAACAAATACAAAAATATACAACGGAATCGAACCTCCTTTTACAAGTTTTTTTTTGAAGTTGATAAAAAATAATAAATACAGATAATTGTGATGTCGCGAAAGAGGTTTGTTTGTATCGAAGCATTTGGCGTGCCATTGTTTCTGCCTACCCTAATGGGAGACAGGCGTGACAGATATGTATGTATGTATGTGATATTGCCACTGTTAGGAAAAATTATGGTAATAAAATAAAATAATACACACACGATTAAAGCGTTTTATTTGTAAACAACAATAAACATTGAAAGGACAACATTAATTTCAAAATTCATTACTCATACATAAATATATCACAATTGTGATGCGAAGACATTTGAAGACGCTTCAAATATTTCATAAATATTATCACTTACAGTTCTAAATAGTGAAATAATACAAATTGTGAAGTTACCAAATTATATGTACAATTGCATTAAACTCTGAGCATAAGTCAGCGAATACGTTAAGACAATATCGCAGCACAATTAATCCGCCATTTTTAGGTAGCGTACACACAAAATTTTGCTAAAATCCTTGCAATGGCGTCGACTATGAGGTGTCATTCCCTGTACTTATCTCTAAAACTGAAATATTAATTTGCCAGTTAAACGAAAGTTGCTAATTGTCTAGAGCTAATAAAACAGTATTATCCGTGCTGGAACTAAATTAAAACAAGTTTTAGTTAAATCCTGTTTACTGATACTTCTCAATGATTTTGCTATAACGTCGAACTGATAGTTTTAGAGGCAATGAATGACACCGCAGAAACGACTGCTGTTGCTTCATCGTCAAATCAGCTGTTACTGCCCACTGCTGGTTGGCTTTCCCCATAGACTGCCATAAGGAACAGTCCTGGACCACATGCATCCACTATCTCGATTTATCTCCATTGCAATTGTTTACCATTAAAAAGTTTGTGTTAAAACTCGTTAAACCATATTAATCAAAATTACAAGATTTTATTAATTGCAGATACCAATTTTGTAGCTTTCAGCACAATTCCTGAGCGGTTTTATTTATTTATTTGAAAATTACTCAATTCTTGAGTTTTATTTTACAAACTTACAAATTTTGTACATTTTAAAAATATATTTATTTTGTCATTAAAGTTGTCATTATCTGGCTGCTGAGCAATTAGAGAAAATGTATTTTATAAAAAAAAAAGATATAAATGTATCAAATATAGTACCTATATGCGTATAAGATTATTTTTTCCATAAAATTTGGTCAAGGCCACAATATCCGTGTGATACAGCTTTATCATGCACGATTCGAGCCCGGCTGTATGTAAACATGAGGGCACATATATCTACAAGTTAATAATAACGTATTTTCCATGAAAATATGTATTAATAAATTCAAAATTAAGTGTGCAAATAGAAATATAATTGTGTAAGTACCTTTTGATAAGGGAAACACGGTGTTTACAGGCAGTGGACTCCACTCGACTACTTCATATTTGACACAACGTGAGAAAAAAAGTGCATGGACGGTTTGATACCAATAAATATTTACTTAGCAGCTTAACCCATTCAATACGGAGAGCGCGTCAGGGCGCTGTCCAATGTTATACGTTGTGACGGCAAGCGCCTCGAGGCGCTCTCCCCACCCTTACCCAATGACGGCGAGCGCTCCGTTTCCTTTAGTTTCAAACGTGCTTTAGACCGTTCCAGTCACTTGTGGAAGCCCGTTATTTACTGGCAGTCACTCCTAACAATTAACTAAGCCATATACGTAGAAAAAGTTGTGCCGTCAGTGACGGCCGTTTATGAAAAACTAAGCCGTATACTGCATAGGGATCTCAATATGGCCGCCGTATTGAATGGGTTAAAATATATATTTACATTTACATTATTTTCTTAATAAACTACAAGTATCACAAAGATAATTTATTAAATAGATTTTTAAGTTTCACTAAATAAACGCCTTGATAAATAATTATAAATAGTGTTTGAAACTGTGAAGAAAAGGGCGGAAAGGGATTGTTAGTAATGGAGACTGAGAATCCCATTGCTAGCAATATACCCAACCAGGTCGACCTCCTCGCGGTTCCCCCTGGAAACTATCATGGTTAATTCCTGATGAATTCATCATGATGTGCTGACTGGCCTGTTTTCATTCTCATCTATCACCCTTCACTGGTGCTCCGCCAGCGTATCCCGTTGGCGCAGGCGGGGGGCTACCATACCATTTCACCTTTGAAAAAAAAAACTGTGAAGAAAACTGTTGAAAAATGTATTATATACAGAGTATCATAAATCAAATCAAATCATTTATTGCACGAATATGGGTACATACATTATTATTATTACAACGAATTATTTAATAGGTGAAAATGAAATGGTAAGCCCGCCTGTGCCTATATAGTACACGCTGGCAAGGCACCAGTGAGCGACGACAGGTGATGATAAAAGCAGGTCAGTTAGCCCATCGTGACGAATTCAACAAGAATTAACCACAGCGTGGAAGTCGACCTGATAGGGTATCTTGCTAGTAATGGGGTTACTAGACCCCATTACTACCAATCCTTTCCCCCTACTATTAAAGGATGGGTGTCATTGGAGTTACCTATCTGAAAATCTGACACATGATAAGTTTTTTTTTAATGTGTGATAATGGAATGGTAACCCCACCCGCGCTATCGGTATACCCCGGCGGGGCACCAGTGAAGGATGATAGTTGAGGATGAAGCAGGCCAGTTAGCACACCGTGACGAATTCAACAAGAATTGTTCACGATGATTTACAGGGGGAACCACGTGGAGGTCGACCTGACAGAATATATTGTTAGTAATGGGGCTATTTGACTCCATTACTAACAATCCCTTTCCCCCCACACATAATAAGTTAGGTACAGTAACAAGAGCCTTAGTTGTCCACTCCATCAGAGGAACTCGCCTTTATTCGCAAATTCATAATTTCTGTATACTTCTATTTTTTTTAAGTTTATTGTACCTCCACTAAAAATCATTAGAATCTTGAAAACGTGAAAACTTTTTTTTATGCAACTTAAAATGGCAAACAAGCTGACGCCCCACCTGATGGAAAGTGGTAACCGTCGCCTATAGACATGAGTACCATGGACATAACAGAGTACACTGTTTCGCCCATGATACCCCCCATGCGTTGCCATTTCTGAGGATTACGGTGTTATTCCTCTGTACCCAGTAAATTCACGCCATATGCCACCCTTCAAACCGAAACACAGCCATGCAAAAGACTACTTCACGGTTGAAACACGAATGGGACAGAGATATCCAAGTTAACGACTTGTACAAAATCTCCTTCTGGTAAAAATTGTCTCTTTCAATCCACGTGTGGATTTCAGATGGTTGGAGTAATTAATAAAAGAAATGTAACAGTCGGGGCGATACTTTATGGTACGGGTCGCCCACACACACCTTAAGTACATATGGTGGTATTGTGTATTGCTACATGTGTCACCCACCACGGCGATGCATCAATTAGCGCTTGATTATTGACGCCCACAGAGTAAAGGGTGCAGGGTTAATTGTTTAATTGAGGATGTGCCGTCCACCGAAATGATTGATCATCAAACGACAGCGACATCTAGAATGTCATTGAATCAATTTCAATATCCGTTGCCTGCCCACCTCGATGGGCGACAGTGAGACAATGACCCTCTGGTGACAATGAGAGTTCATTACAGGGTTGCCAGATGTTAATTTAGATTTTTAGCCAAACGTCAAATATATTTCCTCCAATATATACAGTTCCTAGGACTTTTACATGATAACGAAACTGTATCCTTTTTCTCTACATTTCGCAACGTGCCACAAAAGTAAACGACGAAAAAATAAAAAAAAAAAGCCTATAATTCTTTTTCTACTTTTAGCTTACTCTTACCGTCTCTTTCTAATGTCCCATACTCTATTTTGCTACCTTCATTTTATTCTGTATTTATATACCTCTACACAATTTACAAGTACAAAAACTATCCAAAAAATACCCAAATTTCCCTAAACCCATCTCTTTTTTTTAAATCACTGAGGTGGCAAACAAACATACGGCCCACCTGATGGTAAGCGGTTACCGTAGCCTATGAACACCTGCAATACCAGAGATATTACACGTGCGTTGCCGACCCTGAAGAAACCTCTTTACCCCCCTTTTGAAGAACCTCATGCTGTAGGCTCATGGAAAAACCACTTTTTCTCCACAATAATTCTACAAAATTATTTACCCAAAATTGGGACAAAAACCCCCAATCTACCAACGCTGGTTTATTATGATGCTTTATCTATTAAAATTGAATCCACTATGAATATCGCTGTCTGTCAGGTAACACTTACCCAATAATAATGTAAAGTACATTTTATATGATTTTTTATACAACTTAGAATGGCAAACAAGCTGACGACCCACCTGACGGAAAGTGGTAACCGTCGCCTATACACATGAGCAGTACCATGGACATAACAGAGTATACTGTTTCGCCCATGATACCCCCCCATGCGTTGCCATTCCTGAGGACTCAGGTGTTATCCCTTCGTATTAGAGAGTAGAGTTCCTATGGATGTTTACAAACATGGGAAAACAGCTTCAACATATAACATCAACCCCATTGCTAGGGGGGAAAGGGATTGTTAATAATGGAGTTTGACAGCCCCATTGCTAACAATATGCCCTATTAGGTCGACCTCCACGTGGTTCCTCCTGGAAACCATCGTGAGCAATTCTTGTTGAATTCGTCACGATGGAATTTTGTCGTTTTTGAATTTTCGATCATTTTCGATCGACATTTCTGTCCAATATGTTCTACAGCATTGGCAGACTCTTAGATTTATTTACAACTATATATCTTGTGTAAATGCAATAAAGACATAGAATACTGAACGTTGCGAGACTATAAAATACCTATATACTTGACTGCATATACATAAATCTGTATTTATAATACAATCATGCAAGTTTCTTTGGAAGGTCAAATTGATCCTATTCATACCTACAATGACTCGGAGTCATCATTTAAATAATGCTATTGTTAAGTAAAACTTAATACCGTCCTTTAAAATGTGTGTTACACTGCGAGATGACTAAATTTATGGCTGATATGATAAGGTAAATTGGTCAGTTATATTTAACACTAAACCTACCGACATTTCATATATACCTAATCCTACCATGAGCGGGGGGAAAGGGATTGTTAGTAATGGAGACTAAGAATCCCATTGCTAGCAATATACCCAACCAGCTCGCCATCCTCGCGGTTCCCCCTGGAAACTATCACGGTTAATTCCTGATAAATTCATCATGATGGGCTAACTGGCCTGTTTCCATTCTCATCTATCACACTTCACTGGTGCTCCGCCAGCGTATCCCGTTAGCGCAGACGGGTTTACCATACCATTTTCACTCATCAAAAAAATCCTACCATGAGCGGTCAAATGACCGTTTTAAAATAAAGTATGTATCTTAATATAGAAAGAGATTTTAGTCAATTGGATAGTGAACAAGTAAATAATAGTAAGTTGTAAATATTGAAAAATGGCTTGTATGTTATTACAGGTAAAGTCGATAAGTTACATAGTGATACAGTAACGTTATACGCGAAAATTTTTAAACTAAATTTCAATAACGGTCATTTAACCGCGCTTGGTAGGTTTAGTGTTAATATAATATTTTCCTGTATAGTTTTAACTGAACTTTTGTACACTGAGAGAAATATTAGCTACATTTTTTTTTTACAACACAGGGGGCAAACGAGCATGCGGCTCACCTGATGGTAAGTGACTACCGCCGCCCATGGTCACCCACAACACCTACGGCATTGCAGGTGTGCTGCCGGCCTTTTAAAAAGGAATATGCTCTTTTCTTGAAGGTTATGTTGTCGTATCCGTTCGGAAATACTGCTGCTGGAAGTTGATTCCAAAGAGTGGTTGTGCGTGGGAGAAAGTGCCTTGAAAAACGCACGGTGGAGGACCGCCACTCGTCCAGATGGTTGGGATGAAATTACATACATACATAATTGAACCTGAATGATTAATTAATGTATGTAGACATTAAGCTAATTACCACCTGTCTATTCAGACCCACAGTTTTCAAATTAAAATTTTATTTAACGAGACCACACTAGACGGTATTATAAATAGATTAAATTGTAAAATAATTTATCTTACGCCAAGTCCCTTGCGAGGTAGGCAGAAAGAACCGAATGCATCAAAGATACCTTACATATGTACATCTCTTGTGTCCTGTACATAACTCATATACGCGGATAAATTAAAAATAATTGTAAAATCAATTATTATTTAACACAATACGAACAATCATCACACACGCGTCATCATTCAAACTCGAGATATATTACCACGTACACAATCATGTAATATGTACAAAAATGTAAAATATGTAAAATAATGAACATAACGGTGTTAATATTTACAATTATTAAGTATTTTTTTTTTTACATCAGAAAAACTCTTGTCGTAAAACCTGAATAAGAGTTTTAATTTACTGAATTACCCCCCTCCCCTCCCCTTCCCCACCCCCTCTAGACTATAAGATTCTAAACGCCTCTATTTTCCTCATTCACATCCATACTCTATGTATATTTAAATTTCTCTAGCAAGATTTTAACTAAATAAACATAAGAAGTTATTTAATCATTACATACAAATGTGACCTGGATAAACTGGGGGTCACATTCAGCTTTGAATGACGGGTTTAGTCCGCCGTTAAGAGGTAAGCTTACTAGGGTCACAACGTAGAGAAATAAGGTCCTAACCACTACTCGATGATGGCAATTGAGGCTTTAGGGGGCAGGTAATATATATATAGCATATATATATATATATATATATATATATATATATATATATATATATATATATATATATATATATATATATATATATATATATATATATATATATATATATATATATTAAAAGTCCAATATATTAAAAGTCTATTATTCAAAAAATAATATTGGATTATGGATTTTTAACATAACCGAAAATAGATATCTTTTTTTTATACAACTTAGAATGGCAAACAAGCTGACGGCCCACCTGGTGGAAAGTGGTAACCGTCGCCTATAGACATGAGCAGCACCATGGACATAACAGAGTATACTGTTTCGTCCATGATACCCGCCACATGTTGCCATTCCTGAGGACTCAGGTGTTATTCCTCTGTACCCAGTTAATTCACTGCCATATCCCACCCTTCAAACCGAAACACAGCCATGCAAACACAACTGCTTTACCGTTGAAACACGAATGGGACAGAGGTAGCCAAGCAATCGACAATATCTGACCTATATGGGCGATATCGAAACGGGTGATGATGTTTTTCCCAACATTAATGTCAAAAGAAGCCCAATATATACATATCGGATCGGTATCCATATAACCCATGCCTATCCGCCACTGGCTAGGAGCTGTCCAGTGTTATGGAGAAAATAATATGAACAATGTGAAATCGGTTCCAAACACGCACGTGACCGGCACACTAAATACTCATGCAAACAAACAACGGTAGGTGTACATACATGACTTCCACTTAATGACTTTGTCATTGAAATTCCATGGTTTGCTAAATAATTGCACAATGATAAGTACAATCGTTCGCCGGCCGAATCATCTTGAATCAGTTTAAAAGAGTGGATTTTTGTGGTAGAGACCGAATTGTCAGTTTAAATCGGGCATTTGATAAAAAGACATCTTGATAACATGAACTATCAGCTATCAACAAGAGCATAAACGTACACAGATGAAGATTTTAATGCTATACGAATAGACTGTCTTAAAATAATAAAACATCCCAGGTAGCGATTATTCGTCATATTGACGTCGATTTCCAGCCTAAAACGACTTAAAACTGACGTCCTATTTGAGTCGCAGACGTCACATTGCTAAATGGGATATAAGATTGTCTACTAAATTAAATCGACAGACACGACTTACAGATGTTAAACGCCATTATTGCTTAATAGCTCTTTGGGTTCTAAATTCGATTCACAGAGTAAAAATTATGGGCCAGATTACAATATGAGCTTATATCATCGACCGCATAAAATCTAGATCTGAAAATACGGAATGAAGTTTCATGGTAGACCCATAATATCTAATATACCATTCGATTTCATTTTATTCAACAGAGCATCTACCATAAGTATCGGTAATTTGGTAGTAGTTTTAAATACGTTCAAAAACAAACAGGATTCCATGGTACAAACATTACACTACCTAGAGTATAGCACAGCCGCCGACCGACGGTCACTGTCCACTGTCCACCGTCACCGTCGTCTACCACCGACCATCGGCGTCCTGCTATGGCAGCGCGGGCGGCGTCACCACATGAGTCTGCTTATTGACCGTGCGGTGACCTTGCGCCAACTGGCCTGCTTTAAGCGCTTTCGCCTTTAGGAATGCGTCGAACCCGTATAGTACCATAGACAAGTAGCCGAAGAACTGAAAAGAAAAATTGTTATTGAATAATATGTTACCACTGTATTTTTTTTTATGCAATTTAGAATGGCAAACAAGCTGACGCCCCACCTATTGAAAAGTGGTAACCGTCGCCTATAGACATGAGCAATGCCATGGACATAACAGAGTATACTGTTTCGCCCATGATACCCCCCATGCGTTTGCCATTCCTGAGGACTCGGGTGTTATTCCTCTATACCCTGTAAATTCACGCCATATCCCACCCTTCAAATCGAAACACAGCCATGCAAACACAACTACTTTACAGCTTTACGGTTGAAACACGAATGGGACAGAGGTACGCAAGCAAACGACTTTTGTACAAAGTCTCCCTCTGGTAAAACGATTGCTCGTTGTATATATGTTATCACTTTTTGGAATCAACTTCCAGCAGCAGTATTTCCGAACCATTACTTCAAGAAAAGAGCATATTCCTTTTTAAAAGGCCGGCAGCACACCTGCAATGCCGTTGGTGTTGTGGATGATCATGGACGGCGGTAGTCACTTACCATCAGGTGAGCCGCATGCTCGTTCGCCGTAACGTAACGATAAATTAATCACGATGCTAGGGGGAACCGCGTGGAGGTCAAACTAATAGGGTATATTGATTGTAATGGGGACTAACCTCCTCATTACTAACAGTCCCTCCCCCGCAATGGGGCTGTTAGACTCCATTACTAACAATCCCTTTCTTCCCTCGAATGGCCATGGCTGTACACTGAAGTGCTAAGCGAAACAGTTCCGGTACATTTAGCGAGATATCGACAATAAATTAGAGCTGTTGTAAACGTGCAATTATGACGTACCTAGTGTGAAGTGTGGCGCTTGGTTATTTTTAGCTTTAATGATTTGATACGGGGTATGGTATGATACACCTGATGGTAAGTGACTACCGCCGCCCATAGTCACCCACAACACCAGCGGCATTGCAGGTGTAAAAAGAAATATGCTCTTTTCTTGAAGGTTATGTTGTTGTATCGGTTCAGAAATACTGCTGCTGGAAGTTGATTCCAAAGAGTGGTTGTGCGTGGGAAAAAGTGCCTTGAAAAACGCACGGTGGAGGACCGCCACTCGTCCAGATGGGTGGGATGAAATTTTAGTTTATGGCGGGTTGTACGATGGTGAAAATCAGCAGCGGGGTTACATATACGATTTGCCCATGATATAGTAATCATAGCGGAATCCCTAAAAGACTTGCACATTATGCTCAATGACCTCTTAGGTCTTAAGATGAGTGTGGACATGACTAAAACCATGTCTAACGTCCATGTCACAACTATATCGGTTACAATTGATAACACTACGCTCAAAGTTGTCGACGAGTATGTATACTTGGTACAAGTTGTCCGAATGGGTAAATCCAACTTCGACCTATAGGTCAACCGACGAATCCAACTCGGCGGGGCAGCGTCCGAAAAACTATGCCACGTCTTCTTATTCAAAATACCTCAAAGTTTGAAGGCAAAGGTCTTTAACCTGTGTGTGTTGCCAATAGGAATGGGTAATATATAGTAACATCTATATATTTTAATCATAATATCTATATACTGGTCTCATCATCATCATTACTATCATCATCACTACATAGTATAAAACAAAGTCGCTGTTGCTGTCCATTCGTCCTTATGTATGCTTAAATATTTAAAACTACGCAACGGATTTTGAATCGGTTTTTTAATAGATAGAGATAGAGTGATTCAAGAGGAAGGTTTATATGTATAATACACGCATAATATTGTAAAGAAACACTAATAAATTTAGAGGTTTCTAATGCGATGTCGTAAATATATACATTTTTTTTGCGCTTACATTGCAAACGCTGGCTGAAGCCCACGAGATAAATCAAAATAATGTACTACAGTATTGTACACCTTAAAAAGATCAACAAAAAACTCCGCGATGGTATATGTCTATCTCTTAAGGATAATGCATAATAACCATTGTTTATCCTTTACATTTTACGGGGAAAAATGGCTTATTTACGAAGTGATTTTAAGCAATACATTAATTTTTATCCAATTAAGTACCTTAAATACATTGTTCATTTAATATAGATCAATATGGCCCTTACACCATGTAATTTAAATAAATATTTCCTAGAATATTACAGATTTAAAATACTGGGACATAGCGGTGCAGCGGTACCGGCCCGGACGGCGGCGCGTGCCTATATAATAGCGCGTCGAATGTCGCGCTTCGCCCTATAGCACTTTATCATGTTTGTATTGTCTAAAGACAAAAAAGCTATAAACGTTGTTTATAAAGACATTTTGTAATAGGTAGGTATATTTAGTATCAGCATTGCACCCGTGCGAAGCTGGGGCGGGTCGTTAGTAACGAATATGTTGAAAATCTGTTAGCCAAATAATAATATTGGCTAACAGAGTTTGAACATATTGGAAAATAAATATCCGACTGATATGAGTGTTATCGAAATGGGCGATGACCTTTTTCCGCCATTAGTGCCCAGAGGAACTAAATATATAGACCAGAGGGCCTACCATGAAATGTTTTCCGAAATTTCGTAGCCGAAAGAAACACAAACATAATGTTAAAATTACATAATTCTTACCGTTTAAAAACATAAAAAATATAAAAAAAAATATTTATTTCTTTGGACTTTTATGGTAGGATTTATGACGAATAAAATGTTAAGCTCCATTTACTGGGCCAATTTAGGTATGAACGAAAACACGAAATTGAGTCCGAAACTTCAGAATTTCATTTCATGGTAGGCCCCCAGATCTGTATTCATATTACCCATACCTACTATACAGGTGTCTCGAATCGCAATCATGCGTTCTAAGAAGTAATAAATGATTAATGCCAAATCATTGCAATATTATCGCACGCGACTGTACTTCACATTGTAATAATATTAGTCATGCCCCTTAGATTATCCACTCTGTGTACAAGTCACGCATGCGCCGTGATGAAACAATTTATGCTACTAGCTCAATAGAATGATGCTATCGGAACAATGAGGATAGCACCTGGATAGACAATTACAATGGTATTAGCGAATCGAATGCGGCTTATCTATGTATTAATACGTGAAGCAATCTGGCGGCGCGTACCACCGGTGGCCCGCGCTAGACTGTCCCATTGGACGGCGCGTACCATCGGCGGTACGCACTAGATTGCCTTATCTGGCGGCGCGTACCACCGGTGGCCCGCACTAGACTATCTTTTCTGACGGCGCGTACCACCGGTGGTACGTATTCGATGATGAAGCGTAGCATCAATTAGAACGCCACCTCGCAGCAAAAACCATTAAAGTCGGCCCCGGCGTGAACGTGTTAAACATACCAAGGGGCCAAAAAGTTGGTGAAATATAAATATAAAAAAAAAATATTCACCCCAGCCGCTGAGAACGCCGCCGATCCAAACGCTACGGCGATGGTGGACGCAATCAGGTAGAGAAACACGAAGGCGATCGATACGATCATTTCTATCTTCAGCCACTTGATATTGTGGTATTTCTCCACCAAGTGGTACAGGTACAGTAGAAGCATCCCACCAGAGTAGATCACCGCCAGCGCGGCCACCAAGTTGAAGTACACGCCTCGTCCATTCGACCAAAACGCTGACGATTGGACGCAGATGAAACCGATCAGGCTGAACACCTGAACCACAAAAAACTGGTATAATGTAAATGGAATAACTGAAAAAAAAAAGTAGTAGCTAATGACCTTCGGATAAGAATGGCCAAAGACAGAATAGAATAGAAGACTTCCGAAAAGACTTTGGTTTTGGTAAAGAAAGGGATTAAAGTTACCATTATTATTATTTTCAGTATTTCTTCAAAAACAATATATTAAGGTTTCTTCAGAGTCGGCAATGAGCACGTGACACTCATACTGTGCATACGTCCATAGGCTAAAGTGACCGTTTACTATCTTTACACTGTATGCTGTTCGCCACCTTTGTGGTATAAAAAAAGTATTAGGCCCTATCAAAGTTTTTAATTATAAAGATTGTTTTTTTAGAAATAACCGTAATCAATTTTATAAGTGTGAAACTAGGTCTGTTTATTACTTCTGAGCGTTCTATGGTTTTACCAATAGCTCTATGAAATTTGATATATGGGATGGACAATGACATCATACTTTATTTTTTATTATGGTCAGTGAACATAATGCAGTCATCAGAACAAAGTTGCAGGTAAAAGATAGTTGCTATAAACATTTTACCAGAAGACTTTGTACAAAAGTCATTTGCTTGGGTACCTCTGCCTCATTCATGTTTCTACCTTTATTGTACTTTACAATTAACACATTAAAATATTTAATATACAATGGGGGATTTATCTCATAAAGAGGTCTTTTGCAGTCAATCTTTACTAAATGATTATTATTTTTTCCTAATGTAAGTTTTATTATATTACTATTTTTACCACTTACAATGATAACACATTTAATGATGCCTGGTGGAGTCGTCAGGTATGATAAATCAAACCGCGCCTCCATTATAAATACTGTATTTGCAGAGCCCATTGTTTGGGGTGCAGGCGGCTGGTTTGCATATGCCATGATGATAAAACTTCACCATTCAGTTATTAACCTGAAAGTATGATTCCAAATTACTTCAAATGTATTTACTTCATGTAAACTAACATTATAGAGAGGATAGATTTTTTTTTGTTTGGAATGAATAAACTCAAAAAATACTTAATTAATTTAACAAAATATGTTTACCTTTAGAAAGTCACATTACTAGCGAGTCACATGGGCGATATATATTTTACTTTATTTAACAAAGTGCAAAGCTGAGGCAAATCACTAATAAATAAATAAAGTTTCTATACTGACCCCTATGGGTCATCAAATACCTATGTATTTGTTAATGTATGAAAATGGAATGGTATCCCAGCTTATGCTATCAGTATACACTGGTGGAGCACCAGCGAGTGATAATGGATAAGGATGGGTCAGTTGTCCCATTGCAACAGATCCAATAAGAATTAACTGCAATGGTTTCCAGAGAAACTATGAAGAGATCGACCTAATACTGCTACCAATACGGCTTTTAGACTCTATTACTAATAATCATTTTCTGTTTAAAAATAATATATTTAGACAAATGAATAAAACAAATTTATTACATTTATTAAACTTATCAAGTACTAAGCACTTATATAAGTAAGTATAGTGTACTTGTGCCTTGATAAAAAAAAATAAGTAAATTCAGTTTACTTACAAGATTAAGTAACAATAAAATCGGCGTTGTACAGGAAGTACCTATGTAGAGTTCCCCACACACACATCTGATAATACTTTTCATCAAAAACTATAAAATTAGATCAGAGCACCTGATTAAGAACGCTATACGTACATACTGATTGCTGTTTAAAACATTAATGACTCATATTCACATTTTGTTTACACCTATGAACTCTGGGCTCTGGTTCTTACATTACAACAACATTATCATGAATCTATTACAACTGCGCTGCAACACCGATTTTACACATATATTATTAAACAGTTGTAATAATTTAACTAATTCAGTAACTATCACATTCATAATTGTCACTATCACCGTTATTCATAATTGTTCTCTTACGAAAAAACATTATTATAAAAAAAAATAAACATATGATTCTGAGTGATATAATTGACATACCACCATCTATAATCGAAATTCAAAACAAATCAGAAGTCAATCAGTCATTCTCATTGCCTTAGGTGAACGTCAATCCATTATCATTTCTGTATAGATTAGATATTTACTTACTTATTGACATTTTTATATTTATTCTGTGGCTTGTGGGTGGTCAAGGGGAGGTGAAGTGTCAATTTTGACATTAGTATTTATAGGGTAAATGTACCACAAATCTTACAGGTACTTTAATTTTCCCTACAACAAAATATCACAGTATTGTTTCGCTTCTTTTTGCCACTTGTGGATCTGAATTTATTATTAATTCAAATGAATAGAGGTCTATATTAAGCGCTTGAGCGTCAGAATAGTATTAGGATCTCTTAAAATAATTTATTCTGACATTTATTTTAAATCTTAAGGATCTTATCATGTATTTTTAAAAAAATTTTTTTTACTCTTGAAGAGTCTCACAAATGATTGCGATCTCATCTGATGGAAAACAATTATGTGAATTAAAATGGAATAAAATTAGTGCAGATTATATTTGGATGGAAAAATAATTCAGTAATGCAATATTTACATGGATTCGTAACGTTAAAATGACAACATTATTATGTTTCCGTGCATAATTCATTATCATCATCATATCAGCCGTTAACTATTCACTGCTGAACATAAGCTTCCCCCCTATCAAAGGGTTTTGCTAGTAGTTTCCATGCTTGGCAAGTGAGTTGGTAACCACAGTTAGGTCTTGGTCATATTTTAAGAGAAAAGCTGCTGCTCATCTTTCGACCATTAAATTTCCTTGTTTTTTTATACAACTTAGCTGTCTCTTACGACATACGAGAAAAGAAGAGGTGGTCCATTGTATACTTGAACCATATGGCGATTAATTAAGTTGATTGTTAATTTTGCAACTTTGTTCGCGTAACTATTATGCGAACATAGTTGCAAAATTAAGGTACAGAAATTTATCTTTACCATTACCAGAGAGAGACTGTACAAAAGTCGATTGGGTACCTCTGTTCCATTCGTGTTTCTATCGTAAAGCAGTTGTGTTTGCATGGCTGTGCTTCGGTTTGAAGGGTGAAATATGACGTGAATTTCTGAGTCCTTAAGAATGGCAACGCATGGGAGGTATTATGGGCGAAACAGTATACTTTGTTATGTCCCTGGTACTACTCATGTCTATAGGCGACGGTTACCACTTTCCATCAGGTGGGCCGTCAGCTTGTTTGCCATTGTAAGTTGTATAAAAAAAATATATTTATTCTATTAACATTCTAATAAAATTTTTAATTTTGTACTTTGATGATGGTAAGAATTATTGTCATTTACCTTATAGAATTATTTTTATTTCGTCACAGCTTTGCGTTGTTCCACTAGTGTTTGTTTGATTTCATTGATTACCTATAAATTTATTGAATTTATTCAAAATTATACCAAATATCAATACTTTAACTTTTTTAGACTTAGTGTATGATTTTTACTTTAATTAGAAGTCCATTATCTATGTAAGTAGTTTTCAGATATTTTATGTTAATAATTCGTGTAAAATTTGTGCTTATTTTTGTTCAGTCGCTAGATAATCGCTATTTTAGGTGGTGACAGACGCCTTGATATTTAATATGTCCTCAAAGCAATATTCGTATGTGGAGGTCCAGTTTATATCGTAACATTAAAATTAAATATAGTGGTAATAAATAGTGTACATTTTAGTGAAGTGTGTTTGTACATAACACTTGTTCAGTTTCGTGGGAATGTTGCACAATACAATTGGTTCCAGCAATTTACGAACGTACGTAATACAATAGCTAAGATTAGAAAAATTCCTTGACAACTTTCACTCGGTGACTTAAATTTTTCATAAATCAATATATTGGATACTAAGTTTTTTTTTTCATGATGTTTATGCTTGGGTATGTGTTTATTCTTAAAGTGGGCAGTGTTTTGGTCATTGGGTGTCTTTAGATTTCATTTTTCAACATAAATTTACTATTTAATGAAGAGGACATTGATACAATAATTTTAACTCTCAGGTACTTTTGAAAATATTCTTTTTTAAAAGTTTTTTTTTTTATGTACAATTTTTTTTTATTAGTCTAATCATAGACAATTTTATTATTATTCTAATCTTAATAATATTAGATGGATTATGACTACCTATATATACTATATGGCTACTTATGATAGCTTTTTGCTTCAGAAGACATAAATCTGTTAAGCTGTATCATAAGTCTACATGTATATTGAAGGCAGTCCAGAAACTCTTGACATCAAAGGATGATAGATGATAGTGCTAGTTTTAGGAGAGAGAGGGATTATTAGCAATGGGGTTTAACAGTCCCATTGCTAGCAATATTGTGCCAAAGCTCAAATTACAAATTCTACAACATCAAACTTATAACTGTACCTATGTCTATGCAAATAAATAATTGATTAATTATATACTCTGTCTAGACAATTTCTGTGTAGTTCCCTCTGCAAATCATTGTGGTTAATTTTTAATGAATTTGTCACAATGGGCTAACTGACCTGGTTTCATCCTCGCTTATTCTTCACTGGTAACCTGCCAACATACACCAATAATGCAAGTGGTAACCATCCTATTTTCACCTTATTAAAAAAAGAACTAGTTAGTATGGGTGATAGATTCTTTTAAATCACTTTCCACCAAAATTATCAAGTGCTGTTATTTCAGATCATTGAAAAATGGCAGAGGTAGGATTCCCTGGGCAGCACACCACTACAACGACTGTGACCTCCAGTACCACGGTGCAGACCAACCTGAGGTTTGACCCACAATACCTCAAGACCGTACCAGGCATCCTGAAAGTTGTTCAAGTTGTAAGTATCTTTGATAAATATAATATGTACATGTAGAATCATAAAAAAATTATATGCTTATAAATAAGTATACTTGGATAAAAAAATATTTATCATTATCATCAAGTCAGCCTTTGACCATCAACTGTTGAACATTATCCTCCCTCTTGGGTGGTTTTGTCAGTAGTTGCCGTGCTTGACAGGCAGATTGGCAACAACAGTCAAGCTTTCTAGCTGTTTTAAGAAGGATGCAGCTGCCCATTCCTCTCTGTCCCTTGGTTGTCTTTTACGACACTCATGGGAAAAGAAGTGGTGGCCTATTCTATGCAGAGACCACACAGCCAAAAAAAAATATTATTATTATATAATGTATTCTATCATGAAGTTGATAGAAGAATAAACATAACATGGAAGAAATATTGGGCTCAAAAAGAAATCCTTAAAGGGAACTACAGTCTCAACTTAAAAAAGATAATTATGGATTCCTGCATCCTTCCAAGCCTAACATATGCATGCCAAACATGGACCTATACAGAAAAAATAAAGAACAAAATCCTATCATGTCAGCATGCGATGGAAAGAAGTATCTTAAAGTTAAGAAAAATACAGAAAATAAGAAACACTGATATTAGGAAGAAAACCAAAATAAAAGATGCTCTTCAGCATAGTATGAAACAGAAGTGGAGATGGGCAGGTCATATAGTGAGGTACAAAGATAAAAGGTGGACTCTCCAAACAACAAAATGGCGAGGTCCAGCAGGAAAAAGAAATGTTGGAAGACAAAGAAAGAGATGGGCAGATGACATAATAAAGATAGCAGGAAAGAACTGGACGGGTATTGCTATAGATAAGGAGAAGTGGAAAAAGATGGAGGAGGCTTTTACCCTTGGGGACCACGGAAGTGGATAAAAAGCTATAATAATAAACTGTATCAAACTGTATCTGAACAAACAACTTTAATGAAATGAAATGAAATGAAATTTATTTGCCAGAAACATTGTAGATAAGATGTTGTATTTGTCAAGTTTACAACATGTCCATTATGTTTCGCCACATCAAATGGCATGCAAATATTGAATATACCTACAGATAGGTTATTTTATATAGGTAAATTATATATTTAATTTTCAATTATTTACTATATTATAAAATACATAAATCACTACTGGTACCAAGTGCACACTTTGGTCATGCATTATAAGCAGTCAATAAAGCTATTATCTACACTAATATTAAAAAGAGGAAAACTTTGTTTGGTTGTAAAAAATAGGCTCAAAAACTACTGGACCGTTTTTAAAAATTCTTTCACCATTCGAAAGCTACATTATCCACGAGTAACATAGGCTAAATTTTATTTTGAAAAAAAATTGGGTTCCGTAAAATATTTGGGTTTTTCGGACACAAAGTGTAAAACATCAACCAAAAAAGTTACTTATTTTGCGTACGCTGTCTAAACTATAAAAGATAGAACCATAAAATGTTCTAATTAATTGTAGATCTTATAAATATCTATAAAAAAGTCCGCGACATAGATAGGTATAGTGTATACCTATCTATATCGAGTGAGGCACAACAACCACTTTTTTATTTAAAAATCTTGAATTTTTTGGACTACATTTAAACGCATTTATTTTACTCATGCCATTAATCCTTATCAAAATAAATTCACTAAGTACAGTTTATGTAGATAATATTTGGTCTGTGAATGATTAAAATTGGACGTTTTGTTTTGAAATTATGGTGGAATTAAAATTTTACTATTTCCATAAATTGCATATTGCAATAACCAAGATCCACGTGGGCGAAGCCGCGGGCAAAAGCTAGTAAATAATAAAAATGATGGAAATGTCAAATAAATAATTTGTAATCAAATTTTTTATTTGTGGCATTAATTGGAAGTATTTTTTTTCTCAATATCCTGTGTATCGAATAGTGTGTTTTAATATGGGGGTGTTGAACTCTTTATTTATCCTTATATTTCACCTTGTTGCTATTTCCTCTTTGATTATGGGAAAATCAGACTGGAATATTTGTAATCGGCCTAGTAACTAAGCCACAATGACATCATCACTGTGCCTTATTTATTTATTTATTTATAGGAAAACCAGGGCTACACTACAACAAAAAGATACAGTTTAGGATCACAAAATAAGCCACTAATAGGTTTTCACAAGTAGCAACAATATAGATACAAGGCGCTGCACACAAAGCAACAAAAATAGGAGTTAACAAAGAAAAAATATGAACAAACAAGAAGGAAAACAAAAAAAAATTATGAATAAAATACAAAGTAAAAATTAATTGCAAGTATTTGATTAAAATATGGCCTTCTTGTCCATACAATAGTTATTCAAACTGACTATGAATAAAAAATTGCCTACTCAGTTGGTCTCTCACTGATGTTATATTTTTCGAAAATAGATCTATATTAAGACTTTTAGAAATAGTATTAAAGTTTATTATTACTATGTGATAATACTATTAAATAAATATATACATAGATACATATCTGTCATGCCTGTCATTAGGGTAGGCAAGGCAGAAGCAATGGAACTAAATGCTTCAATTCCAACAAACTTCTTTCACTTCCTCCATATTCATCAATCTTTTCATATACACTCACCAGTAATGGATACTTTTAATTTGGCCTTTCTTTAGCACGCCACCTATTTTTTTTTTATTTCGCCCAACTGTATAAATAACATATATTTATATGGGGAAAGAGATTTTCAGTAATGGAGGTCAAAAAGTCCTATTTTTTTTTTTGATGGGTGACAATGGTGTGTTAACCCCGCCTGCGTTAACGGGATACGCTGGCGAAGCACCAGTGAAGGGTGATCGATGAGAATGAAAACAGGCCAGTTAACCCATCATGATGAATTCATAAGGAATTAACCATAATAGTTTCCAGGGGGAACGATGAGGAGGACGACCTGGTTGGGTATATTGCTAGCAATGAGGTTCTCAGTCTCCATCACTAACAATCCCTTTCCCCCCGCACGCCACCTATTTGGTTGACATATGTCCATCTAAGACGAACCCTAAATCATCTATCCTCATATTTAGTAGAGTTTGTACTATATATGTACTTACCACATGGTCCTGGTATAAAATAGGCCATCCCTTCCTTTCCCATGGGTCTTGTAAGAGGCGACTAAGAGAACTTACTGGTCAAGGGATGGACAGCAGTGTCCCACTTAAAACCAAAGCCTGCGATTACCAAGTGTGGCAACTACTAGCTAAAATCCCCATTACTTGGGACGCATGTTTAGCAGTAAACAGTTAATGGCTGATATGGTATGGCACCATGGGAACTAACGGCACTATAGATAGAAATTCTTAAATATTTTACGCATTTATGAAGAAGGCTCTCTATGTCGAGGCTGTTTTGACGCCGCAGAAACGGCTGTACACGTAATCCTGGAATGTAAAATTGAGGGGCCTCAACGTTTAAAAATCTTCGGAACAATTAGGTCGCTCCGTGAGCCTGTGAAGATCTCAGGAAGTTTCTGTGCTTCTGGGCGGAGCTGGGCTGGCTGTACTAGCCATGACACATACGCACAATGGCCCAAATGAGACGCCTAACTTGGAAAATGGAGTCTAATTTACATTACATCACATGGATCTAGGAGAAGGCGTACTGGACAATTGCTCAGCGCAACATAAATTTGGGGAGGCAAAATTGAGATAAATACTTGTGTCGCATGGTACGCTTTTTAGAGAGGTTTTTTCGTCGTTATAGTAGTGCTAATACTGGTATCATTGTCAAGGGCGGCAAACATTTGCCTGGTGCGGCAACAGCTAGATCCGACCCTGAAGTAATGCCCCCGTATCGATTTCATTTATCGCTAATCTAAACTACTGCGACAGGTGTTGCGTTCTACGACGTATAACGTTACACTTCAGTTTCTATTATTGATTTTAATAACGTTCAGTTTAATTATAATGGTTTATAGTGTTTTATTTATTCATTAGTACATATATGTACATGGCGGACTTAATGCTAAAAGCATTCTCTCCCAGTCAACCATAGGCAAGTGTCAGAATACTCGAATACGGTACTAATAATTATTGATGTACATATAATACTAAAATTATATATATAAACGAATTATTATTTATAAATAACAAATATACTTACACATATATGACATATACTATATTATACACGAAATTGAGAATAATATAAATTACTTACTGCTCGGATAAAGTAAAAAAGTGAGCATGAACGTTTTTTTTTTTTTGAAGAACAGTTTAATCGGTAGTCTCTTAATGGTATGAGCAAGCGCGTTCCGGAGCCGTGAAGAATGTAGGAGAAAAGAATTTAAAGCGAAACCAGTAGGGTGAGAAGGGATAGATAGTTGGAGAGTATTGTTGTAACGAAGGTTATGATCGTGAGCTTAAAAAGGTACTGGAATTTGCTGACTGCGGGCGACTGAGGATTTTGAAGAAGAGTAAAGAGGGTACAAAGAGTCCTAATATTTCTGCGTTGACGAATGGGAAGCCATTTGAGCTGAAACCGATAGATATAAATCTAATCGAACTTCCGAAGGTTGAGGATAAAGTCATATTATTACACTGCTAGGCAAAGGTAGCCATTTCCTCCTCATAGCTCCGGTCTTGCGTTATCTCGAGTCATTATTCATATGTATCAATGAGTATGTCCCGTGCCACAATTTCTTGGACTAGTCTCGGCGACGCTGTCTGAAGACACGCACTGGGTGGAAAACTATCCACTTATTGGGATTTACGTCGCTGATATGACTCATCCAATTCTACATCGTTTTTACAACACTTCGGTTTAACTTACATGTAATTTGGTAGAGAAAGCGCGACTACTTTCGGGACCATTCGGGGCCCTCAGTCTTGAGTGGCTAATGGTGATATCAGCTGTTACTATCTACTGAATATAGGCCTCCTCCTATTGAGGGATATTTTCAGTAGTTGTCACACTTGGCAGGCGAATTGACAATCGCAGTTAGGCTTTGATGATGTTTTAATAGTAACGCTGTTGTCCATTCCTCGACTTTTAGGTTCTCCTAGTTGTTTCTTATGACACCCATAATGGCCCATTCTATGCCGGGACCACAGGGCATATTATTACATATTATGTTTGATTTATATATTTTTCAGGCCAGCAGCTTTCTAGGCTTCATCTGCATCATGTGCTCGCAATTGAGCTTCATAAGAAAAGCGACCTACTTCTGCTGGATCTCCATGATCGCCTTCTGGTTCACCGGCATCCTGCTGGGATTCTACCTGTTCCACATGGTGGAGAAGTTCTACAAGATCCCGTGGCTGAAGATAGAGTTTGGCTTCTGTTCCATCTGGACGCTGCTGTACCTGATCGCGGCCATACTGGCCACGACTGTGCACGACAACCCTCATTCTGCCGCGGCGGTGAGTGAAACAACTTTTTTTTTAATTGTTTTTTTTTAATTGCGGCCTGTTTTCATTCTCATCTATCATCCTTCACTGGTGCTCCGCCAGCGTATCCCGTTAGCGCGGGCGAGGTTCTCATACCATTTTATCAGTTTTTTTTAAAAAAAAATATTATCTGGTCTGTGCCCACAGATGTTTGTTTATTTGCTCGATGGGCTCTCTGACTATAATAAAAATGCACCTTGATGTGGATGCAGTTCTTCGGGTTCGTGGCGACGGCGGCGTACGCGGCGGATGCCTTGTTGAAGTGGCGGGCGGTTCGCGCGGGCGGGCTGGCGCAGGGCACGCGCGTCGTGTCCAAGCAGACCACCTCCACCGTCGAGTCGCCGCCGCCGCGCGTCGGATACTAGGCCGCCCGCCAGGTACGCTGCACTGCACGACCACGCGGCCACTGCTGTTGCCAGTCATTTTAGTTTCTAACTGACGTAATACTTTAATAACAACAAAATAAATCGTACTTATGTGCACGTAAATACCTTATTGTAAACTATTTTATAATAAAACCGATGCGTCTTAGTTTAAAAAAAAAAATCTATGTTATTACTTGAGAGCGTTCATAACACGTTGAGCCCGGCGCCGAATTTGCTGTCCTTTCCGTTCAACCGGCAGCCGGCGAGAGATATAATGTTGTATGATATCGCCAAGAGATTACTTTAGTACTAATGAGATAAGGAACTCTTTGTCGCGCTATTTTGGACGTTTTTTAGGTGTATGTGCAATGTACACGGAAAATTCTAGTGCCGGTCCCCAGGGACCGACGCTGGCCACACGGAAAGTTCGCTGCCGGTCCACAGGGACCGGCACCGAGCCCAACGTGTTAAGCTCACCAAAGTGTGGCAAAGTGGCAATGGTATGTCAGTTTAAAAAAAAATTAAAAATTTTCATTACGTCTTTGCCATGTTTTGTTATGAACATTAACACTTAAATATCTTTTTTTATATTTTTTAAACATGTATTTCTACACTCTTATATGGAGTAAGTGTTTTTTAATGGATGATTAATGGAATGGTAACCCCGCCTGCGCTGTCGGTATACGCTGGCGGGGCACCAGTGAGGGGTGATAGGTGAATAATGAAAAAAGGCAGGTCAGTTAGCCCATCGTGACGAATTCAACGATAAATCAGTCACGTTAGTTTCCAGAGGGAACCGCGTGGAGGTCGACCTGATAGGGTATATTGATAGCAATGGGGACTGACCTCCATATTACTAACAATCCCTTTCGTGTTAGGGGTATTGTCACACCTGTGATAAAAAAAAGAAAATTATTTCTCATTGGGCTTGACCCCTTTGTTTTTCGAACGACAATAAAAAGTGTTAAAGAGAATTTTGTATTTAATTTCATTATTAAACCAGCAACAAGGTAATAACCTAGTAAAACTAATAATAAATAAATAAATAAATAATTAGCAATTTTTTTTTAAATTATTTAACGTTCGCTATGTTTAAGTGATAATTCATAAAAATAATTTTCATTTATTATTTTTTACTATTATTATTAAATTTAATTTAAAGTATTTATTTATAATTTATTTCATGACATTAATAAATATTTTTTATTCGGTTACTGCGTCCGCTTACGAACCACTCACGTCTCTCTGTTTTACTCATGTCTTGTATTGTTTTTAAATAGTCATATATTATGTCATTCTGTTATCCGGATGTTAGAGGGCGTTGCTTTAATCTGTATCAACTTTTTTTTTATAATATTTCCATTTTAAAAACACACATTTAACATATTAGACAGTCAGGAATTAAAGCAATTTTTATTTATAATAATCATATGATAAGTTTTTTTTTTATACAACTTAGAATGGCAAACAAGCTGACGGCCCACCTGATGGAAAGTGGTAACCGTCGCCTATACACATGAGCAGTACTATGCACATAACAGAAAGTACTGTTTCGCCCATGATACCCCCCATGCGTTGCCATTCCTGAGGACTCAGGTGTTATACCTCTGTACCTCTGCAATTATAATATTAATATAAAATCGTCAATATTATTTTGGTAGTTATGCGCACGCGCCACCCAATATGTCAAATAGTGTACGATACATGACAACGATGAATCATGCTGATAAAATGCGTCGAATTGTAATCTTATCGCGTTATAATGGTAAATTGTAATTTGTGTTCAGTATTTTAATCTGTAAGAATAATTTTAGCAGTTAACTGCCCACTGTTAAACATAAGGGGAGTGTTGCGGTAACAGTAGTTGTCGCGCTTGGCAGGCGGGTTGGCCATCACAGTTAGACATATAGAGTTTTTAAAAGAATTTTAAAAGGCTGCAGCATACCTGCAATGCAATGCATATATATATATATATATATATATATATATATATATATATATATATATATATATATATATATATATATATATATATATATATATATATATATATATATATATATATATATATATATATATATATATATATAGACGTTTTAATCCTTAAATGCCTGATTTGATAAATTAAAAAATATATAAGTGTACCCTTTACTGTGTTTACTAATGGGGAAAAATAGTAAAAAAATCAAAACGATATTTTTATATATTTATTTTGAAAAAAACATTTGGTAACATGTAAACAGCCAAATATTAAAATAAAATCGATTGTAGGCGCCCAATGCGATTTATAAGTCCGGTATCAAATTTGAAACTTCAGGTATTTAAGGGTTAAAAGGGACGCGTGCTGCCTATCCATCGACAGTAAAATTCCCTTAGTCGCCTTTTACGATACGCACGGGAAAGGAAGGGGTGGCCTATTCTATGCCGGGACCTACATGTGACGTGACGGACGGACGAAGATTTTAATGTTTGTATTGAAACGTGTAAGGAATTGTTAATATGGCCAGCAACTATAAACATTTATGGGTGTTAAATAAAATTGATCTTTACTGTAACTGTGTACAGGTGATATTGGAACTATAAGTATTATAAGTAACAGTGAATGTTTACCATCAGACGGGCCGTATGCTTATTTGCCATTTTTGTGGTTTAAAAAATCTTTGTAAGGCAATATCATCATTTTTTTCACGGATGAAAATGGAATGGTTACCCCACCCGCGCTATCGGTATCCACCGGCGGGGCACCAGTGAAGGATGATAGGTGAGGATGAAGCAGGTCAGTTAGCCCATCGTGACGAATTCAACAAGAACTGTTCACGATGGTTTCCAGGGGGAACCACGTGGAGGTCGACTTAAATAGGGTATATTGTTAACAATGGGGCTGTCAAACGCCATTGCTAACAAGGATTGTCCCCTCCTAAAGAGGGTTGACGTCAGGCAGGTGGCCGGTCGTAAAACTATGAGTCAAATCCTTTAGTAACATGGATAAAACCATATAACGCCAACCCCAAATAATAATTGGGGTAAGGGTAGGAAGATGATGGTATTTTCTTTATGGCTTTGGGATCCATTGTACATACATACATACGTATCTGTCACGCCTGTCTCCCATTAGGGCAGGCAGAAACAATGGAACGCCAAATGCGATGGGAAATGGGATTCATTGTTTGTTCTAAAAAAACGAGGGTAGATAACAAAAAAATGTATAGTATCACATACTAACTTGACGTAGTACATACTAACTTGACGTAGTACATACTAACTTGACGGCTAAGAGACTGCACGCACAACCGTTGATCTATATTTTTTAGTATAAACATTCTGGTAGAGTTCACTTTAAAAGTAGGTACACAATATCTCAATCTCTTACTACCATGACTGCGCATGCACAATTTCTATTGTAATAGTTTAAAAGTTCCGATTGCGTTCCGAGAACATTCTGGAATGTGATACGAGTATGTACGATAAATAGGCACCAAAGATTTTGTAGCGACGGCGCAAGAAGGCTCAATATTTTTGTAGGTGTAAAATTTTTATTTTATATAACTATATAGCATCACGTTCTATGTTTTGTACTTATATATATATATATATATATATATATATATATATATATATATATATATATATATATATATATATATATATATATATATATATATATATATATATATATATATATATATACTAGCTGACTCGGCAAACGTTGTTTTACCATATTTCGAGAACTATACATGAAATTTTCTCGCACTACAATTATTATTTTCGATCGCCATCTTTCAACCCTATTGCGGCATATAAAAATCGCGATTAAAAAACATGTGTGAAAATTTGAATTTGTATGTATTTTTCAATGTTCAATCATAATAATATAAAATAAAAAAAATTGTCAAAAAAAATATTTAGGGGTGGGTCACCCTTATCATTGAGGGGACCGATATGCACATAAAATTTTATATATATATATATATATATATATATATATATATATATATATATATATATATATATATATATATATATATATATATATATATATATATATATATATATATATATATATATATAGGATAAATGTTTACCGACAGCAAAAACAAAAATTAAGCACAAGTTTATCGTGAAATTAGTCACAAATGTTTAATCAGAAATAGATAAGACACTATCTGTGTTTGATATATATTATATATAAATATATAGTAATGTGAATATTATAAATAAATTCACAAATAAGCCTGAAACGACACATTGAAAGGACTTCATATCAAATGAGATGTTATCGTCAAATATTGCACAAATGTTACTTTGTTTTTTTTCTTTTTTCATATAGGTTTACTACGTACACAACGAATTATATATACTCATTATTTTAATTTTTTTAAAAGTACAGTCGCATACAGTATACTATGAAAAATTATAGATAGATACACTTTATTGTTTCCTCCAAAAGATTACAATAGTAAACTTATTATAAATATAAATAATTACAATATATTTTGCCCTTCAGTATTTAACAATGTAACAAATATTTGATTTTAAAATTAACAGGAACTGTTTACAATGTTATTTTATTCGCAAACAGCTGTTCCTTTTGTCTTGAAAATAAAAACGTTCATATCAGTTATCGTTAAATTAATATAGCATCAATCCGGGAATTAATCTTTATCATATTTTAAGAAAAAAAATAAATCCTATTTAGTCTATTGAAATATTTGAATTCCATTCTTGAGAATTGAATTCGTAATTAAAAAAAGAAATACAAATCATTAATATGTTATTATCGGATTCTTTATATTTTTATATCTATATTGGGCAGTGTTTATATAAGGTAATATGTACTATTATTTCAGGCGTTACTTGTCCACTGCTGGACATAGCTTTCCCAATAAGGGGTTTCGCCAGTAGTTGCCATACTTGGCAGGCGGGTTGGCAAACGCAGTTAGGTTTTAAAGATGTTTCTGTAGGGACGCTGCTGCCCATCCCTCGCTCTCCCTTAGTCGTCTCTTACGACACACACGGGAAAGGGGCGGCCCATTCTATGCCGGGGCACACACGGCAAATGTAGTATGTATGTGACTGTACAATACTGTAGGTACATGTATGATATCGTTTAAGTTTAATTGATGAAGTGGTTTAAGTACCAAATCAAAGTCTAGATTGTATTTCTACGTTGAGCAGTTGTTACCATATAAGCAATGACGGGCTAACGGGTGGGGGGGGGGGCGACTTCTGGTCCTAGGGTGGCTGCTGCCACCCAAATCTATACTCTATGTATGTTAATTAAAGTCTAATTTAAATTTCAACTGTGACATTTTAACTAAATAAACTTAAACACTTATACACACCAATATGAACTGAATAAAAATCTTGTAAAAATAAAATTTACTTCTTAAACTGGGGGCTTTATTTAGCTTTCTCGCTCCGAGCCTCCGACGGGCCTAGTCCGCCATTGCATATATGTATAAATTATATAAAAATATATATAAAAAAAAATAAACTTAATATAATAACATGTTTAGCAAGTAACGTACGAACAATTTCTGTTCCCAATCACTATGTATTGTTTAATTTAGTATTATTATTTTGTCAAATTTGATTGATAATATAAATAAGCTTGTCATATTAATTGTAAGATTATGTTATTGCCTATATAATTGTAATAAATAAATTACGGCTCTTATTCATAAATATAAAACGTCAAACCTCTCATTAACTCTCTCATTACTAGAGGGAGACTTTGTACAAGTCGATTGCTTGGGTACCTCTGTTCCATTCATATGTCTACCGTGAAGCAGTTGTGTTTGCATGGCTGTGTTTCGGTTTGAAATTTTTCATGAAAATTAAAATCACCTACGAACCTATTTTAACTATTCAAATGTTTTTGTCACTTTCTTTCAAATTGAACATTTAGTTTAAAAGAAAAATACAAAAAATGCTTTCTCACTGTACTGGGTTGACTGGAAGAGATCTCTGTCAGAGATAAGTCCACCCTTGCTCACAATATTTATAAATAGATTATTTTATATGTAACTTACAAGTGCAATAAAGAATATATATATAAATCTATAGCTAAAATAGGTTGAGGGGAGGTTTGACGTTTTTATAAGTCTAAGTCAAATTTGCGTTTGGTTTCTTGGTTCAGATTTCTGTATA